CAACTCTTAATGTGTTATGTTAAACCATATCTTATCATATGCTTATCCTTTGTATCACTTTGTTTTGGTACTTTAGATTTGTAACTTTTCACTATCGTCTGTCTGACACGCTTTTTAACACAACTAAAAATAATATATACGTTATTTAAAATAAAAAGCTTCATTGGCTATTACAGGTGCTGGTTGGTATAATGGTAACGTACAATTCCAAAGACGACAACAAAATCAACAGCAAAAGAGTCATGTTCAATTAGGTCCATTTTGTTTTGTGTGTTCACGATGCGATAGGCGATATAAATATGTGCGAAATCTTAAGAAACACCAACGGTATCAATGTGGAGTGCCACCACAGTTTCAGTGTAAAATTTGTAGCAATTTTTTTACCCAAAAATCCAGTTTAAGAGGTCACATGCGATCAGTTCATCGCATACTTTGTTAATATTATTTAAGTTCCTAATAATTACGGTGGCTTTTTATGTGCTCATTAACAATATAGTTGACCTCTGCCTTTTGAAAAGCGTCATATAAAATTCTTTTATTTACTTTAATAAAAGTTTTTATCAAAATAAAGGGTTTTATCAATATTTATTCAATTAAAACGAACAAATGAAAATTGGTATTCTATTTTTTGTTTAATTCATTGAAATGTTCAATTTTCATATGATTTTTAAATATATATATATATATAACTACACTGAAAGATACTGATTTTCAAACGAAACTATAGTTTTGGGATCCCTTATTCTATAACAAATTATTGATATTTTGTATATTTTTTAGTATTTCTTTTGTTTTTGGGATTTATAATATTATATTTTTAATTAATGTTGGCAGATGGATATATTTATATTTATATTTATATTAACATGGTAAACATTAAGTTAACTATGTTGGGCTCTCTCGACTATTGTTTTAATAATATATTCTTTACTGGTATTTATTATAAGAATATAAGTATCACAACTACGCAACTGCTGAGAATGTTATAATTTTAATTTTTTTTAAATAATAAATCAAGTGATTTGTCAAGTCGATTGATTATATAATCCTGTAAATGCGGTTGGACAACTTAAAAAATATCATTGACTGTTTCAACTAAATATCAATATTACTATCTATTTTAAACGGGGTAAAAAATAGATTTAAAATAAACCAATTTAATGAACTGCATATGTTATGTATTCAATGTTATTATTTAGTTTTGATATTAAAGTTATAGTTAATATTATTAGACTGAATTTTTACGCTACGCGTATCTTAAGTTTTTTTTCTTAAATAGTTTATGTATTATTCTATTATAAAATCAAAATCAAATGTGTATCATATTTAGTTCAATTAGTTATTATATTATTGTACTCTTACTATTTGTTATTTTATGGAATAAAATATTTATTATATTCGAAATGTGTTATCAAATTATTATTATTTCTTTAATTATATGAATAGAAAAAAATAACTATGATTATTCTATGCTTCTTTCGCCTGGAAGACTAGAAATCAGCAGCGAGCATTTAAGCCTGACTATTTTTCATCATAGTAATCTTAAATGATTGATGGATCTAACTTATAACTTATGTTGCAGATATGCTGAGCTACCAATACGTGTGTCCTAATAATTGTGGTCGAACTTATCGAAACAAAAGTACATTGAAGAGACATGTGAAATTCGAATGTGGTGTCACTCCCAAATTTGTGTGTCATGTTTGTAATAAAACATTCAAACATGGTTTCAGTTTACCTGTTCACCTTGCTACTAAACACAAGATTATGTCTAAATCGAGCTAAAACTGATATTGATTACCGTTGTGAAGTTGAAAAGAGAAGCCTCATAAAGGATTAGTCTTTTGATAGTACAGCTGTATTAATCTAAAAAATTTGTAAACAAAAAATAAAGTTTTATTTGTATTTCAAGAATTTATATATTTTTAAAAAGTTTCAATGATCAAACTTAGAGTTTATTACCGTCGTACCACAACATTGTTTAAGCTAGTGAGCGAAAAGTAGTAACAATTCTATATTGATTTATGATGATATTGTAAAAGTATTATTGGAATCGGTTATAAGCTATAACCGAAATCACTATCTTAAGTATCTTCTATATTGTATATATATATTGATATAAACATTACAAGGTTAACTAAAAAAAAATCAAATATGCTCAGGATAATAAATATATTGTTTAATTAATATTTCATCGAGTAGCTTCGTGTTTTAGCTTTTTTCTGAAATTTAAATGAAATGGGTGATGGTGGTACCCAAAGTCATTTTTTAATTGTTGTTTTCAAATTATTTTTCCTTTAATATGTGCAGATGTGGAAAATACGTTTAAATGCGAAGAATGTGGTAAAGCATACAAAAGAGTCAAAACATTGGTCAGACACAAAAGGTACGAATGCGGCGAAAATGTAGTACATTTCCCCTGCCCTCACTGTCATAAGAAGTTCAAGCGAAAAGATACGCTTAGAATGCACGCAGCTACTGCTCATCAAGCATACATCTAAGTTAACGGCAATTATTAAATTTGTTTGTATTTATAATTATAAAAAAAGAAAATTTGAATATAATCAACAAAAATATGATCTATAAGACGTTTCTAAAAATATATATTGGTCTTGCATGTGTAGAAATTTAAATTAATCATGAAAGGTATATTTTATTATTTTGCTTGTACTCAGCTGTAAAAATTTATTTTTTTGAATGTATTATATAGTGACGCTATACAATGGCATATTTTGTGTTTTATATTTCGTTTAATAAATGTTTTTTTTAACACATCTCGTTTTACGTTTATAGCTAGTTTTTACATCAACAACGGTGGTGAACTGTCTAAGGTCTATATGTGTCCTAAGTGTGGTAAAAAGTATCGTCATCAGCCAAGTCTTTGCAACCACCGACGATACGAGTGTGGTGTAATACCTCAGTTTCGGTGTAATTTATGTAATCGGATGTTCAGTAGAAATCATCGACTACGGTCACATATCGCAATGTCGCATGGTCTTCAAGCTTTGGACCAAGAAACATAATTATACTAAATAATGTATTATCCTAAAATGTTTACTTGTGTGATATTATGTGCCATTTAACCTATATTTACGGGTTTTAGGTAATTTCAAGAGTTAAATTCAATGCGTTTTTGATAAATTGTAACATCATTTTTTACGTAATACAGTTTTTATTCATTTCAATGTATTTTACTTTTAATAAAGTTGGATGTTATTTTGACTAATTTACAATCCCTTATATTATATACAATATAAAGTATAATTTTTTATGTTTTTTCTTTAACTCATTTTAGTTTATTGACGTCTAAAACTATGAGCATTTTCACTGAATAAATTTCTTAATATGCTTAAAATTGTTTGTGTTGCGATAGGGGTTACAATTTTTTAGTCTCTTAAATTACGCTTTATTTAGTTGAATATTAAATCATTAGAAATATAAATGTTGAATTTTTTTTATAAACATTCCGAGTTACAGGGTAACGTAAAATTAAAAAAGTTTCAATTTTAATTTCGGTTTTTGTTTGGCATGCGAGACAATTATTTTTTTACTACCATCGAGGAGGCTTATTTTTAAATATAATGCACCTATTTCTAATTTTCTTATCAGATAACATAGTTATTTTTTATTTTATCAGGTTTGAGGTACAAATGTTCTAATTGTGGAAAATTATACAAGTATAAAAGAAGTTTAACATTACACTCAAAATTTGAATGTGGAATTCAACCGAGTTTCGTGTGTTCACTTTGTGATCGACGATTTGCTCATAAACACCATTTGAAATCTCATTCTGGGCTAGTTCATGGTCTTATTTTAAATTAATTATGATGTGTTTCTAAATATAGAGAAATATATGTTTAATTTCTGACAATATCTGTTTTATTGTAAGTTTTGTATCTAAATGCGAATAATTTAAGTTTATTTTGTTGATGTTCTCAAAAAGATCAATTTCATTAATTAATTAATTTTTTTGTTACTTTAAGAAATATTGTCTGAATAAAATTACATTTCAACCACTATATTTTATTTGATTTTCTTTATTTTTATTGATATTTAAAATTATGGTTTTCTAAATTAATATCTTGTTAAGTAAATTAGTGATTAATATGAACTTCAGCTTTATTTTTCCATAGTATTCAGTTTTTGTTGGCTTAATTTAAAAGCCATTTATGCGCTTTTTTCTTTATCCTTTAAGTTTTGAATGATAACGATTAATATTGGAGTAAAGGTTTAAGTGTTCGATGTATTAAAACAAATTATTTCATTGTAGAAAACTTTTGCTGTCCTCAATGTGGTAAAGTATACAAATACCATAGCAGTTTGAGTTTGCATTTGAAATTCAGATGTGGTGTCGAACCAAAGTTTACTTGTGAGGATTGTATGAAAAAATTTTCCTTCAAACATCATTGGAGAAGACATATGCTATCTGTGCATAATACCATTTGCTAGATACTCTAACTTTTAGTGTTTTGTAAATACTGACTTGTATAATCAGCATTTTTTGTTATTTTTTTTAAATATGTGACTTTAATTAATAAAATAAGATATTTTTGCATTAAAATATTTTTGTTTCTTTTAAAGATTTTTTTAAAACTAGATTACGAATAACTTTAAATGAAGAACTACTAATTCGATATCTAAACAGTTTTATTTTAAATCTTATTATTGAAATCTGTAAGTTCTGATGCTACAAATTTTTTATTTATCAATATAAATAACAATTAGTGTTATTTTCTTGTTTTTAAATTTTATATTTTTAATTATAAAACGTATATTCTCAGTTTGCTGAGTTTTTAAATTCTATAGTGATTGTTATTTAAGATCATTAATTTATATTAATCATTTGCATAATGAATTGCTTTATTGTTTTGTTTAAAATTTTTATCGTCGTTTATTATACAGTTCAGTGTTATCTCAGTCTTTAATATAGTTTTGAATATTTATAAGAAACTCTCTTACTCATATTATATATTATTATTTTATAGAAAAAACGTTAAATGATGAAGATTTGTACGTTTGCAACCAATGTGGCAAGTATTATATGCATAGAAGTAGTTTGCAAAGGCACTCAAAATTCGAATGTGGAATGGTGCCCAGGTTTGAGTGCATTTTTTGTAAACGCAAGTTCAGTCAGAGGTCAAATCTTAATAGGCACATTTATGATATTCACAAAAATGATTTGGATCAAGTAGTTGCCGATAGATGTTTGGTATATATTATTTTATTACCATATATTAATACTTTTTTTCAAAACATATATAGTATGTTCAATAAGTAAGGAAACATGTTAATTGTTACAAATATTGATACAAAATAACTCGTTTCCTCACTTACTAAACATTCTATATATCATTTTTAGCTGTATTATATGATATAGTTAAACTTAAATTTTTATCAAGGAAATGATGATAGGGTAATCTATTCGTCATCATTAGTATATGCTGTCTTTAATAATTTTTATATATATATATATGTATACAATATTTTTGTAATTATGTATATTGACTATGTCTTTATTTCATTTTATAGGTAACTAAGAATGTTAAAGAAAACTTCGAGGATCGCCTTAATAAGGAAGTGACTTAAAGTTAAAAGTGTTTTAGCTATATAATCTTATTATGGACAAAAATTTCTTTGTTAAAGTGAATTTAAATTTAGTGGGCTGTTATCAGAATTTTTTTTAGAAATTTTATTTATTTTATTGTTGGTTTTGTTATAGTTACACATTTGAATTTAATAAAAAAATTATATTTGTTACTATTTGTTTCATTTTTTATTATTTAAGTTGAATTTTTTCAGCTTTCATAATTCAAATTTAATTTAAAGTAGTCAAATTCAACTTCAATTAGTGAAAAAAATATAAAACTTGACGATTCTTATGATTATATTAAACATATGACATTTAGAAAAAAATTTATATGATCATTTATTATTTTAATATTGGTTCAAATATTATATACTTTGTTATTTAAATACCTTTTTTAAAATTGGTAATGTATACTTAAGTAAATAAAAATATATGAATTTTATATTTAGTTTAAATAATATTTACTGATTGACGCGAGGTTTTTTGGTAATGCATGGAATACTTCGAAATTTCTTAAGCTATCTAAATATATTTAGTTATAAATTATTGATGCTTTAAAGATAACTGTAAAAATATAGCAGTTATATAACAGTTTGTACTTTACGGTAATATTTTGCTGTAGATAACTAATCCCATTATATTGTTAAAAAAAAAATTTGTTTTAAATTATCTTTTTTTGTTTTTGTTTTTTGTCATTTTATAGATTACTTTTTTTTTCACAAGTGTCCCAAATGCTTTAGAACGTACAAGCACAAGCGAAACTTACGACAACATTTAAATTACGAGTGTGGAGTTGAACCTAAGTTTGAATGTGATGTTTGCAAGAAAAAATTCGCTCACAAACAACATAGAAATAGGCACTTGTTGACTATACATAAAGTATTACCAGAATCTTGGCAGTAAAGATTATTTTTAAACTACCTATCATTTTTTTTTATAACAATGTTAACTATGAAATTATTGAAAAAATTAACACTTAATTACAAAATTTACACGTTATATAATTATACTTTGTATTTTATTTATTAAGAATAGTCATTGTGGCTATAATAGAACTGATGTGTTTGGTTTTATAAGAAACGTAATTTTTTATTATTAACTGTTGTCTATTGCCGTCCGTTAAAATGAGTTAATTAATATGTAAAAAAATGAGTATTATACAGTTATACTGAGTTATAATTTTACGCTAATCACTGATTTCTCTTAAAATAATAATTATTTTGAATTATTTTTTTTATTTCTTAGTGTCATATATTTCTTGATTTATTATTTTTATCATTCATCTCTTATACTTTATAAGCGTGTCAACTTTATTTTTTTAAAGGGTACACGTATTTTTAGCTAGCTTTTAGAATAGAAAATTATCTAATTAAAGAAATGACTGGTCAATAATAAATTTAAATATTTTGAAAGTTAATAACATTTTTATACTTAGAAGGGAGATTAGTTCCGTCTGATAAATGTTTTATGATAAAAACTGCCATACTTACGCCTCACCTCCATTTTGTAATTTAAAATGGTAATAACTTGAAATAATTGGTCAAAAGTTATTACTAATCGGTCAACTATTTAATTAGATTTTTTTTATAAGCTAGTTTAATATGTCGTCATTTAATAAAATAAAGTTGACACCATTATAAGGTGTAAGGGATCTGCTAAAATAAGAAATATTTGAAAATAAATAATAACCAAAAATTTTCTTAAAATAATTATTTTTTTAAGCGAATTCAAGTGGGACTAATGTTAAAAGATCCATGGTGTTTTTTGTTATATGTTGATATAAATGATGTTTTATGTAATTATAATAAGGTACCAATTGATCTTGTAGTAATAATTATTAAACTTCCAGTGAAATATTTCTCTTATGGAATATAACTCGGTAGTGAAGATTTGTGTATATTTTTAAACTAAAATGGTGTTAAATATAGCTGTGTTATGACGTATTTTTTTTGTACAATAATTGTTAATTAGTATAGAATATTAAATTTTTGAGCATTATATTTTTATCCATTAAGAGGAGAGTTTTTTAGATTTGATTTGAATGTTTTGAAAAATTATTGGGAGGTTTACACCACGGTATTTTTAATTGTGTTAACGCATTAATTAGAGTATTTAAACAACTTAAAGATAGTGGTGGCTATAGATGTAAGCATAATGAGAAGTTTAATATATTAGTAGTTTTATAGACTCAATTTAACAATTCAAGTGGGAATTATGAATTAATTTCCGTAATATCACATCTGGAACTACTTTTTACTTACAGTTTTTTTGAGTTTAATTTATTTTCTTCATTTTTTAGAAGAGCGTTTTTTCTGTCCTAATAATTTTTGTAACCGCAACTATAAGAATAAGAGGAGCCTTCGACGACATATTAATGATGAGTGTGGCATCAAACCGAAGTTCAAGTGTACATTCTGTTTGAAATGTATGAATCGAAGAGTACTTTGCAAAAACATAAATCCGTTTGTCGTGCCATCTTGTCAACTTATTAATCAAAAATCCATTTGTATCAATTTGTAAATTCGTACCATTAAATTAAAAAATATAACTATATATTTATATTCTTCTTAACATTCTTAATTTTATAAGAAACTATTATTCTGTTTAACTACTAAATCAATTGATAATCTGTATAATTAAATTATATATATTAATATTTTTTTAAATTAAAATACATGTAATTATTTTATACTCATGCGATCAATTAATTAACAAGTTTATTTATCTTGTTTGTATTTTAATATACTACTTAACTTTAAAACAAGGCTATTAATGTAAAAAATAGTTTTAATAGGTGTTAATGTTTTAAAAACATTTTTTTGAAGATTAACGAATTACTACATTTTTAGAGCGATTTTTGTGTCCAAATATGTGTGGACGACATTACAAGAGAAAAGGTCATATGGTGGCTCATTTCAAATTTGAATGTGGCAAGGAGCCAATGTTTAACTGTCCATTGTGTAGGTACAAGTGTTTTAGAAAAGCTCATCTTAAAGTCCATATGGTAAACATTCACAAAGTGTTGCTTGAAAACGTCTCAACTCAAGTTTTCAATGAATGATCTTTACGACGATAAAGAAACCAGAAAATATGCGATTTTAACACATAAGTCAAGTTTTGGTTGATTAAAAAAAATTCTCATTCTAATATTATTTACAACTGTATATTGTTTGTTAAAAATAACAATCTTATAGATTTAATAAATAGTTTTAATTTTCATTCTGTGTTTTCTTTTATTTAACTGAAATCTGCGTAAGAAGATTTCACTGATATTATTAAAATGATAATCAATATTATAAGATTTCATTTTCAATTATAATGTTGTGTTAATTATCGTCATTTATAATTCTATGTAGTGTATCGTACAAATTGTTCTTTTCAGTTGAAATTTTCGGCCGTTTCGTCTGTCCTAACCAATGTGGCCGTCACTATAAACAAAAACATCATATGACGTATCATTTAAAAGTAGAATGTGGCAAAGAGCCTACATACGAATGTCCAATATGTCATCGAAAATATACAAGGAAGTACTCAATCAAAACTCACGTAACTCTTGTACATGGAATATTGTATGAAGATGCTATTAAAATGGTTTATAACAGAAATGACAAATTGACATAAAAAAATTCATTAATTAGTAGAAAATAATTTTTCATTCTTGAATCTTAGTTAAATATAACTTTTTGTTTCGATTCAATTATTTAAGTGTTTCCAACATTTCTTTTTTTTTTAGTATAAATTTGTTATTTTGTTATTATTATTATTATATTGATACACATTTATTTGTATTTCTCAAAAATAAATATATTGTAATATTTCAGTAGTAATTTTATTTGAACAATACTTTTACTCATATGTTTTTGTTTGATTTATAAGTGAACTTTTTTAAAAAGTATTTTGTATTAAACACAAGTAATTAATTCTTATTATAAAATTTATTTCATAAATTACTTATGGAATAATAGTTATTTGATCTCAAACGAGTATAAAAATATATCATTGTTCCTTTATTTAATAGAGGTATTTTACAATTTAGTAACCGTTGTGGATTTCATTAAATTAAAAAGAATTCTATAGATTTCAAATATTATATTTATTTTTATTTCATTTTATTATTTAAAAATTAATGTTGGTATGGAAAGAAATTAAAATTATTGATGTTTTTAGATGTTAAGTAATAAATTTATAGTGTTTAGCAAGTAAGATAATGGATTTATATTATTCTCATTGTAACAATTTACCTGTTTCCTTACTTATTGAATACTCTGTATTTCTTAGTGATGTATGCGTTTTTAAAACAGAATTTTATGGCTTAAGTAGAATATTAAATGGAATGGTCATAAATATGTAATAATAATTAATTATTTTGATTCCAGGGAAATATTTCGATCGTTTTTATTGTCCTAATAATTGTGGTCACAATTATAAAAGAAAAGGCCATATGATGTTCCATTTTAGATTTGAATGCGGTAAACCGCCATTGTTCAGGTGTACTATGTGTTCTCGAAAATTCCACCAGAAATCAAGTCTTAAGACTCATGTGGTCTCTGTACACAAAATGTTGTTCAATAATAGTCAGTCATACACAAGTTCTAGAAATATTTCTTAATAAATACAATGTAATACTTAATATATATATACTCAATATACTATTTATAAGAAATGTGTTGGTATAAAATAGTTTTCTATTTTGTTTTTCATTTTTTAATTTGGTTGGAAAATTTTTTTGTTTTATTATAAAAACGCGTACTTTGAAACACATTTGATAATTGTTTGTTAATTTTTGGTCTTTTGTTACGAGGCAAAGGTTTTTACCTTCTTAAAACTTAAATTTCTCATTATGCTGTGATTTAAATTGGTATAATATGATGTAAAGTCACTTGTGTATTATATCTTAAAATTTATCACTAGTTAGAAAAAGCTTCTGTTTAATATTTATCCTATGATATTTTTATATGTTTGTAAAGAGAAATGAATCATTTTTGGCAGGTGAGATCGGAGATCGGTTTATGTGCCCCAATGGTTGTGGTCGTCATTACAAGCATAAGACACATATGTCTTATCATTGGAAATTCGAATGCGGCAAATCGCCCAAATTCATCTGTCCAAAGTGTGATCGACGGTTTTACCAGAAATCTAATTTGAAAACTCATGTAGTTACCAAACATAAAATTTTGTATAGTCAATTAATATTATAAATGAAATTTTTTGATGACGATTTTTTTTTCCAGTGTTCTAATTATTTTTTACTTATTGAAATAAATGATTTTTTTAAAAATGTTTTTAGAAGTTTTGTTATCGCATCAAACTAATGGGGTTTTAATTTTTGTCCATTTTAAATGATTTGTGGAAATCAGTTAAGCTTATTGTTGTGTGGAATTGAAATTTATACTATTTGAATGGTGTATCTAATATTATGTAAAATTAATTTAAGCATATATTTTCGTAATAGTTTGAATAAATGGTTAATTATTGTTTATGTTGTATCTTATTTGTAAATGATATTCTGTGATAATTAAATAAAATGTTTTTAATGCACAGATATATTAAACATTTCTTTTTATAAATATATGTTAAGTCTCATTTATCAACATTTTTTTGTCTTAGGTAAATCGTCTATAGCTTATGTAGTACCAATAAATGGACGTTTTTATTGTTTGAATAATTGCGGCAGACATTATAAAAACAAAAGGGACATGGGCTATCATTTTAGACATGAATGTGGTGTGCCTTTACAATTTCAGTGTAATTATTGTCATATGAAGTACATTAACAGGTCAAAATTAAAGAATCACATTGCTATGAAGCATCATATCATTTATTCGGATTAATTTGGTTTTCAATTAAAAATAATTTTCATTAATAACTGTTTGTAGTTTTTTTTTAAATATTACTAGAAATTAAAAAAAAAATTATAAGTAAAAAGTTAATTGATATAAGAGTAAAATATTTAATATAATTATTCAGTTGATCATTTTATAAAAATTGTTTCATTAAACAAATTTTGTAAATAGAAAAATAGAAAAATCTATCAATTATTGGACTTGTTGTTTTTTGTTTTTTTGTCTTGTTGATTTTTTTTATTGAAAGAAATTAAAAAGAAATGATCTTTTTGTAAATAAATCATTTTTATTTTGATTTATACCTAATACAAGAATTTATCATTTTTATTTGTATATAAATCATTGAATTAAATATAGAATATGTAATTAGTTTTATTTATATTTAATCATTTTGTTTATTTTTTTTAATTTCAATGTCTTATATTTTGACAGTTATGAATATAAAATTATTTAAAACTAAAAATATTCACCACAGTAATCAATTTTTTATTATACAAAGTGATTCATTTAGGATAAGACAATCATTTTTTTTTTTTTAAATTCTACTATAAATGTAGTTAAATAATTTCTATATTGTTGTCTCTCATGGATGAATTGGGCCACTGTGCTAAGTACAGTAGCACAGTGATCAGACGACCGAAGGGCTGTCAGAAGATGCCGAAGTTGCGATTTAATTATTTTATTGATTACAGAGGCTTAGATATAAATATTAAAAAAAATATAGAGATTTTTACATTTAGACTTTCATGTTTGTCCAGATACTTAATTTTTATTTTATTTAATTGATGTGCAATAAAAAGAAATAATTTCCTAGCCCAACAAACGGCGTTGTGGGATTAATTTTTTTCTATCACTCTGTGCTGAATATCCCAAGCTAAAATAATGATAAAATTGTATTTTAAATTAAAATTTTATACAATAAACATATCAAAAAGACAAACAGTTAATTAAATGGATAAAAAAATGTGTAAGAACAAAATTGTTTGAAATATTTTTCTATCATACCCTTGAACTAAAAATAGGGGTTCATATTAAAGAAAATTTAAGTTTAGGTTTCCATTCCTAAATGGATGAAAGCAAAAATTATTTAACTACATATTATTGTTGAATATTTTTAAATTAAACAATTTTTCTTTAGAAAAATTAAAATTTTTTAATAGTTCCCGAAAAAATGTCTTGCTTTAATGAATCACTTTTATATGCATATAAAGGTTATGTTAATGATAAAAATAACTCTGTTATTACAATTAGTTTTAGTGGAAAATTTTACTAAAAACAAAGGGAACACTTATTATTTGTTAGTAATCACGTAAAATAAATTTACGTGATTAATGCAAAGTAAATTTTTACTTAATAAACTTAAAATATTATCTAAGATAGACAGTTTATAATTATTGATTAAAATAGGTTACTTTTAAGGTTCCTTAAAGGTTTTTATAGTTATTTAATGTTTAAAATTGTTTGTTTTCAAATACAATATTTGTATGTTTACATGTATTTGTTTTTATTAAATTACCCATTTCATTTAGCTACATCTTAGCTTGTTGAAAGATCAGTTTATTCGCCTTTATTAATTATGAAAAATTTTACATAAATATATTATATAATGTATTTTTGATAATATCTTTAACTTACAGGTGTTCAATGGTTTCATTGCAGTAATGGATGTGGAAAAAAATATAAGCATCGTACTAATCTATTGAGGCACGTAAAAAACGAATGTGGAGTTGGACCACAGTTCAAATGTCATCTGTGTACTAAAGCGTTTACGCAAAACTCCAGTCTCAAATTTCATGTAATAACTAGACACCCAGATGTAATTACAACAAGGTATTTGTAATTTAATTTGCTGATCATAATTGAGAGGGTTGGAAGACGCTGTACAATGTAGTGCTTATCTAGAAGATAAAACACATAGCTTTATAACTTTTTACGTTGGCATATAGCTTTTAAGAATCTTCTTGTAGGGAAATGTGCGAATTTCATTCAAAATAAACAATTTTTGCTTTACAGATCAGATACCTTACTTGACTCAGAGCAATACACTGGAGATGAGGTATTACTGTCCCAACGAAAAGTGTGGCCGAAATTATAAGAATAAATGTAGTTTAACGTTTCACCTACGCAATGAATGTGGAGTTACTCCCAAGTACAAGTGTCCTTTTTGTCCGAAACAGTGTTTTAGAAAAAACAATTTGAAAAACCATATGCTCCTTGTTCACAATTATTCCGATAAACTTAACGAAATAAAAAAATAATTTTTTCTCATTTTTACTTAATATTGTACCAATTTTATATGTTGACTTGAATATTTATTAGCTTAGTATTTATTTTTGTATTACATTAAAATAATTATTTTATAAATATTATTCACTCTAATGAAATTGCTGTAAAAAGATTGAAAATGTTTATAGAAATTTACGTTTTGAGATTGAATATTTTATTAGCTAGTTACATTATCTCGATAATGAATGATTAATAAATTTATGAAACTTCTCTAGATTTTTTTTGTATTATTAAATGCTTTGAAATTTATTAATTTAAGTTTTCATTTTACTAATGTCCTTTAACCAGAAATTTTACAAAACGAATTATAGTTAAACCATAATGTTTCATTTAAATTATCTGTAACAATTTTTTTTGTAGTTAAGATTTGAAAGTTTTACGTTTTAAAATTATATAATATTTTTATCTCACTTATTACATCAGTTTTATTGCTAATTTGCTATAGGTTTTCGAGTGCTGCCTTATGACTTTCGAGTAAATGGATTCGATTGTCCTAACTTATGTGGCAGAAACTACAAGTACAAGCGAAATTTAGTGTCTCATTTAAAAATGGAATGCGGCAAGACACCTACTTTCAAATGTCCATATTGTGAGAAGTCCACCTTTTACAAAGCCAATCTAAGAAAACACATACTGAATATACACAAAATTATAGAACGCGTTGTATAAAATACTAATTTATACTAATATTTAATTGGGGATGTAGGGAGGGTCACTCTTTTACTCTAGGTTTTTTATGAGGACTGACTGTAATACCATTTTAGTTGTTAAAACTTGGCAAACTATGATTTCAGTTTATATTTATGAAACTTATTAGTAGATTTATTTAATCGTAAAATGTATTTAATGTGTTTATGCTATAACAAAAAAATTACGTGTAGTTTTAACAAATATTATGTTGTAGAATATTAAAGATTTAGAATTAATATAACACAATCATATTTCTTTTTTAATAATGAAGTTTTAGTTATTTATATATCACTAAATAGTGTAAAAATAATTACCTTTTTTGTTGCTGTAATTGTAGTTAAGAGTTAATACAGCTAGTAGTTTTTATCTAAGTCTAAAAGATTAAACTCTTTAACATAAATTACTAATACTGTGTCATACATTTTCATTATTTTCTATAGAATTTTGGCTCAATCAAATGGTTGAAATAGAAGTGAAAAGAAGAATGATAGCCGAACGACACCACTGTCCAAACTGTGGACAGAGTTATAAGTATAAGGGAGGGTTAAGGCGCCATATTGATTTTGAGTGTGGCAAAACACCACAGTTTGTGTGTCCGGAATGTCCGAAAGTATTTTCCAGGAAGGATAAACTTCTCAGGCACAGGAAGAACGTACACAAAATCAAAGGATCTACAAATGATAACTTTGAAAAAGAAACTAAAGTTGCCACTGGTACCAATCACGAATGAAAAATACCTGAAACTATTTATCTTTAATTTATTAAGTACTTAATCTACTATTTTAAAGTCATTATGTATTATTAAATATATAGACATTGCATCTATACTAATAATAAGAATATTAATTATTTATTTATTAATGCTATTGATATATATGTACACTGTTCTCCGATTATTGTTTGATTAATTAAAAATAAAACTTATTAATTTATTTATTATGTATTATATAGTTATTTTAGTAAAGTTTTTTAATATAGTATTTATAATTATCACTGTTTAAGGTGATAAATTAATTGTGATATAATTTATTTAGTTACATTTGTTAAGATCCCTATCTAATTATATAGAAGATATTGTACGAAATTTTACTATTATGTAAAATTTAAGAACATCATTTAATATAGAAAAACCCATTTATTCTTCATATCATTTTGGTGGTCACAATTGCTCTTTTCTGAGCTTTGAACCAATTTAAACAGTTTTTTATATTCAATTTAACATTTAAATTTGTTGTATTTTTTAGATGGTATGGATTATTATGATGCAAAAGCTAATCGATACGTTTGTCCTAACGACTGCGGACGACATTACAAAAGGAAAGGTCATATGACTTATCATATGAAGTTTGAATGCGGAGTGCAGCCTAAATTTAAATGCTGTTATTGCAACAAAAAGTCTAATCGCAAGTCTAACCTTAAAACACACGTGATGGCTGTTCACAAAGTCATGTTTGACGACTCTCTTATAATTTCTTCAAATATTTAATACTAACTGACTTTCATAAAACATTTTTATTTTATTAATTAATTTTTTTAAAACTTACTCTAGTTAAATTTTATTTTAGTTTTATTTTTATTGGTATAATATAATATATCCATTATCTTGACTGATTATTCTATACGTTAATATTATAATAAATATAAAACTTGTTGAATTTAGAGAATATAAAAAGATCTCATAGATACAATAATTGTATGAATAATATCGTAATTCGAGTAATGTAGAACTACAATGTAATATAATTTACCCAGATACAGTATCTGTTTCACTTTTCAATGTACTGAGTTTTATTTGGTTTAAAAAAAATACTACAATAGCAAATTAATTTTGTTTAATAGATATTTTTATATTTAATATCTTACAACTCTTTATCTGAGTGTTAAAATATTAAAGATTTTTTTAAAAATACTTAAATTTCTATACTATAAAATAATTTGTTGATGAATAAAAATTACATTTTTATTGGTTTAAATATATATATTGATTTAGAAATGTTCTAATGTTTTTTTTTGTTCTTGTGAAAAAATGGTCCGACGAACATTTTTCTATGAATAAAAATTTGATGGTTTGAATTGATTTGTTTTTTTAAATGTTTGTTAGTTACTATTGTAAAGTTTAGTTTTGTAATGTTTAAAGTGTCATTAAGCCTAGATTAAATGGTGTAGGGAGGTCATATACTCGATTTTTGATATTAGATTACTAACGGTCTACTTATTAGATCGCAGAATAAAACGCTGGGGGTCTTATAAGGTACCAAAGAGAGAAAAGTTTATACTTTAAAAATTTAAAATAATAATATAATTTTGAGAAATAATTTTTTACTTAAATAATTGTTTAACTTTCTTACAGCTTAAATAGCAAAAAATCACTAATAAGTTTTATTTTCATGCTTATATAGTTAAAGAAGTAAATGTGTACATTGACTAATAAAAAACTGTGTTAATTAATAAAATCATTTTATAGATTTAATTTATTCAAGTTGAAAGCTCGTTTTTTATTTTGGTCTCTGTTTTCTGTTGGAAAATTTAATTAGTTTAGATTTAGAGCTTAGTTTTTGGGTTAATCGACTCGTTTTTTATAACATTTTTCATTCACATAGATATTGCATTATCGTTTTTTTTAGGTTCTGATCGAAGATACATATGTCCAAATTTGTGCGGTCACAGTTACACTAGAAAAGATAACCTTACCAGACACATGAACACCAGGTGTGGTGTTCTGAAGAAATTTGCTTGCACTCTATGTAAAAAACCATTTGCACGCACTGATGCTCTTAAAAATCATATAAAAACTGTACACAAATATTATGAATGTTCCTTCATTGACAATTGAATTATAGCAATGTAAAATTGATGATATTATTGTTTGTTATAATAATTATATTAATTATAACATAAAATTATTTGTTTTTGAAATTGTAGTTAATTTATTTCTAAGATGAGTATTTCTTTTTAAAATATTCGCTTAAAGCATATGAGCCCTCAAAAAGTTTATGTGCAATTAAAAAAGTAGAAAATATATTAAATAATTCTTTTAACTTTCATTAATTTACTTCTTTTTTCAATTATTCAGATTGTGAAGCGGCCGATCGGAGGTACTTTTGCACTAATTGTGGCCGCAGCTACAACCGACGTACTAACCTTATGCGCCATATGAAATTAGAATGTGGTGTTCCTAAAAAATATAAATGCCAATATTGTTTTAAAGCATTTGCCCGAAATAACGAACTTACCAAGCACACTTGGTTAATTCATCCTGAAAATTATTTAAAAATATAAAAATAATTGATATATATATATATCTTATATTTCTAGCAATATTTTAGTTCTATTATGTTTTTTTATATTTTACAGTGATAATATGTAAACACTACTTTTTTTTTTTTTGATACTGAATTGTATTTAATCACTTATTGTAAAGTAATAATAAATAAAGAAAGAATTTTTTTGCTTAAAATTATCTCTATAAGTGTTACTGTATTAAGATTTAAAAGTAATGATAAAATCAGCATAAATTACTTAGATTAAAATGTAATTTGCTCGACGTTTGACTTCAATGAAAGTTAGATTTAGAAATTTTAATATTATAGAACAACAAATTGTTTCAAACAAATAAGCATTTTTATCGATCACCGGTTTAAATACGGTGTCGGATCTTACAAAGAACAAAAAATCAATTTGAAGATAAAATTTCTCCGTTTGGAGATAATGAAAGTTTTTTTTTTATATTTATATCCTCAGTCATACATTTATTTATACTTTAGTTTTTGATTAAATTTTTAGCGCTATCTAGTAAAATATTCAAATAAATTAATCAAAGAACTGATTTAGTTTTTCATTAAACAATAGCTATAGATGAACACCTATAGCTTTGCTTTTTACAGCTTATAAGTTTTATCCCACTATAGCATTGATTATTATCTTTAGTTAAACAACTCATGTGCATTTTTAGGACAACTTCGTTTCTTATGTCCAAAAGGATGCGGCAGAAGCTACAATAGAAAAGACAACCTAAACCGACATTTAAAGTATGAGTGTGGTGTACCTAGGCAGTTTTCATGTCCTCTGTGCGATAAAAGTTTTGCTTACAAAAGTAACCTTAAGAACCACGCAGCCATGGTGCATTTGACTAACATCGACATCAAAGTCTGACGATTTTTTAAAATAATTTTTAAATTATTGTTAATTATCTTATATTTTTTTTTATATATATTTAATAATATTAAAGTAATTTTCAAAGCTATCATCTTGTTTTGTTTGAGTATGAACAACGAATTTTTACGTGTTGATGCTTTTTATAGAATAGTTCAAGCTTTTGTATTCATAAATTTTAATTATTTTTGTGATTTTGTTACAATATTAATTAATGCAGATAAAGTAGTAGTAAATTAAATGTTGGATGTTTGCTTAACTTATTATCTTTTGTTTACCAGGAAATTTAATTTTGCAACGGTTCTATTGCCCGAGAGGTTGCGGCCGTAGTTATAAACGTAAAGATCACTGTCAGAGGCACATTAAGTATGAATGTGGCGTACAACCGAAGTTTAAGTGTTGGTATTGCAACAAAATGTCCCATCGCAAATCAAATTTGAAGATACATGTTATGTCCGTGCACAAAGTTCAGTTTGATGAAACACAAATTATCTGTACTGATTAATATAACACGTTTTGAACTTGTCATTAGTACTTTTTGTTTTTATAGCAAATTGATGTAGTTGTTCTTTCAACACAAATCATTTCAGTGTTCATATTTCACTGTTAAAAATAATGCTGAGGAAATATTTAACTTAATCGTTTTTCACTTAACGTATACAGGGTCGCATGTAGGGGGCACTGGGTGCTACGTACTCTGAGCGTCTGGTTTTAAGAGTGGCACTGAAGAGAAAACTCAAGCTAATTAGCCAGAAATATAAATTTTATTGTAAAAGATCATTTTTTTTTTTGCATACAAAATATAATAGCGATGTACAGAAAAAATGTTTTGAGTAAAATAAAAAGGTCATTGCGTTGGTAGAATTGAATACTCTGTGCAGTATAATTCCTAAATGCGGCCCTGGACTGTTTTTCTTTTCGTTGTGAATGTTTTTTGTATTCATTATTATTGAATGAAACCATTATCATTATTTTATAATTTCTCTTGTGTATAAATATTGTTTATCAATGTAATTATGTACCATTTGAATCGTGTTAAAATAAAATAAATTTCTGGATAGCAAGCGATTAGTAATTTAAAATTTATTTATTAATTTTATCTTGAGTGTAGTTGCTATATTACTCCTTTAATATATATATATATATATGCATAAATAATAAATAATAATATTGGTTAATAAAAATTTTATTTTAAAAGTTTATGTGTTTACTTACAAGTATTACTCGTTCTCAATTATTGTTTGTTTATTTTTTTAGCTATACCTTTATATTACTGTTTAAGAAATTGTGGAAGATATTATAGCAGGAAGAATAGTATGACAAGACATATGAAATTTGAGTGTGGCGTTCCTAAACAATTTTGTTGCCCGTATTGTAAAAAGATGTTTCATCGAAAATCAATTTTAAAGATACACGTAATGGCCGTACATAAAATGCAATTTGACGAAATACTAACAATTTCATGTTGAGTTATTAATTTATAAATTAAATGTGATTAATGCATATTAATACTACTTGATACCTTTTAATCATCCAATAATTCTTATTTAATACAACAAAAGTCATGTTTTCCAAATTATCAACTTATAATTTTTGTAGTAAAATTAAATAAATTTAATTAAAGCTAAATTAATATATAAATGTTTAAAAATTTTAAAATAATAATAAGAATAAAAAATGTATTTAGTTATTATAAAATATTTTGTTTTTAGTTGTTGTACGCAAAAGATCTAATTATATATATATATACTAATGTTTAAAAATTTGTCTTTGTCAAACTAAATTTTAACTAAAGTGTTTGTAAAAAGTTATCTCTGTTGATTTGTTTAATTAAATATTAATAATTTCTCTACATTTTGTAATCATTCCTTTATAAGTAAAATAATTTAAGGTTTACTTCAAGTAAAATTTATTTATTTAATATTTTTTATTGTTATAATTTGTAACATTAATTTTGATTTTTTTTTCTCATAAATCGTTTTATTTTATTTTTCAGGTAAAATGTCATTTCATTGTTTAAGGAACTGTGGAAAAAGTTATAATAGAAAATATAGTATGCAAAGACATATGAAGTACGAGTGTGGCGTTCCAAAACAATTTGTTTGCCCATACTGTAACAAAAACTTTAGTCATAAGAGCAACATGAAATGTCATGTGGTTGTATTACACAATATACACAAATTATAATACCTTTATTTTCTTTGTTATTTTTTTGTGAACTATAGTATTGAAACTTTATTTAACTGTTATTTTTAAGATTGTTTATATCTGTGTTAACGTACCTAAAATAGTTATACAATTTTTTGAAGTCTTTATTTAATATAAAAAAGACAAAAGTATACTGAACACTTATATTAATTAAAAAAAAAAACTGGCATATTTTGTTTTTATATTTTAGTTTGTCTGATTACAAAAATAATAGAAATGAATATTCTATTTTAACTTGCCACCTGTATTATAAATATATATAAGCTATTATAAATAGCTATCGTAATTATTAAAATAATTCATACAACTTCGATGTTTAATATTTAAAGTAGTTATAGTGAATAAATCATTTTCGGCTTTTCAATTAACGGGTGCTAATTTCTTATATTATGTTTAGTATTTCTGACATAAAATAATTCGCTAGTTATTTAGTTGTACTCAGTTCGATTAATAGTCTTAGCAATTATTACTGAATTAAGAATTAATTAACTTTTTATTTCAGGGAATATTATTTCAGCCAGTGATCGATATTATTGTCCTAGAGGTTGTGGTCGAAATTACAAGCGAAAAGAAGATTGTGTGCGTCATATGAAGTTGGAATGTGGCATACAACCCAAATTTAAATGCCAATTTTGTAACAAAAGGTCACATCGCAAGTCAAATTTAAAAGTTCACGTTGTATCTGTACATAAAGTCCCTTTTGAAGAAACGCAGATTATCATATTATCTAACAGTTAAATTCATGTCTTTATTTTGTTATTTCTTGTAAATATATTGTAATGTCTCTAAATAAGTTGACATTTATTTCGGTCTTTGTTTAAGCCAAATATATGAATGTTGGTTATCAAGCTTCACAAAATAAATGTACATAATATAATTTTACAAATAGGTATTGTGCAAAATTACACATAATTTTTTTTGGTGTTTGATTATTGCACGATTCTAATTTCAAAAATACTTGTGTTAATGATGTATCAAATTAGAATCATTGAAAAACCATGGTGTTCTCACGATATTTTCATGGAGAGGGTTATATATATATATATAAGTTAATTTTACTACTCCCATCAAATGGTATATTAAAAGTTCAAATATTTTAGGAGGAACTACTATTGTCCCCTTTGACCACATTTTGGTTGGACGTATTTTCTAATACTAATAGTCGCAATTTTTTTGATTGATTATAGTAATTACATATTGGAGGTACTTTTTTTATAACAAAGAAAAAAAATAATTCATTAGGTGACTAAGTGGGGGACCACCGAGCTACCTAATGAGAGGCGGACATTTTTTAGTTATCTACACTCAGAAAATATGTAAATTCACCCCTGTTGGATTGAAAATAATGAATAAAAAAAGATATAAACAAATTAGTAAATTATTACATTATCTTCTTTTCTCTTTTAAAAATTTAATTTTATGGTAAGTCTTTTACTGGTAAAAATACACTTAATTAAATCAAGGTTCTGGAAATACTTTACGATCTTGATAAATATTAGTCTTTTAATTATATGCTTATTTTTAATTTTGTGCAAAAATGTAAAAAATATTTAGTAAATAAGTTTTAGGTTAGAATAGTAAGTTGGCATATTAATTAAATTTGTTCAATTTAATAAGTTAATCTAATTTAATATTGTATAATTTGCAATAAAGAATTTTGTTAATCGAGTAAGTTGTAGAAAATAATTTACTAGAAAGTGCTGATCTGTAAAGACAAATTGATATTTCATAGTATGCGCAATATGCTTAAAATAGTGTTTTAATGACATGTCCTACATTTCATAATGTTTTATTGAATTATTACTGCGAATTATACATTTATATTATGAATGTATCAAACAGTAATTGGTATAATGACATAGATTAATTACCATCTAAGAGTTTTAACATTAGATGTTGACCTTATGTCATTTTTTAAACACTGAGGTATTTGAAATACTATAGGACGAACGAGAAAAAAACGATAGTTTCCCATTGTAATTAAATTATGAAGTTATAATAGTTTTCTCTTAAGTTTTGCAAATATTTTTTATTATTGTTGTATGGTCATATTAACTTTAAGTAGAAAAATAATTTTTGGTTGGCTTTTGCGTTCGGGCTTAATTTTATTTTAATGATAATATAATATTCACTACTTAATTAGCAACGTACATTAATTTTTGTGATGGTATTCTTCACTAACCAGTATTAAATCTTTAATTGGTACGATTAATAATAATGGTAAAAAATTTGATCCACAGGACAAATGATATTTGCTGTCAATAGGTTTTATTGTCCTAGAGGATGTGGCCGAAGTTATAAGCGTAAAGATCACTGTTGGAGACATATCAAGTACGAGTGTGGAGTGCCGAAACAATTTAAATGTCAACATTGTTCCAGAGGATTTGCACATAATAGTGCGTTGAAGAAACACATTATGGTTATTCACAAAGTGATTCCCAAGGATTCTGTTGAAACCCCCCGTAGATCTCATAAGTATAACATCAGCAAATGAGTGTCGAAAATTATTTTGTTTTTATGATTACCAATTAATGGTTTTTCATTACTGGAATTAATGTTCAAAAAGTTTTACATTTTCTCACGAGGGTTATTATGTTTTACAAAATGTGATGAAAATTACAATATTATCGAACTTGCAAGTTTTAGTACCGATTGAAGATTGTTCTATGTGAACTATTATCATGTTTTAATTATATTTTAGAATTTGTATTAGGAATATTTTTTTACAAAAAATCAAAACTGAATTATTTTTAAGTGTTTTATTATGAATTATAATTAATGTATAATTAATAAAAGGGTGGCATTACTAACATAATTGCATCAGGGAAGCATTTTTATTAATGTAATTATTTATATTTTTTAGTTAATTAATTTTTTTGTTGATTTTTTATAAAATAATGATTTTTAAATTAATATACATTAAAAAGAAAAAATGCGAATTAAATAGATGTATTTCATTTATACTTACCTAATAATTAGTTATTAAAAGGAGAAATTATTTCTTCTTTTTTTTTATCTTGGCGTGATACTGTCGATATGAGCAAGCGTGAAATGATTAATCTAGTTAGACCTAAAATGGCTTTTATTTTAAAAATAAAGTGTAATTAATGTTTCATTAGTGATAATTAAAATTTATTTATTGAACACAAAATACTTTGACTTTCTTCTATATTATTTGATATATATCACTAATTTTAGTTATATATATATATGTTTTTTGACAACTCTTGAATTTATCTTTTGATTGGTGCTATGTTTTATGACAGATTAACTATTTGTTCATAACATCTAAATTTAATTAGAGTATTGAATCAGAATAAAAGTTACTCTTAATAACTATTATAGTATAAATTTCATAAAATAATTTTTATGTCTTTAAAGCATAATGTTGTTGTCAACGTTTTATGTTTTCAATTATTTAATAAGGTAGTTAATTGTGCTAATAAACTCATATTAGTTGAAAGATGGCGTGCTCAGTAATACAAACATTTGTCAAATGTGCTTATTTTTAAGTTTAAATCAAGTTAGGAAATAATGATAATATAACTATTGATGAGGAAAGTATTTAAGATATTGTTTAATTGATGATTTTTTTTTTTTGTAGATTTTCAAGGTAAATTTTTATGTCCAAGAAAATGCGGTAGGAGTTACAAATGGAAATGTAGTTTAAAAACACATTTAAGATACGAATGCGGAGTTCCAAAACAATTCATGTGTTCGTTGTGTGAAAAGTTATTTGCCCATAAAAAACTACTTAGAGCTCATTCAGCAGTTATTCACAACATTTTCCCTAATTAAATTTTTACAACTTATAAGTAAAAATTATTTTACAAGATATTATTTAAGTCTATATTTAAAAATAAATTGATGTATTAAGACTAATAAATGCAAAAATTGTACACGTATTTCTGTTTGTTATTTTTACATTTTTACAAACAATTGTTTGAAGGAATTGATAATACAAAATTAATTTTGTAACCAACTTTGTATTTTATGAATATTTGAATTTTCGGAATAATTAATCATTTTTAAACTTATATATCATATTTTATAATTATGATATTCTTACATAATTGTTTATTTATCAAAAATTTATCAATATCTTACCTTCTTTATTTATTAAAGAAATTTGTATAAAATAATTTAACTGTAATAAATAGAAGAAAAGTTGGAGTTATGTAATTTATTTATTAACATAATAATAATAAACTCATTAGAGTTCAATTACATGTGAATTTTTTTTCATATTTAACTCAATAAATTAAACCATCTTCATCATCGTCATCTATTAAAGGCTTTGCCTTGTCGTTGAAGCCACTCCTCTCTGTTGGACGATCAATTTTTCATTGAAACAAAAGACACATAGTTCATGAGTTCACGGATATATTCAAAGTATTGTTTCCTTGGGCATCTTCTGGTTTCTTCCCAGTTATTTTTCTTTCGAAGATGTCAATAATAAAATCATTGTGTCGGATTTTGTGTTCGATTAACTTAATTTTTCTTGATTCAATCACCTTCATCAGATGGCTTTCTTCTCCTACTTCTTCTAGCACTGATTCAAATATTTTCTTGTTTATCCATTTTGTCTTTTTCATTTTTTCCATATCTATAACTTTAATGCTTCTAGTTTGCTTCTTGTCAATTGTTCATGTTTCACTACCATATGAAAGTACACTCCAGACAAATGTTTTAACTAAACTTTTATGTATGCCAATACTCAGATGTTTATTGGCGAGAAGCTGATTTTTGTTCTGGAATGTTTGTTTTGCCAATGCTATTCTCTTCTGATGTCTGGTATTGATTTATTGAACTATTTTAAGGGCGGATAAAAATTAAGAATTATATTTAAGATTATAATGACTTTGATTTATAAAAAAATAGTTATTAATAAATTCTAATAATTATTACTTTTACTCAGTTGAATAAAATTAAAATGTATGTTTACTAGGATCAAAGGAAATTCAGGATGTTAAATTTTGTGGACTAGAAATCGTGGTCGAAGTTATAAAAGAAAAGATCATTTAGATGCTCATTTGAAATTTGAGTGTGGTGTGTCCAGAATGTTTCAATGTTCTTATTGTCTTAAACTATTTGTAAGGAGCAACACTGATAAAATTATTATTTTTTTATTAGAATATGATGATTTTTGTTTAAAAAAATTGGTCTATTTTGTTCAGTTATAGGTTACTAAATTACCTCAGTTTCTACGCTCAGTTTATAACATTAAGTGTCTATATATCTTAGTTCTGGATTTTATTGTTTTTGTTTTATTAAATTTAAAATTCACTTATTTAACATGATTGAATATATTAAAATATATGATTTTTTTTATTATAATAAATTGTTGATCTAATACAACGTAGGTACATGGAATATTATCTACAATATTAGAAGAACAAATTGATGGTTAAATCAGGAAACAGAATACTATATAATATTTCGAAAATAATTGTAGAAAATTAATTATTTTAAAATAATGTTAAGGATTTAAAAATGTGTTATTCAAAATTACCCACAAATTATTTTATAATAAATTTAAATTAAAAAAAAAAACATTTTTTTAAGTACATTTTAGTTTTTATTACATTTCACAATAAAAATATATCAGCTTTGAGGTATTATAATCAATAAGAAATTAATAAAATAGGTATTTTATAGCTTATTGAGGAGATGACTTTTATGGAACGTTTGCTTTTATTCGATATTCAATTGTATTTAAAACGATTTTTTTCAGGATTTGATGGAAGATATTTTTGTCTAAATAATTGTGGAAATAGTTATGTCCATAAAACTGACATGTATAGACATTTAAGGTACAAGTGTGGTGTAAAACCAAGATTTCAATGTGTAGATTGTAATAAATGTTTCGTTTACAAAAAAAATTACTGTTATCATATGGCAAATCACCATAAGATATTCGTTATATAATAATTGTTTTGGTAAGTTGTAGAAGGTTTTTTTTTTCATTTGTCTATATCACTATTTGTTTAAATTTTAATTTAATCTTTTTAGTTAAATACATTATGTTATACCAAAGTTTTTAAACATTTTTGTGTATTTATTATTTTACCGCGTCCATAAAAATATATGCCTTATGATTGGAGTTCTTTGAAAGAAGTAGTGTTTCTTGTGCATGCATGAATATTAACCATTCTATTTTTACTATAATTACCATAATTCCAATTCAAGACATAAATACTAGTTAATAAAAGTTTTATACTAATAATTTACTCTAGCGCTAAATTCTGAATATTTTTTTTATTGACAGTATCGTTTAAATGTGTTATAATTAATTATTTATGACGTCACAAATGCATATGTAGATCGTCTATGATTTTTGATATTTTCTGTCCTATTGTTGTTTTAGATTTTCTGTCAATAAATTATTTTATTCGTAAAAAGTAATGATATGAAAGTTGGGACAATGAATATTTTTTCAGACCCATTATCAAATATGTGTAAATGAATAATAAATTAAAAACAGTTCTTTAAGAATCTCTATAATAATATATATTAAAGTTTTTATAGGTTAAAGAAATTTGTTTTACCAATTTCATCAATCTTATATGATATAATAGTAGAATTTTCAATTGTGTAGCTTTAAGGAATTGCTTTATATTGCTTTAATGTCACACAACTAGTTAATCAATTTTCTTTTTAATTATTGTTTGTTTTAGAACTCGATTTTATGTTTAGAATTAAGAGATGGGCATGTAATAACTGCAATCGAAGGTACAAAAACAAATCCCATTTACAACGTCACATCAAGTATGAATGTGGGGTATCTGCTATGTTTGTCTGTAATTTTTGTCAAAAATCATTTAAACACTCACATCATTTAAAGGGTCATCTCGGATTTGTTCATGGGATTTTACAGTGAAAACTTTTCATAAATTTAATTATAAGTGTTTCTTTTATTTACATAATTTTATTTTGTTGATATTATATTTTACTAAACTTAGAGTTGTTAAATGCTAATTTTTAAATACATTTGTTGTTATTATTATTTCTTTTTAAATATTAAAAAAAAAACACTCCAGATTGTCTTTATCTATAGAACTTGTTTTTATTGATGTGTATTTACAAATAAGTTAAACCAAAGTGAACTATTAATTTAATAAAAAATATTTATATATTTGAATGCATAAATTATTCTAACTAACTTAACCTGTAGGGAAACACAAGATTTCTTTAAAGAAATCAGCACTTTTGGACGTTATTTGACAAAATCATTTCAAATAATTATTAAAAACAGTGTAATTGGAAACTATCAACAAGCCATGGAAAATACCATGAAAAATATTTTTTGAACTTCTTAATTCTAGAGCCAGTATTGATCTCGTTTCCAATTAACCTTGAATTAAATATCTCCATAACTAATCTTTATATTTTTAAATATTTACTTGAAGATAGATACCAATTGGCAAATTTTCCTAACCATTTTTTTTTTAAATAAAAATAAATATTTTTTGATGCCTATTAGTAGTGTGTTCCTGGCTACGATGCATGTTTTTAATGCTTTATTGTTATTCAGTTCTAATTTTCATAATTTTAACGTTAAACTTTCAGCTTTTTCTTTACAAAGGCGGATGTTTCCTCTCAAATATGTTTGTCCAAAAAATTGTGGTCGTTCTTATAACCACCGAGCCACTATGAACCGTCATCTCAAATATGAATGTGGTGTACCACCGCGGTTTAAGTGTAATGTTTGTGGCAAGTTGTTTGCTCAAAAGGTTAATCTAAATACTCACCTTGTGTCTGTACACAAGATTCGATTGAACGCTCCAGTACCAATTCAATTGAACTCGTGTTGAATTCGATTTGGACAATAAGTAAAATATAAACTAATATAGAACTTATGTTTTTATGGAAAAAATGTTATTATTAACTATTGTCGTTATTATTTTTAATGTTTTTGTTATAATATACTCACTATACTAATTTTCAATTGTCAATTCGTGTATATTATTATATTATAGTGATTCATGATGAAAAAATCTGCTTCAAATTTATTAGAAGAGTACCTAATTATATTCCTATAATGAGCTTATTATTTTTATTTTTAGTAGTATTATAGATAATAGTAATGGAAGCTAATTATTTGTTTCATTTAAAAATTTTATTTTATAGAAATCTTGGGGCGATTAAATGATTTGATTCAAAATGATCCGGCGTTTTGTCCACGGAACTGTGGACGGAGCTACAAGGGAAAATGGCGTAAAACAAACCTTAGAAATCATTTGGTATACGAATGCGGATTACCTTCTATGTTTAAATGTAACATTTGTAACAGAGTTTTCAAGCACAAGTGTACTCTTAAAGCACACTTGGGATGTAAACATAAAATTGTTATAGGAAAAGACTATCAACTGTAGTGCTCAAAAACAGTATAAATTAATTTTGTTAAAAGATTTTAATAAATATGTATTTTAGTGTTAATTTTTAGCGGTTAATTAGTGAACGACGTATTAATGAAGTATTATATACCTATTTATTTTTATTTTAAACTGTTTTAATAATATAAAACGTCATGTAAGTTCAGTAATTACTTTGACTAATTTTTAAGTTTTTGTTAAAATATCGTGTGCAATAGTTGATAGGCGAACCATCCAACTTTTTCAAATTGCTTGAATAATTTTGTATTCATAAAGTTTTAAGGTTATTAACTGTTCTATGACAAAAACATTTAAATAATAAAACAGAGGTGATTTATATGAAAATTACATTTTTGTACCATTAAAAACTTTAGAGAATATATCAATATTAGTATTATAACTTAATAATTTTATATACTAATATAACTATTAAGAAAAAATAAAAATTTAACTTATTTTTAAAAAATTTTTAGTAATTATATTGTGAATATTATAGCAAAAATTTAGAGTTCCTTTCTGAATTTATATTTTAAGTCAATTTCAACTAAACGATGATTTAAATTTAGTGAAAAATAAAATATTTTTTGATAAACTTTCAGAGTTTTAGGTAGGAATGAGTAAAACGTGATTACCCTTCATTAGTTTGAATGTAGATTAGTAAATAGCTTTAGATTTAAGGTATTACGAAAATCTATAGCAATATGTTTTAATACCTAATGACAACTATCCAATTATTTACAACGTCAAATAATTTATTAATTTAAGTGTACCATATAATAATAATTGATCACTTGTGGCTAGTATTTAAAATTCAATATATATTTTTAATTTTAAATAATTTTACTCAACTTGATAATGTTTTAGAATTTACCATCCTTGTTAGTTTTAGAAAGTTACTATTTTGCTTTAAATCTATAATAATTATTAAATACAAACATATTATAGGTGAATCTTGAGGTTCTTTAAAAAAATAACATTTAAATTAATTATTTAATTTTTAGTCACTATTATAAAACAAATTAAATGGAGCTGCTAAACTTGAACCGGCATTAATTTCACATGGTAGTGGATAGTAGTACCGAGATAAAAGTAGAAAATCAAATTTAGAAGTTCATTTAAAATATGAATACACGGTGTGCCAACACAATTTAAGTGTGACGTAGTTTATCGAAATTTCATACATAAACTTCATTTGAGAGGACATATGGTTTATAGTATTGTTATACCGTTATCTTATTTTGTCAGTTAAAATAATATATTTAAATTATTTGGATTTATTAGTTGTATGTATATTTATATACATTTATTATGTATCAGACACTTTAGCTACAAAAACACTTGTGCAGTGCTAACATCAAGTGTAACTATTTTTATGATATCTATTGTTTAATAATTTATGATTATAAGCAATTCATATGGCATAACTTATTAATGCCAATCTTGGCATTAATAATTTATGATTTTTATTGAAAATCCACGATAGGTTTCCTCACATTTTTAAATTTATTTAATTCAATTTATGCAGTTATATATATTTCTGATAAAATAAAAAATTAATTAAAATGATAAACTCATCACAATTTTCTGAGTTAAAATAATAATTCAATTTCTTTAGATAACTCTTATGCTTTTATATTTGTTGCTTTTGGATATTGATAGATTAGATAATTAATTTATATCTCAGTCTAATATTTTGTTGTTAAACTATGTGGCTATTGTATGTTGTTGTCTATAATTATATTGTCGACTTCAAATTTACGTATTTGTTCTTCTCTGTTTGCAGATGAGTTAAAACTCAAAGCGATGGTTAAGAAAATAGTCATGCAGGACCCAGTGGACTGTCCTAATAAATGTGGTAGAAAATACTCGGGAAGATATAGAAAAACAGTGTTAACCAATCATTTGCGTTACGAATGTGGCAAAGAACCTACGTTTCAATGTAGTATTTGTTACAAAAAGTTCCATTTGAAAGGCAATCGAAAAACTCACATGATTAGTGTACATAAGACATTACCGTCTAATTTTTTATAATCGAAAGAATGATCTTTTTTCAAATTATATATCTCTTTTAAGTTTAAGGTCATGTTAATTAATTTAAATTTTGTTTATTCTATATTACTTATATATTACTTTTAGTGTATATTATATGAATTATAAATAATCAATTACGATAAAGTTGATTTGTGTTAATATGTTATTTGTTTCTGTAATTAAATAGAAACTTTTGAAAATATTATCGCACGTGTTGTTGAATAATTAGTAGATTAATTTCAACATTATGTGATAATTACTATCTATGTTATTAATGTCTTTGCACGGTGTCTTACACGGTAAGGGTTGTAGTTCTTCAAAATCTTTTTTTAAATATATTTTTATATGAGCATTGTTTGACATTCATATGAAAAATACGCATTTTTTATGTATTTTTTTCGCGATCGTCGTAATGATTAGTTATTATTGTACACGAGAAGACGATAATACTAGGAAACAGTTATTATTAACGTATACATATAGAGTATTTAAAAAAGGAAATGGGTTTCTATTGTTTGTAACAATTGACCTATTTCCTTACTCTTAGAACACTCTTTATTCTATGTATTAATTATTATTCAATTTTTTGTTAGCTTATTTTTGTTGTAAAAATAATATATTATTATATTTTAAGTTTGTATGTTAACGGGATTGTTGAATTTTTAGATGAAGACTCCGGTGGCTGTAATGAAGAGTTGGAGTTTTGTCCTAACATGTGCGGTCGAAGTTACAGAGGAAGGTATCGAACTAAAAACATTAAAAGACATTTGCGGTATGAATGTGGAGTTCAGCCCCAATTCCAGTGCGACGTTTGTTTGAAGCGATTTACTCACAATTCTGATAGAAAAAAACACATGGTTATAATTCACAAAACGTTATTAGAAAATTCAGCGTTGTAATTGGGAAATTAATTTCCACCTTACCTAATTGTTAATCATTTTATAATTCTCTTTAAAATCTTATAAATTTGTTTGTTAATAATGTTTAAAAAATGTATACTTATGTTTTGTTTGTTATTTAGGCTTGGGTGAATCAATTAACTTAAATGCATTTCGATCGATCAATTTTGAATAAAAATTTTCTATTTTGTTACTACTTATATTTTTGATTTATTTATTTTTTACAGCACAATCCTTAATCACGTTCAAAATTAACTATAAACAATTTGTTTGATAACTTTCTAAAAATACATGATATATTTTTAGAAAATTTTTTTAAATAATATTATACATTGAAATGTAATTTATGTAATTTTAAATTAGAATGGAGAATTATTTTATAGGAATGCAAGATGAAAATTTTTTTGATATTTGCAACATGGGAATGGTATTTAGAAATACTGGTCATTTTTAGAATTTTAAATAATAACAAAAATATTATTTGATATAAAACTTAATTTAACACTGGGAAATTTCGAGTATATATTATTTTTTTAAAAATGTGCTTTTGTGGAACATTTATGATTATAATGTACTTGTATTTAAACATGTTTGTCTTAATGACATTAATTATTTTCGTGTAAGAAAATTATATTGTTTGTTGTAAAATATTTCAATATTTTTTTCTTTTCTAAACAATTTACTATTACTTTTTTAGAAAATCATTATATGAGAACTAAAATTCGAACCAAGTTGAATGAATACTGTGCTTATGACCCTGCCGAGTGCCCAAATAAATGTGGACGTAGTTACAAAGGAGATTATAGAAAATACAATTTAAAACGACATATATTTACCAATGAATTGTGTTTGACTAGTTTCATAAACTGCTTAAACAATAAGTAAACTAGTACAAGTTAATAACATAATTAAGTGGAATTATTTTTTCTAAGGAGTCATAATATTTCCAAGAAAGTTACTTTTTTCAAATATATTTATTGTATTTATATACATTGTTAACATTTTCATTACTATTGTATAAATGACACTTTTTTAATTAAAATTTTATTCTATAATATACAGAATGGTATACAACGTTTTGACAAATTTTATACATTTTTCCAAATAAATATTTTGCATTACTTTTTTTCTAATTGTAATTTGATATACTTTAAAACTAAGATAATATCATAAGTTATTTATTGTCAAAAGAACAGTAGGAAAAACAATGTTTCTGCGTTTTTACTCAATACATATTTTATTGTTTGATACCGTAAAATAAACACATGAAAATTTAAATTTCCACAAGCATATATTGCTACAGAAATTTGACTACTGAACATTTATACTATATTTTTTAATTAATTTTTTTCATAAAATCTTCTCTAAAAATGGCCGCCAACTATACATTTTTGTAAATAAAATTTTTTTTTATTGTTTTTAATGAAAAAAAAAATATTTTTCCTGATGTTATTTTCATAGTTCTAAAGTATAATAATGATTAATTAAAAAAGTAAGTAAAATATTTAATTAATCAAAAGTTATAAGATTTGTCAAATCGTCATAGATAACTCTGTAAATAGGTAAGTGTCTCACGATATTCTGACAATTTTTCTTAAGAAAAGTATTGAAGACTCTGTATTTTTAAATAATTCATGTGCTATTTTTTATTATAAATAAAATATATTAATGTTACTCTGAAGTTAATGACAAAACGAATTTTTCGTTATTTTATAGAACTTTTATGTAAAAGTTTCACGTAAAAATAATTTTTAAGTATTTAACTCTCTATTAAAATTGTTACTTGTGTCTAGGAAAATTTTTAATTCTGGATTAAATTGATATTTTTTATTGTTTTTTTACAGTTTATTTTATATTGTTTAATGATACTTTTTTTTGTCTCAGGGAGAAAATATTAATGAGAAATAAATTATATTGATGTATGTATTGTGTAATTTTGATTCAGTTGTCCTAACAACAGTGGTGTTCTTTATTAGAATATATGGAAAAATGTAACTTTAAACGACTTTCGATAACCAAGTACGGATTTTCAAAAAGATTTTTTGATATGTCATACATATTAGCAGCAACTTCGATATAATTCTGATAATTTTATTTTACTATAAATGTATGTGTTTATTTATATCAGATATTTCATCTACGTTATGCAACTTTCCTTATTGTTTATAACTCTGTTTTTTTAATGAAATATTTAAATAAAATTCTTTTGATCAATTTTTTTGGTTTAATAGACATTTTTATTTGATTTTATATTTGTATAATTTAAGAAATTGTTAAAAAAATAGTTGTTAATTTGTACAAAAATAAATCTTTTAAATTAATTGCATTGGATATGAGATATCAGTGAGCATTTTTTAAATGTATAAAGGATATTATATCATTATAAAATTTTTTTAAGGATTTGTGTATCATGAATAAATATTTTTGTAATGCTATTCGTTAAATTCTAATTTATATTCAAAAATATGATTTCAATTATATTGATTAAAACTGCTTTAAAATCACTGCATTAGTATAAATAGAGTAATAACGCTTGCTAGTACATAAATGGTATGATTAATTACTAAAACAATCATTAAACGATTAACTTCACTCAGCATACTTTGAATATATTAGGTTTGATGGAAATCACTCTATAATTTAGCTTGTTCACATTTGTTTTTTACGTATTCAAGTTATTTTTATGTATATATTATTATTAATATTGATGTATTTTATGTTATGCTAAATCGTTAATAATTTAAAAACCATAGTTATTCATTGGTGGTGCTAAAAATTAACTATATTAATTTTTTTTTTCTAATTAATAAATATCTTTTTTAATAGAACCAAATGCTAGATGGCTGGAATCAAACAAATTAAAACAATTGTCTAAAACGGATCCTGCATTATGTCCAAATCAGTGTGGTCGTAGTTATAGAGGGAAGAGTCGAAAAGCGCATTTAAAAAGGCATTTGTTACATGAATGTGGGGTACCTAAAAAGTTTAAATGTAATTTCTGTTCAAGAAGATTTGCCTACAACGTTTCATTGGAAAAACATTACCAATCTTGTACCAAAAATGATTATATGTTTAGTGACCAACATTTTCTACATTTAACTACTTGACAAGCAATAAGCGTATACTAAGCTCTAAAGCGACAAAAAAAGAAAATGTATTGTTAATTAACCATTAATAATAAATTAGAATTATTAAATTATTAGTTGTTACTATCATAAACTTATAAATGTCATAATGTCGAATTTTTTTTATAATATTTGAGTTATGATAATTTATGTTGTGTTAACGTTATTATTTATTATGTCATTTGTGTGTTTGTAATCAAAAGTAAATAATTTTTTTTTTCAATTTTTCAAATTAATAAAATTATATTATAGAGCACCTAAGTAAATTATTTTGAAACCCTCTTAAATTTTTTTATAAAATTATCAACATGTGAAATGTAATTTTTTTTATAACTATTAAACTTTTTTTTTAATAAAAGATAAGTTTTTCTTTTTCAAGATCAGTAAGTATTAATCTGCAATAAAGAATATTATCAATGTCTGCCAAACAATAATAGTTCTATCTATTATTTCACTATTTTTGCATTTAATTTTTAATTTTACTTTACTAAAAGTAATATAATTCTACCAAATATCTATGATTTACAAAGAACAGATTTATTTACTATTTACTAAGTGGCTACAATTGGAACGCTTAGCTTTAAGACTAATTGATTAATATGGGTTTGATACTAACTAGAAACATTTTATTATTTAAAAAGACGAATTATCATTTTTTGTTTTTGTTTTATTTAAATAAAAAAAATTCTTTGTAAAATCCTTTATGTCTATATCGAATTTTTTATGCAGTCTAGTCTAAGCTTTTAATATTCTGATGGTTTTACTTGTTTTGTTATATTTTATTTATTTAATGATTTTTTAATTGATTTCAATAGGTTCAGAAAAATGGTTACCTTATCTGCATACGATATCAAAAGCAGACCCAGTGTTTTGCCCCAACAGTTGTGGTCGTTGTTATAAGGGAGAACAACGTAGAGCACATCTTAAACGACATTTGGACAATGAATGCGGAGTACCTAAAAAATATCAATGTGTTATATGTCTGAAACGCTTTTCACAGAAATGGTCGTTGAAAAAACATGTGCTCCTAGTACATAAAATTATAAATAAGACTTAATATTTCCTTTGTTTTTTTAATAATTTTATGAAATTAAATACATATATTTTTTATCATTAAAACTCTTGTAATTAAATAAATTTCATCTATTATAAATTACGATTTAATTTTTTGAATTTAATTATTTATTTGACTTTTATGTATTTTAGCGTTGAAAACCTTGCATTGTTAGGATTATTCGATATAGAAGTTAGTTTAAATTTTGTATGTCGGTTTTTTTATTATCATAACTTTTTTTCGTGTTTCTTAGTTTTTCATTAATACGTTCATTTCCAAGATGAGACCAAACACCGTAGAAGTTTTTTAATACATGCTTTTGGTTTTTGTCAAACAACTTTTATTTTGAAATATTATTTCGTTTACTTGTTTCAATATTCTCAAAGCAATTTTTTAAAACAAGTTATTATTTCGTAGACTTGATGGAGATGACCAATCAGTACTGGATAGCTAGATTAGATGCAATATCTGAATTAAATCCTGCTGAATGTCCTAATAAGATGTGTTGGCGAAAGTACAATGGTCCACAGAGAAAAAAGTTACTCAAACGTCATCTTATGTACGAGTGTGGCGTCCCAAAGCAATTCTCGTGTCCAGAGTGTCCCAAAGAATTCTCACAGAGATACACATTAAAAAAACACATGTTAGTAGTTCATAGACAACTGAGATCGTAAACGCATAGGTGTCGATTGTAATTGTGTATCATTAAAGACACATTTGTTTTTTATATTTTTATTTTTTAAACCGATTTTGTTATATGAGCTTTTTATATAATAAATGTTTTACTAACAATTAAGCTGCTTTTATAGCTATTATATACATTTGTTTTTTGATATTAATTTTTTATTAAAATTAAGATGCGATGGTGATAATTAATAGATCATAAACTTGTGTGCAAAATTTTACTTAATTGTTATATCTTACAGGAGGACGCATGCAAACAACGCTGTACTTGAGTTCAGTATGCACTGAGTCTGATCCTGTCATCTGTCCAAATATGTGTGGCAGGCGGTACAAAGGTGAGCAGAGAAAAATGCTGTTGAAACGGCACTTACAAAACGAGTGTGGCGTTCCTAAAAAATTCCAATGCATGGTTTGCTCTAAAAGGTTTACTCAAAAGTGGAATATGAAATCACACATGATCAATATGCACAAGACGATTTTTTGAATCTACAAATTAAATATAGTTATTTCAGTATTTTTTTCTAATAAAATTTATTATATAATATATTACGAGTTTTAGTGGACTTTATTCCAGCTATTTTTCCGTTTTCAATACTCCTTTTATTACACATATCAACTTATTACTAGTGCCTGTATGCTTTTGCCATGTATTTCAATAGATGAGCATTAGTATAACTTAAGGGTTTTGTTATACATTTTCTAGCGGATCTTTGGAGTCATCTTGATGAAATATGCCGCACTGACCCGGCTGTATGTCCTAACGGTTGTAGCCGTAAATATAAAGGACGATATCGCAAACAATTACTCAAGAGGCATTTGACTCATGAATGTGGAGTTCCGCGGCGTTTTCAATGCATGATTTGCTTTAAACGGTTTGCTCAAAAATGGAACCTCAAGACTCACGTATATGTAGTACATAAATTATTTCTTTAAGTAGGAACAATTAAAAAGGACTTAATTAGAGCGATTTGCAAGGAAATAGAAAATCTATAAAAAAATTATGAACTAATTTCATAGAAATATTTATTCAACATTATTTTAATAATTGACAAATTCTGTATTTTTTAAGAAAAAAAATTAGTTTTATTATCAACATCTCATGATTTGTTAAAAAAAAAACCGTTTATAAAATTCAACATAAATGATAGATACCTTATGTTGTGCATTTAATATATGTATCTATTTCGATATTAAGTATTTAAACTTTAAAACGTAAAGTTACCTTTCCTTTTAACATAGAAATTATTTTTTAGCTTTACATTATAACATTTTTTTACAATTTCTTTAGTATTTTTTAAATATCTGTTTTTGTGAATACCTATGTAAATAAAACAAATCAATATTGTATATTGTTTGGAAATCATCAATTTTTAATAATTGTTATGTTTTTATTTTAAAAATCACGAATAAAAATTTATGTTAATAAAATTTTTCTCAGAATTGTTTTTAAATTTAAATTACATATTTTATCATGTTATTTGTTGATTTTTATTTTTTTAATTATATTCATACCATTTATTTTGGAGATCTGGATAAAATATAGTTTGTCTTTAATATGATTTGCCTTTATAATATAATAATATAACAGCAATACAAAATTGTAGCTTCTAAACAAAGTATCAGATTCAGTTGTAATATTTAAATTTTTATCCTTTAGGATCTTGATGTATAAGTGACAAAATAGATAAATTCCTTAAACAGTTTCTATGTTATTGTTTATCAAAACTCGTATTTACATAAGTTATTAACATTTTTTTTTATTTCAGACTAACGTAAATCTTCGGTTTGGTTATCTTAGGTTATGGATGAAATTAACGTCTGGAATTTCATTTTTCGATGTTTGATCGAATTTTGAAGTTAACAACCAAGGAAATAAAATAATTTTTTACGTATTCTGTTGGAAATATAATATATATTTAAGTCATTTATGAAAAGCTAATGTAATTTATTAGTTATAATTTACAAAAAAATAAAAAATAGTAATCATATTAAGTATTTCTGTTATAGTGATATAGTTATGAATGTATATAAAAATAAAATTTAAATTTTATGTAATGACATTAGTAATCTCAGATCTTTAGAGTATATTAGTTTATCAATAACTTTAAGCAGCTGCAGGACAATTGTTTAAAGTGAAATAGTGGGTAATTTGCATTTCAGCCAGAATCTTTATATATTATTTAGGGATCTTTTTTTGTTTATTGTATTATTTAAATGGGTTTTCAGTAAGTAAGGAAACGGGTTTCTATTGTTCTCATTGTTTGTAACAATTGACCCGTTTCCTTACTTNTTGTTACAAACAATGAGAACAATAGAAACCCGTTTCCAGACTTACTGAACACCCTGTATATTATTTAGGGATCTTTTTTTGTTTATTGTATTATTTAAATGGGTTTTCAGTAAGTAAGGAATCGGGTTTCTATTGTTCTCATTGTTTGTAACAATTGACCCGTTTCCTTACTTTATGAATACTCTGTATATCAATAAATCAGTAAATTTCTGTACAGTATTTAGTTTTAAAAAATTCCGGCCTTTATTGATCTACAGGGTGTTCAGTAAATAAGGAAACGAATTTCTATTGTACTCATTGTTTGTAACAATTTAACTGTTTCCTAACTTACTGAACACCCTGTATATTAACTATTCATTTTTATTATTGTATTTATTCTTTATAATTATTTAGTGGCATGTAAATTTTTTAAAATTACATATGTTATATATCTTTAGCTCCAGGTGTCATATCATAAATGAATTCTTAAATATTTTTTTAATGACTTGTATTCATCTCAGAATATTTCTGTCTACTAAAATATAAAGCAAAATAATGATGATCTGATTCGTTAAATTTAAGATGAAAAATTAACTGATTGTATGTCTTTATATTATATAATATATATATTAAAATATATATTATATATTTTTTAACAAACCTTTAGCATAGATTAAAAAATTAGCGTACAATTAAAGGTGTGTTTTATGGTGATGAATTTACTTTAAAAGTTAAAAAAAGAGATGAGAATATAGCAGCTAAACCAATGGATAGTGTCAAATTTTATTTCTTATATTTTCTTGTTTGTGTTTATATTTAGCATTCTGATTATTTTGTGTGATCTTAATTTTTTTTTTAGAATAACTATTAATTTTACTAACTTTGTTATGTTTGTAAATAGGATATCAATCTCGGGAGTTAGTGTACTGTCCTAATCTATGTGGTCGGAGTTATAGTGGTGAATGGAGAAAGTCCAGCTTGCAAAGGCATTTAAAGCACGAGTGCGGAGTTCCTAAAAAATTTTTATGTACTATATGCTCAAAGAGATTTGCTCGAAAAACTCATTTGAAGTCACATACGCTTATAGTACATCGTGCACACATATGTTAAAAAAAAAATGTGGCTGAACTATATGAAAACTATTATTTTTGTTATTTTCTTAGAATTAAATCATTTTCAAATCACCAGTTTTGTTTTATTATTCTTAGCTTGCTTTATTGGGATAACTATATAGGTTAGCTTTTATATGCTATGATCTATTAAAAGTCATAATTTTAAAATTATATATCATACTATATTATTTACTCAGTAGTCATACCAGCCAAGTACACAATAAGTCTTTTTCTTGGCCCATTAATTTTTGTTGTATTTTTATCCTTACCTATTATTCTCGCAGAATTCATATATATTTTGGAGAAAATGAATAAAGACTCATTGGCTGATCCGATATCTTGTCCTAACAATTGTGGCCGTAGTTATAAAGGCAAAAGTCGCAAATATGTACTCAAGCGACATGTGATGTACGAATGTAGAATTCCGCCACAATTTCCATGTACCATTTGTCTTAGGCCATTTAAGCGAAAAGACGAAATGTTGATTCATCAACAGAAGAAACATAATACTTTTGAATAAAAATAAAGAGAATTTATTTCTGATATTATTTATATCTCAATGAATTTGTCGTCATAAGCGACTCGTTGTTTTAATATGTTAAAAGATATCAATTAAGTGTAATTATCTCATTTAACTAATACAAATTGTTTGTGTTTATAAGAAACTGAAATAAAGTATGATTTTTCAAAATAATTTTTTTAAGTATTGTATTTAAGTATATTTAAGTACAAATTTAACTGTATTTTAATTTTTATGGGTAATCATTATTCCACGGCCTTTGTTAATTAACAAAGAAATTATTTTGTAATGTTGACACACTTATACATGTCAACAATTAATTGAATGTATTAATAAAATTGTGATTTTTTTAATATTAATAGACGACTTATTTGATCGTAATAGACAAAATGTGAATGTTTTCTTTACTTATGTTGTATCAAGTGAATATAATTCAATACTTGAAAAATGTATGTTAACCATATATTGAACAGTTAAGTGCACAGTGTTGTTATTATTATTAATGTATTTTTTTTTTAATTTTACTTGTTATTTTTTTTACCTTTGGTTAAATTGTAAACTACGTTTTTATTATAAAATTGTGTTTTTATTTAATTTATATTATAAGTTCTTTATTCGAGAGTGAGCAAATGCATAAGGACACTAAACTTATAATAATGTGTCGTTAATTTTTTCCCGTTTTGTTACTTTGATAACATCATAATTGTCTATCGAAAAAGTTTCTCGGAAGTATGCATTTGCCATTAAAATTAATTAGCAGCTTTACACTAAAAGTTTAATTATTTATTTATTATTTATTATTAGCAAATATTTTATCTAATTTGTCTAATTATAATATTTTGTTTATTTACAGTTGTTGTAGCTCGTTTAAATTTGTTGAGACCACAGGCAATACCGGACCCAATGCCTTGTCCAATGAATTGCGGTTGTGTGTACAAAGGAAAACATCGCAAGTATATTTTAAAACGTCATTTGCTCTACGAATGTGCAATGCTGAAAGTTAAATGTCCGCATTGTCCCAAATTATTTAGTCAAAGAGCTCATTATAAGTTTCATTTATCTTCAGCGCATGGAGTTATGTCTATACCATTAGAAAATGGTGAATAACTATAATCTCGGAACGAGTCAGAGAAATCGAAGGATTAATTAAAATTAAGGTTTTATAAAACTATGATATTTTAATAGTTAGTAAGCTTGGATCATTATTGATATTAGAGTTTTCATTGAAATTTTAGTCGGTAAAAAACTATAGTAGATTGTAAAATTAGTTCGATAAGAAATTCATTTTTGAATAAAATAAATTATGTTTTTTTTTGTCATGGAAAATTATTTTTTAAATATTTTTGAGCAATTGACGCTAAACCTAACCATGTATGATTTTGTTCTTATTAAATATCATTAGTTTTTCTATGGTATTTTCTATCTTTGCTCTTTTTTTTTTTTTAGAAAATTATTTTTATATTGTTAAGAATACGTGTAACTAACTAAAAATATTCAATCTAAACTATGTAAAAATGAATATGTTCAGAAAGTAATGTAGGAAGTTTTCAGATTTGTTGCAAAATAATTATTTTATAGTAAAATTTAACAATATAAAACTCTCAAGCATATTAGTAGTTTTTAACTACTAAAAACTCTTTATAAACTAACACTGCTTGATTTATAACTTTTGTCACTATGCAGTCTTATATTTATATTAAAAATGGCATAACTCTTTTAATAATAATGAAGCTGGTATAATGGAAAATATTCTACTTTTCACAGTCCAAAAATTAAAATGCTAATAATTAAATATTCTCAACGTTAATTAGCAATGGTATTTGAAGGCTTCACACCTTCTATACTAACATGATGTTTTTAACTATAGATTATTAACATATTAAGTGTTTTTAATTTTTTAGATATTACATGGAAGATGCTCAAATTGGAGGAGTCTTGTAAACAAGATCCAGCTGTTTGTCCTAACATGTGTGGTAGACGATACGTAGGGGTTGCCAGGAAATCGCATTTAAAACGCCACTTGTTTTACGAATGTGGAGTACCTCGGCAATTCAAGTGCCCATTATGTTTAAAACAATTTAAGCAAAAAGTCCACCTCAAGTGTCATCTTATGTCAATGCATAGTGTGATCGGTTCATGAGGCTTGTTGAAAGCCTTTCAAACCACTGTGATGAAGATTTTCTTTTATACTTTTCATTTCACTTTCACAATATAAATTTCATAGAAATGGAAATATTTTGTTAAAAATTGACTTATTTTTAATTGATTTTATTTTTATAATAAATACAGTATGTTGTATATTAATAACAACATCAATATATAATTAGCTACGATTAATTTCGGTAATTTAATAATAGTTTTTTTACCAAAACTATTTTTCTCAAAAAACTGCTGGGTCGTTAATGTTATTAACTTATTAGATGATTATGGATTGTTTTAAATATTTTTAATAACTAAGTATTAACTTACTATATTTAGCAAATTGATTGTTTAGATTTTTTGATTATCAAAATATATATATATATATATATATATATTTATAAAAGTTACGTATTTATTTTAATGAAGTATTGTTTTTTTTTTTTTGTTAAATAAAACGATTAACAGTTATTTTTATATTATTAATTGACCTTTTGTGACCTAATATTAATTAAAATATTAAATTATTGTGGGGAAGTGCACAACACAAAGGTGCTTGATTATATTAAAACTTAGGTCATCCAATGCTGCTTTGCGATTATATTATGGTTTATGCTTTTTATGCTTACCGTTTAAAATATTAGGTAAATACCTAACAGAATGATAGATAATCGTACGAATATTCAATTACATTTTTAATATAGGGACAATATTTCAGTTTCGCATTACAAGTTGTATGTATAGTAATTGTACAGTTGAACACGCTCAATTTTGATTGCCACGTAGTAAAACATAGTTAATATTTTCATTTTAAAACATCGAAATGTATATGAATCATATTTTTTTTCAGAAGGGCTAATGAAAATGATTACTGAATGTCTAAAAACGGATCCATCCCCATGTCCAAACAAATGTGGTAAAGTTTACACCGGAAGATGGCGCAGGTCCACTCTTAAACGACATTTTTTGTATGAATGCGGCATGCCCCCCCAATTCGGTTGTTATGTATGCAACCGAAAGTTTGTTCAGAAACATGATCTAAAGATACATCTTATGAGATTGCACAATGTGTTTTGAATTTTAAGATAATATTACAGCTTTTCATATTCTAAGTTGCATTAATATTAGATTATAATGGCGCCTGACAACTATTTCAATAGTCTTGATATATTTGATATCAAAATGTTAAAGTCTGAAAACTACTAGTAAAAAATGTTTCCTTAAAGATACCATTAGTATTAATGTTATAGTCATTAAATGATACTCCTAATACAGTATAAAAACTGTATTTCGTATGAAAAATCGTATAAAAATGTTTTATATTGAAGAATAATTAGTTGACTGTTCTAACAACTGAACAGAATTTTTATGTACCAAATTATTTATTATATAAATTAGTTTTTACATTGTTTAAACAAAAACTAAAATTTGTTGTAAGGTTATAAAAACTGTTTTCTTTCGATATTTTTTAAAATTTATTTGATGAAATTGATCGTAAAAATTGTTTTATTAAATATTTTATTGTTATTCAATATTTTGGAGATTTCATTTTTTATTATTTACTACGTCTATATTGAGTCATTAAAACGTTTTAAAGTAAATGATATTGTGTCATATAAACAGTTCGAAATCATTCAAACGTTTTCAAAATAAAATTTAAGTTTTGATGGTATAAAATAAAAAATGAATTAATTAATTTAAATTAGTTATGTAAATAAGTACTAATTATTGATTATCCAATTAATCCTAACTTTGTTTAAAATGTTTTAAATTATATTTCATACAAAAGAATTTCAAGAATTTTCTTATACATCCTAAATTTCTTTTTTACTTAAACCGTTTTAAGTAATTTTCAAACGTTTTTTTCCCAACTTTTTAGCAGTTCAATATAAAAGTAGTAATAATAGGGATATATTTATTATTTTGAGCTTAAAAGCATAGGTGTATTAAACAAATTACAATATGTAATATTTAATTATTACAGTATAAATGATAAATTAAATACATAAATATTTAATTTGCTACTAGGATCAATGTGTGTTAAATATATATTCAAAATATTTTTTATAGATTTAAATAGTTACATTTTATGATTTTTTTTTATATGTTTAATAATTGTTAAAAAAAAAATTGATAAAGCAGGTGGTCAGAATGTGTACATTTTATCTGTTTAATTAAATTTCAGTTAAAATTTCATTCACCTATAATCTATTGAGGTTTTTGTGATATTTTTAAGCATCAAATTATATTGAAAATGTGTATGATGGTAATAATAAATATTTAGGTATATTTTAAATTGATTAAAATTAATGAGCCTTATATTTTTGCTTAAAATGCTTTTTTGAAACTATTTTAAATTTTATTTTTACCTATATTTTAGCTTACTGTAGGAGTAATTATAATTATATTGATTAGTGTAGACTTGGATATATATTATAGTTTGTGAATAAAATCTTATTTGCTGTGAATCGTCTTGGTTTACAGGAAAAGAATACACTTGTCCTAACATGTGTGGCAAAAGATACACCAGAAAACATAACCTCAACAGACATCTCAATTATGAATGTGGAGTGGAACCGCGTTTTACATGCGATATCTGTTTAAAAAAGTTTACTTACAAAGCGAGTATGAACACACATCGTGTTACAGTGCATCACATTTCACCTGAGTGTCTGCTATAGTCGTAAAAGGTTGAAAAATTAGTCACCAATAATAGTAATATAGAACACATAGTTATTATACTATTTTTACTTGTATTTTGTTTGTTTATTTTTAGTATATTTTTTATGTGTTAAATAGAAATGTTTTCTTTTAATAATTTATATTTAATTATTACATAGATTAAGAAGTACACATTATATTTTCTTTGTTTTAAATGTGTACGTTTTTTGATAAATACTTATAATAAACCAGATTAATTGGTATTTTGTTCTTCATTTGTTCATTTGACTAATTAAGGGTCATTTATGTTATATCATTTATAGTTCTGATTTGTTATTCTGATTATTATTGTAGGATGATATTTACTAATATATTACCACTAACTGTTCAACGCTTCGATTTGCTATGCTAATGTAAATACCAAATTATTTCGTTTAATTGGCATTACTTTTTTAATTCATTTATTTATGTTATGGTCATTAAAATATAAAAGCAAACGAATTGTAGGTTCATTAAAATACATTTAATATCATTGAATAACAATTTAGTCGTATATTTTCAGAAGGGTTTTCATTTTTGAAGAGTGTAGAGATTCAAAAATGGAGATGTCCAAATATGTGTGGTCGTTCCTATAAAAGAAAGCAATACGTGACAAGACATTTAAAATACGAGTGTGGTGTGCAACCTCAATTTGATTGCGGGTTTTGTCAGAAAAAATTTACCTACAAAGAATCACTTCGAAGTCATCAAGCTAAGATACACAAGTACATTCCCTTGTGAAAGTCGACTGTTATTTTTATTAACTATAATTTTTAGTATTGTTAATCAATAATATTTCAAAAAAATTTATCTATATTTAATGTTACTGTAATTATTTATTACCATTGAAATGTTTTATTTTTCTAGAGAAAGTGCCTTAAATGTTTTAGTTGTATTTTAATATTCATTATACGTTATTGTTTTTTAAATAAATTATTTTGAAAACTGATGTAATTTTTAATGATTCTTCCAATTATTACTTTATTTTATTTTATTTTTCATATAAGCTTATAAATTGAATATTAAAAACATTAACTAAATAGACGTAATTTTTAAATAGATATTATGTTTCTAAAATATTTTTATTAAGGAATGATGAAGCAAATTAATTTTTTAATTCAAATTTTACTTCTAAATTTTATTGCCCATTTAATTTCTTGAGTTTTTCTATGTTATATTTATAATAATATTTCTGACTTATTTTATTTTTAGATCTCGAGAATTTACTGATTTCTAAAAACTTACACGATTGGTCGAAGAAAACGATCATCTATTGTGTCCATATAGGTGTAGTCGAACTTATAAAACAAAAAAAAAATAGAATATGACAGCATATTTCCAATGAATGTGATCGTAATAATAGAATAATAGTAAAAATTTATATAAAATAATTTTTTCAATTATTATTTGAACAGGGTTTATTTTTTTTTTACATTTGAATAAATATGGATATTGAATAAATTTTATGTAATGATTCAAAACATGCTACCAATTCTTTTAGTTATCATTAAAGAGTAATGCCATATATTTTAGATGTATTTTTATGTAAATTTCTAAATTTTTTTCTATCAATTATATGACTGATGTGGTAGTACAGAGATTCCTATGATTTAATATCATTGATTCAATACTCATTAGTCGCTTCATTTGCTAAGCAAATTATTATCAATATATACTATTGTTCTATCATATTTTGAAAAGCTTTGGTGTATTAATAATAAGTGGGAATTGTCTTCTCCCTTTCCAGGAATAAACTAATTAGTCTTTATAAAGGATTTTTATATAAACCAAAAAATTATTGTTTGTTAAAAAAATCATAAGTAACGTTTTTTTTCAAACTATATAAAAACAATTTTAAATTGATTAAATCAATTGCTATTAAAGAATGACCTTATTTCTGCTAAGGAATTTAAGCGGGATTTACATTTTTTCTTCATGTGTTGACTAATGACTTTATAACACAGAACTTGAATTATAAAATTTGTATATTTATTTATATTTTTTAAAAATCTACTACAACTTAAATGTTTTTACTAACTTAAGTTCATTTGAAAGCTATGGTCAAAATTGATTATTTTATAAATATTTTAAATTTAGTTTTTGTAAATATTGAATTAATCTTTCGACCTATCATTATAAAAGAACATATTTTCTTGATTATAGTGTGTTATAACTTTATATACATGCTTAGGTGTTGTATACCTTGATAGGTTTTAATTTATTAATATACTGATTACATTTTTTCTTTTTAGGTACACTGAATTCTATTTGCAGTTTTTTCTGTCCAAAAAAATGTGGCCGAAAGTACAAGAGAAAAAGTGGACTTATACAACATTTGACTTACGAATGCGGAGTTGAACCTAGATTCAAGTGTTCAGTTTGTGAGAAAAAGTTTGCCCAAAAATCTGCCATGAAATCTCACATGATTAATATACATAAATCATTCGATGGATATTTTACCTAACAGATAAATTGTATAAAATTGACGTAGATTTTCATTTAATCTGTTAAAATTTGTGTTTTTTTATACCTATCAATTAAATCAATTGTTTTGTTATTTTGATGTCTTTTATTCAATACCTGTCTATTGACTTCTGTTATGAGAAGACTAGCATATAATATCTTATTATTAGAACTTAGAATTATATGCATTTATAATTTTTTTTTAAACCACTTTGAAGGGTCCCGAGTTAGTGCAACTTCATTGTAGGATTATAAAGTAGCGTAGACATATTTTTCCTTTTAGAAGATAAACTACCTAATCCCCCAATACTTGAAACTTGATAACAATATATTATTAAGTTTTAAAATAAATAAACAAAAATATACACTTGCTGATGACATGTTAGGAATAACTTAATAAAACGCATAAAAATCCGCGTTTTACGAATTATCAATATTATTATTAATTTAATTATTTTTAATTAGCAATATAACAAAATTCATTTTTTTATATTCCCCTTTTTTGACGTAAGTAATAAATGCTACCTTCGTTGATTTAAGAAATTTTAATATTATTCGTTATTATCGAGTTCGAACTATGGAATTTGATATATTAATAAGTATTCTCGTAAATTATACAACAATGTACCTTCAAAGAAAAAAATCTTGCTTTTTATTTTGGGTCGTTTGAATGAATCGCTTTTTTCTATAGGGTATTGTATTCGTCATTTTTAATATTTTATTTAAGGAACGTATGTATTTCTTATTTACTACTATAGCCTGAAATTTTAGTAAAATTACAACATTTTAACTCACACAAAAGCTTTCAACATAAAAACTTAAGTTAGCAACTAATTCGATGTCTATATTTTTCTAAAGTATTTTTGTTTTAAAGTATTTAAATTTTAAATACCATATGAAATATTCAAAAATTTGATTTTTAGTAAAAAATATTTCCTATCGATATTACAGATAACAGCTAGTCAATGCTAATTTATATCTAAACTTTTTTATATGTGCATGAATTAATTTTTTTTTTTTTTTTTATTTTTTTAGGTATTAATTTCAAAAAGTTCATTTATTATGCTAAAACGCATACGTTTGCCTGCTCTTCCTGTCATCGTAACTACAAGCATAAGTCTAGCGTGTATAGTCATTTAAAGTATGAGTGTGGAAAGTCTCCAACGTTTTTGTGCACTTATTGCAATAAAAAATTTTATCGCCAAAAAGAGTTGAAGTTGCATATGGCTGTTCGACATTGCGTTGAAACAATTTAGAGACATGTACAATAATGATGTAACCTTATAAATGAATCACCTTTCGTGCAACAACTTTTAAAAATATATTTTTTTATATCGTTTCATAATAAATTGTGAAATGTTTTAGTTTAAAAATGAAGAATTATTCATAAATATATTATTTAAATAAAGTAAATTTTATTTTCTAATTATTTGTCATGTTTTTAAAAATAATTTAAGTTTTTTTTCTTGTAGTTTATTGTTTTATATTAATATTAATATTAATATTATATATTTTATATGAATACATTTTATAATTGTGAAATGTTTCTACCAAAAATAATCAAAGTTTTGTTTTTTTATATATTTTTAACCAAAATTTATATCTTCAAAAAAAAAAATTCTTTGTGAAATTGTAAAATCATGTAACAGGTAATGTTTTGAGAGGTACTTTCAGTGATTCTTTATGATTGAAATTTAGGAAATTTTTTTTTTTTTAATTTTATTTCATGATAAATATAATACTGGTTATAATTAATTAAATTTTAGCAACGGTATACAAAAGTGTAATTATGAATATATAACTTTCACATTAAAATAAAAATAACTTTATATTCACTAAAAATAATTTAATAGTGAATACAAATAATTTCTATTTAGTGTACCAAAGGCGTTAGTTTAATTCTATTGGCCAATTCTTGAAAGTACAGACTTATTATGTACATTTTATGAATACTCAATAATTTTGTATAATTATTTAATGAGGTTACCATATGAATTATTTATCATCTTTATTACAACGAAGGTGAACTAATGCTCAAAAAATGTTTTTTATTGAATTCAGTGTCATGTTAAACGTTTTCTAATATCATTTATTTATTTTTATTTATAGTTTTACTGTTAAAATAATTTTTTACTCGTCGTGATTTTAAACGTTTCGTGAGTTATGTTAAAATCACTGAAGAAATGCTTTTTGATTGCTTGTAGTTACTTAAGTTGATTAAGTCAATTAGAATAACAAAAATCTAATAGTGATTTCTTTTGCAGTTATTCATTGTAACAATAGCGCCAAAACAAAATATACGGGTGCAGACGCATTTAGCTGTGTGCAATGTGGTCGCACTTATCGGCATAAGAGTAACATGCTTACTCATTTAAAATATGAGTGCAAAAAAGAACCTCAGTTTATTTGTCAGTTCTGTGGCAGAGCGATTTATTATAGATCAAACTTCAAGAAACATATGATTGTTCGACATCAAATTCTCATTAGTTAAATTTTGAAGTATATTTTTTACTATAATAATAAGTGCATAATATTTAAATTTATGTAAATTAGTACTCAAGGATTTTTTTAAATTATAATTGTTTAAGAATTAATATATTTGTAAAAAATTAATACTGCTAAATTGTCATTTCTCTATTTTGTTGAACTATTGAATTATTAATTATTAAATAAAATTATAACATGTAATATTATAATTTTTATTTTACATGTTTATAGTAATTTATTGACCTTTTGCAGGTATACTTGCAAACTTGTCTATCAACAGGTTTATATGGAAAATGGTGCATTAGTTCTTTAAGATACTTGTCATAACATTTTACGAACTCTCGGCGATTTATCAAGAGTGTAATTTTGATATAAGTTTAAAAGTCATATTACAATATAATTCAATTATTTATAGTTTTAGTTTCGAAAAATATATTTATAATTAATATGATAAAATCATATTATTATAGGATATTATAAGATCATGGCGATCTTTAGATCTAAAGAACTTAAAAATTAACTTTTTCGTATTTATGGCCAGTTGAATCTCTGGGATATTAAACAATTGTTTTAGATAAAGTTTCGTGTAGTTATCTCAAAATATTGCTTAATTATATTTGGTAAAATTGTTTTTTTATTGTGAAACTATAATTATTGTAGTCTATTTTCAATAATTATTAGTTATGAACTATGTAAAAATATTTTGATGAATAAATTTAATGTAAAGTATGGAGCATTACTCTCAAATTGAATTTATATTGTAAAATTTGAAAATTTGTGTAAGATAAATAAGTAAATAGTTGGATCTTAAACTTAAAAAAAAGATTGTATATATTTATCATCAATTTCATCAACAGGCATGTTTTTGTGATGGCATTTAAAGTAGAAATTTTGTTTAGTAATAACAAAGTTGCTTTTTTAGTATTGCTAGTATTAATTAATAGATTATTCATTTATTTTTTTAAACGCTTATATTTTGTTTTTACATATTTACATGATTTTTGTAATTTGTAATTTAATATTTGATTCCTTTTCTAGAATTTTATTGAAATGTGTTTTGAAGCAATAGCTATGTTTTAAATACCGTTTTTTATACTAGAAAAAACTTTGATTGAATTATTCTAACCATATATTTTGTTGTGACATATGTTTAGCTTTGTGGGTTGGTCATGTTGAAAGAGCATTTAAGTGTCCCAACGAAAACTGTCATAGGAATTATAAGACGAAACCGGGTTTGTATAATCACTTAAAGTATGAATGCAACGTACCTCCAAGATTCCACTGCAATATTTGTAACAAAAACTTCAAACAACCAGGAAATTTCAAAATTCACATGAAATCGCTTCATCATGTGACAATAGTGTAGTTATTTTGTCTAATTGTATCATTGGAAAGTTTCAATGATTAATGTGTTATAAAAATATCGCCAAATAGATTTTTTATAAATGTGTGCATCTTTACTTTTTAATTTAACATTGCCGTGTATATCTTGTTATGCCATTAATTCTTTTCATCTAATGTATATTTTAAAAATAAGTTGATTTTTTTTTATAAAATCATTTATGTTTAATAATAATTAATGAGTAATAAAGAATTTTTAGTTAATATAAAATATGGAGTAATTTTTAAAGCTTACAGCGTTAGAATTTAAATAATATATGTATCAAACAATCCACTTCAATATGAATTGTTGATTGTGAACTTATAATATTTAAATTGAAAATAATCCAATTATAATCATATTTTATTTATTTATTTATTTTTAATTTTAATTTTAATTTTAATAATAATTTTTAATTTTTTTAAATTTAGGGTTGAAAATATGAAAGACATATATGTAATTTTAGTATGACATTTTTTCGTGTTTAGTAATATTTTGGATAGTATTTTATAAGGTAAATTATTATTAGGTCATCGCAGTTAAGATTTTTAACCATTTTTTCAGATTTTCTTCACCTACAGTAAGTAGAACATTAATATTTAAAAGCTTTATTTGTAGTTTCAATTGATATAATTTGCCTATTAAATTAATAGATAAATTGTTTTTTTTTGTACAATTTTATAAAGTAAATGCATGATTTGCGTAGTGTTTNTAGGGTACAATTTTATAAAGTAAATGCATGATTTGCGTAGTGTTTATTAATCATTATTTTTTTTATTTATTGATAAATAATTATAATTGTTTTTTACTAATTTGATTTGCTTTTTTTTAGCTATTCGTTTGCTGTATAATTCCAAATCTGGCCGAATGAACAAGTATCCTGGTCCGTCAGAGGATGGCTTCTATTATTGTTCAAATAAATGTGGAAAGAGATATAAATCAAAACAAGCCATCAGTGTACACATGAGATATGAATGCGGTGTTAAACCAAAGTTCTACTGTCAAGAATGCAATAAATATTTTAAGCAACCAGTCAGTTATAAGGCTCATAAAATGAACGTTCACAAATATTTATTTGATGGTTAATGTAATTTAAGATGTCTTTTATAAAATACTAAATTTGAATATTTCAATGTGTAATTTTCATTAAAAATATTTTAGATCTAAATTAAAGTAATCTCGTAGATTTTTGAACTCTTGAAAACTGTTTTAATCTAAACATAACGGTAACATAATTTTAATTTGAAGAGTATAGATTTGTATATTAATATATTCTTTAGCATACCTATGAAAGTATTATCTTGGAGAATAATTTACATTTTAAACAAGTATTGTTTCCTAAGCTAATTGTTTTTAATTTAGTATTTTATCATAGAAAATTTAATTACTTGTAAAGTAAAAGCTGTTTAAATAAGTACTTTAAATTAATTTATGTATAGCTGTTAACAATTTTTTGATAAATTATTAAAGCATTTTATATTGTATTATTTTTAAATTTACATCCTTAGAATTTTCATTATTAGATTTAGATTAAATTAAGTTTTCATGGCTTATTTTTTTTTCCTATTAAAGAGATATATATTTTTATATTATATGGGGACTTGTGTGACATTATTATTTACTAGTTCATTTTGAAAATATAGTGATTTATATTAAAATTAACACATCATATTACAATTAATTATACTTTATACGACCAAGTTGCAGTATCTTCATTATTTTTATTTACAATGTTGTCTCATATAGTTTTGTCTTTCTTTATTTTTTAACCCTCATTTCAGTGATATGCGAATTAATAAGAATCAGTTGGACTACTTTTTATAAAAATAATATTAATATTTGTTAAAATATCTGTATATTTTTACACACTTTACTTTACTAATAAGGACTTATAATACTCTAAAATAGTTAATATGTATTGATCGTTTTGATTATAGTGATTAAGTGGTTAGATATGTTAGATGAATTGATCAAAACTGTACCAACAGTCTGTCCAAACAATTGTGGGCGCAAATTTAGCGATCGTAGTAGGAGATATCACTTAAAGAGGCATCTACTTGAAGAATGTGGAGTGATACAATCATGTTCTTTGTGTAAAAAACAATTTGGCCACTACAAAAGCCTCAGATTTCATTTGGCATCAAAACATCAAATATTTATTTAAAATTGTATTGTGTAGTTAAACTTTACATAAAATGTTAAAAAAAAATGTTTTATTGTGAAATTGAATGATGTTAGTAAAAAAAGGTCCTAGTAACTTAATCTAACTTTTTTAGAAAACCTTAACTTATGATTGACTTTAGATTATATTTTTTTATATTTACATATATTACATTTAACAAAATATAATATGGTTTTAAAATAAATTACACGCGATGTACAATACTATTGAAATACTTTTTTTTAAATTATTTAACAAAAAAAATCAAGTTTTGACTCCTTATAAACTCTTATTTACTAAAAACGTCTAAATTTAGGTATTTTTCAAACTATGTCCAATATAAACTATATATATATATATCATACAGCTTATTATTACATTATATTTGTTCTGTTTATTTATAATTAATTTTTTTTCAAACCACAAACATATTTTTTTAAGTTTTTCGTCCGAGTTCTTATATTGTTTTCTACGTTTGCTAAAGTTGACAAGTACTATACATTTGTTAATGATAAAAAAACCAGTAGAATAAAAACTTTTTACATTTATTTTAAATGTAATCATCGCTATTATTAAATTATTTGAGGTGTTGGACATGTTTTAAAAAACTGAGAAAAACCAAGAAATTAACTTAATAGAACAAATTTTTAATTCCGATTTGTTGCTGTGTTCTTTTGTAAATTCAAATGTTATGTCACTTAAATGTTATTATATTAATATTTGATTTTTCTTTATAACAAATCTTGTATTTACATTAATATATTATTGTCATCATTTGAAAAATAAAGTGGATTTCTTAATTTTTTGTGTTCTCTTTTGAGCTATATTGCAAAGCTGGGAAAGTATTGTGTAGGTTTTTCATTAAAAAATATAGTTAAACTCTATCAATAAAATACTTTATGATTGCAATTTCATTAAAGCTTTATGTGTCAACTATAGGACATAATTTTAAATGTCAAAATGGTTGTGGAAGAATTTTTAAAGAATTGAATGTTATGATGTACCATATGAAAAAAAAATGCAGTAAAAGTTATTCGTGCAGTCTTTGTAATAAACAGTTTAGCCAGAGTGGAAATATGAAAAGACACATGCTGTCGTGTGCTAAAACACTTCCGAAGTTCCAATGTGATTTTTGTTTTAAGCGATTCCACCGTAAGGATAATTTTGCTACTCATCGAATAACGGTCCACAAGCAATTTTAAATATTCAAAAACTTCCAAAACAAAATTTTAAGACTTCGTTATTATTAAAAAATCTTAATTATTAAAATTGTGAATTATGTTTGTTGATGTAATAAATGTTTTTATGAATATTTTGGTAAATCATATGTTTAACTATTGTTATAAAAGACTTAAAGTTAGGAATAATTTAAAGTTATAAATAATGCGGATATAATCAACATAATATAACTATAAAATATTATCTTAAAAAAGGTATAAGTCATTGTTTTATATTTAATTAAACTATTTAATTGTGAAAGACTTTTATAATAGTTGCATTACTTTCTTATCAAAATTAAAGAATATGTGAATTTTAATTGTTTTTAGTTTTGTTTAATTCATAAACAATATAATAGAAGAGCAACCAAGGATTAAGACAATTATTTTATATACTACAGAAAGTTACTTTATGAGTTTATATTTTAAATTATTAATGTATTATAAAGACAATACATTTATAATATACTATTAAAATATTATTATAATATTGAAATGTAAAATAATTAAAAATGTTATGTCTGACGTGTTTTTCCTTTTTTTTTAGGATGTTGAACATTTGATATGATATAATAAAGTATTCGTAAGCTGGGAAAATGGTATATTATTTGAATACGTTTTCCTATTGGTAACTAAACTTTACGGATTTTTATATAGTTAAGGTTATATATTTAATACATATTTGGTTAATATGAACACCTAAATGATAATATTAATACTTGTTCATATAAGTATGAGTAAATTTATTCTGATATAATTTATATCAAGTTAGCGGTGAACTTTGTAGCATCAAGATAAAAATTAATAAATGAATTATTTTTATAATTAGTACACTTTTTTTTTTTTATTAATTTTAAAGTAGAAATTAATTTTTTTTTTCATGTAGAGTGTCATATTTTGTATATAGTTTAAATTGCTTATATGTCTAAAATTTAATTTTATTATTGATATATAACTAATAAGCTTGTTGTTATTTATTTTAGTGTATAGAAATGTACCAAAAATCATGAGAATTCCACAGAAACCACGCGAACATCAAATATTTATTTGTCCAAACTCGTGTGGACGGAAGTATAAGTCAAAACCTGCGTTATATACTCACTTAAAATTTGAATGTGGTGTAAAACCAAAATTTCAATGCGAATATTGTTTAAAATACTTCAAACAACCTGTTTCATTCAAAGCGCATATGTTAAACGTTCACAAAGTTTTAACTTATTAGTAACAGATTTTACTAATTTCTACATTTATTCTTATATTTAGATTGAAAAATACATTATAATTGTATCAAATATAATCAATTTAACATAATAAAATTTTTTCTAAAATTATTGAAATATTTATTGTTTATTTATTTGCTAAAATATAATTTTGATTTTTATAATTGATTATTATAACAAAGGAAATCTATCTTAAAGAGAAAGAAATTATTTCAACAGATTGAATTAAAAAAAGTAAATATATCAAGAATCAGAATGAGCTAAAAATAAAAACTCAAAGAAACTACAAATTCTAAGGTCATGTGAGTAAATTATTTAATTAATCAAATGAATAGATAATATTTTGATTGGCATATAGTAACGTTTTTATATGAAATATCCATTCAAAAATGCATGGTTATCATTTGCAATATCGTTTTGTTTGATTCTTAATAATTGGCTATGTATCATAAGTTGAATTTTTTTTAATGAAATGATTAATTTATGCCGTAATTTGTGATTAGTATATTAGTATCTTTAGAAAGGCTATTAATAGTTTACGTAGTCCATTTTTTTAGTATTTCATTTTTCTGTACAGGTTTTACATTTTATTTGCCGCCTCGACATCCTTGTAAAAAGTGTGGAAATTCATACAAGTACAAGGCAAACCTTCGCAGACATGAAACTTACGAGTGTGGCGTTGAAAAGATGTTTATATGCAATTTTTGTGGTCGAAAATTCCATCAAAAAGCCAATCTTAATAGACATTGTACATTATTACATGTTGTTAATAGTTTTAAATGAAATGACTATAGCTAAACTTATAACTTATAATGTTGTAGAAAATATATTTATTTATATTATGTATTCATTAAAATAATGTTATTAAAATTTTTTTGTTTTTTAATTGCTTATAAAACAATTTTATATGACTATTTAATTCGTAGGAATAAGTTGTGGTTTTAATTAGAATGAATAATAAGGTTTAAAAAATCAAGCTTTAATGATAAACACTTAATTCAAATTTTTAGTAAATCAAAAAATACTCATTAACTGGAATAATGCTAAAATTATATTTTTAGTGAAATTTTTAGTTTTGAATTTGTGATGAAATAACTAGTCATTTGTTGAAACATGCAATTTTATTTATTAATATAATTATTCAAAATTTGAATGTAATACTTTTGCATTTTAAAAGAATGATAATTTTATGCTTTATCAAAATAATTCTTAAATTGTTTTAAAATATTGGGGAATAGTGAGAACATTTATTCATAAAATATATTTATTTATTCATATATTTCATACTTATTAGTAATCAAGATTTTAAACGATAAATGATATTGATAACTTAATGAAAAAAATATGTGAGTGTATTCATATCATTGAAGAAATATAATATAATTATTTTAATTAAAGAGCGACCACCAGATCCCGTGTTAACACAAGTATTATGAGAAATAGAATCATTTTTAAATTTTAAATATATATTGAAATTTTTTCAGTTCAACAATATTTTATACAATAAACAAAATTCAAAAAGTTGTTCTATAACATGATGTTCTTGCTCAGGATTCAAATGTTGGAGATAACTATTTTATCATAAATTATTATAATAATATAATATATATTATTATTAATGGGTAGAAACGTTTGTTTTGGCGCACGAGGTCCCGGGTTCGATTCTCAGGGTGCCAACGAGATTTTTCTTGTGATTTTCTTATAGGTAGTATCTAGTATCTGGTGCAATCCGGCCATAATAGCCGTCCTGTCCATCATTGGCCTAGCCAAGAACAATCTTTGACTCCCTAGATTGTGAAAGAACCTACCTTCTGTATCATGTTAAGTTTGGGAAATAGACGGCTGTAAAAGTGATCATTTATTTTTATTTTATAATTTATATTATTATTATAATATAATGTAGGCTTGTCGGTATTTTATAAAATATATTTTATCGAGAGAGTCAACACCCGACTATTATATTAAACCAGAAACTTTGAAAAGAAAAGGTTCACGTACCTCATGTTTTCAGTTTATTTTTATGAATGAAATAATAACGAAACATAGTTTCAAACGTACAAAACCTAAATGTGATCGCATGGTACGACATTCAATGGCTATTATTCGATAATTATTTAAGTAAAACTTTTTCCATCTACTTAGTGTATTGTTTACTTTATTGGGTTAATATGAATATGACCCCTCTTAAGGCATTGCTTGTTGCACTCGATTATTGTTTGTTGGCCTGTTTTCTATATCCGCCATGTTTTGTCATTCAACAATAGAAGTGTATTACTGCTTTTCAGAGTATGATTAGCCAATGCTCTATGAAATTTTTGAAAAATTAAGTGTTTTAATTTTAATTTCAAATAATTGAGTGATGGAAAATTAGAGTTTCTACGGATTTATTAAGAACTAGGTATATTTATAAATTTATTTTCTTAAGAATAAACAGGGTAAGAGTCCAATATTGAAATTCATAATAAAATTTTATAATTAAGAACAAATAGTTGTTAAATATAAAATCTTTATTTACATTTTTAACATGTTATTTGTCGTTACAAAATTATACATTATATAAGTTATATAAACTGGTCATATTATTATGTTTCACTTTTTAAGAATACTATTTTAAGTTTATAAAAAAATTATATATACAATTTTTTATAACATGATTTTTTTTTATTAGATATAAAATATTTTTATTAATCAATATTGAGTAATTATACAATTTTATTTTCACACATAATTCTTGCACATGGAATTTAAAGAAAACTTTTTGATTTGTAAAATAAGTCCAACGTAGCTGTAAAAAAATGCATATAATATCTATTTCGAATTTAACGAGAATTTATACATTGTTTTTATGGATTTAAGCAAAAAATTTAATAGTTTTTACTCCAATTTTTGATTTGAAACATCTAATGCGGCGGGTCAAACCGGCTGTTGGTGTGGCGACGTGTGGGGACGTAGCGACGCGTCACCAAGCGATCCCCTCTTTCTTTCACTGCGTTGAGTTCGTATACCTGATGTCGTTATATCGTATATTACTACTTAATTATAGCTGTACCTAGGTTGCTTAAGGGGTCTGAATTCTCTGTGGTTAAAAAAGTAGTCTTTTTAACGTATCACATGCTATAGTGGGCACTTATTAAAGTGCGTAAAGACATGACCCCTCCTGGAAAATATATGATCTGCCTCTTTTTCTCGTATAGTTATAGCATATGTGTTGTTTACTTCAGAACATGTGTTTTATTTGAAAGTAATAACTGTAACAATAGAATATGAGTGACTGTGATAGTTTAGAACACATTTTGCCTCAAATAGAGAAAATAAAATTACATTATGTCACACAATCTGATCCCTATATACATGTTTTGCGGTGCAATGAATAATATAAGATTGGTGGTATATAGAGAGACATGATTACATTAATTGATGTTTGTAATTTTATGAAAAAGAAACATAATAATTAGACTGTGGAATTATATGATTTTATACATTTTGTGAATTTATTCCAACTATATTATCAGCCAGTACAAATTTTTATGTATTGACTGAAAAACTTAGAAATGTGTTTTTCACTCTGTTATAATTTTCGGGAGCACATAAGTGTGTGTATATTTTGTGTGTTATGAATATTTTTCATAAAAATTTGAACATAATGGATTTTTAGAAGTATTTTCAAGGGATTATGAGTTTGTATATATTTTTTGGGGGTTAGATGGATTTATCAAGGCCTGATTAAGGGGGAGGAGAATGCACCGAGTCCCATAAGCTTGAAAGATCCATCTTGAATTTTAATAACTTAGTCTTTATTAATAGCTAGTTTTTCAGGTTTTTTTGCTCATCAATGTTTTTACAAGAGCGATAATTTCCAACTCAAGGTACAGCTTAGAGCCCATATAGGCTTGAACAAACAAAGACTCGTAAAATTGATCATATTATATTAAAAATTAAAAAAGAAAATGTTAAATTAAAGTATAATTTCTGAATTTTATAATTACATAAGATACTTTTAAAAAAATTAAACAAAAATTTAAATATTTTTTTCACTTATTATAATTAAATGTGCTACTGCATTACAAAATTCCAGGAATTATAAATTTTGCCGTTATTTTCTTGTTTTGAGTAAATAACCTGGTTGAACTGTTATTTATGTATTAATTTGTATGTTCGTTAACACATACTCAATACTAACTGAATGGATTATGAACCCATCAATAAGGTAAAAGTGTGTATTTATTTTTATTTTTATTTTAGTTGTATACTCATTGTATACTCAAATAAAATTAAAATAATAATATTAATACTTAATTTGTATCTTTAGTTTGTCTAGCAAAAAAAAAAATTCATACTTTTACTCCAGATTACTCTAATTTTAAGATGTACGAATCCAATAGAAAATGTATAAGTTTGATAGTATTTTAGTAATGTTTAATTTATTTTATTAACATTTATCTCTCCTAGTATGTTTATTTTTTCAGAACTCTAACGATCACCTTAGTTTTTAAAGTATCAATAACAGAATATTATTGTATGAAAATCACATTGGACATCATAGAGCAATTTTTTAAGAAAAGTCTATGAATTTAGAATCAGTGCGTGAAAGATACAAAAATACATATTGTATTAAGTTTTTATTTTTGTTTATTTAGATATTATGCCGACACATTTTCAAGAATAATTTGGTAGCACTAAGGAAGCAGCAGTTAAAACAGCAGAAAATGACTAAAGCTGGACAAATGATTATTCCAAAATCATTTTATTACCAACTGATAATAATTGTAAATACTAGATAATTTTTTCATTTTCATATTTGTACTTCACTGACAAATTTTAATAAAAAGGCCAATGTTTTTAAAAAGTTATTATTACTATAAATGTTAACATAGATCAAGTGAGAATAGTAAATATGTGTTATTATCCTTACGAGTATTCAATATTGCCAAAATACTTATTAATTATTTATTTTTGTTGCGATGTTATAGTGTACAGTCTAAATCATATATAATATTATAATTTTCTAACAACTAGTTAATGTTCTGTGGTACCCGCAGTGATTATTTTTATTTGTAAGAATTACGATTTTCATCACTTCGCTTTCTGGTAAGTCCACAATAGTTGTAAGAAAATATGACAGCTTCTCGGTTTATTACCTTTTTGATTATATAATAAATAATTTTTTATGTATTTTAACATTAATTGCTTTAGCAAACTGTAGTAACAATATTTATTGTGTGTTTCTTTTTCGCCATTCTACACATTTATTTAAACTCATCACAAGTTTAATCGAAAAAATAATAATAATTTATCAACATTTTGCTTGAAAAAAATAGTTAATAGCTTTGATAGCGCTTTAAATATTCATTAAATGTTGTGCGTGATCTCGTTTTTGATTATTTTTATTAATGAATTTATTTTTTTTTTTTTTAGATGAATACCTTGATAGGTTCGTTTGTCCAAATCTTTGTGGACGTAGTTATAAAAGAAAAATTCATCTCAAAAGACACGTAACACTTGAGTGTGGAGTTTGGCCGAAGTTCGAATGTAACGTTTGCTATAAACGTTTTACGCGAAAAGAAGGTTTATCTAGTCATGTGAAAAAAACTATGCATCATTTTCCAAACGGATGGTTGTAGTAATGAAGTACTTTTCTTAATATCTCTTCAAATTGTTTTTTTGTATATATTGTAGTCATTTTTATGTAATGGAAAATTCATATGTTCAATGATATTTATTAATTGTTATTTGTCTATTTTAGTTTAAGACGTGTATAAACTTTAAATAGTATATTGTGTTAATATTAAATATAACACAATACAGACAAAAATTGATATTTTTAATTATTACGTTTCTTGTACAATTCTCTATAACTATCGTTTGAAACATTCTTGTAAAATTTACTTAAATCAATTAAATTAATAGAATTATTGTTTTTGTTTAATACATTTTCCTCTATTTTGTTTGTTTTATCACCAAATTTGTGTTTGGTTCTTATATAATAATGTTGCTACTTGTAATTGCATATGAAATGTTTTTATGTAAATATATCTCTACGTGGGATTTATTAAATGTTCATATACTGGTATAACTAATATGTACGAATAATTATATTTGGTTGATGATTATTATTTTAATATCTATGTTTATTGTATACCTATTAAATGACTTAGTCAAATCCGAGCTCACTATTTGTCCAAATAAATTAGGTCGTCACTTTTGTGATTTTAGTCGAAATGTTAAGTTAAAGAAACTCAACACCAAAGTAAATATGTGGTAAACAAATTTCAAGTTTTTGGAAAAGACGAAGTTGGTCTCAAAATCATTCTATTCATTACAATAATTTCCATTACCAAAATTGTTTTGAAATAAATAAGTTTGTGACAAATAAAAAAAAAATGATTCTTTATTTATAACGATTATTCTACCTTACTTAACCTTTTTTGATTATGTTATTAATTAATTTTATCGTTTATTGTTAAAGTATGTTGAAGGTTTATGTTATTTAATCAATACCATTAAGTTTAATCTTTTTATTTATTATGTATCACAACGAAAAAAAGCTTTAGTTTATGATATTTTGAAGTTAATTTTCTATTGTAAATATTATATGAATAAATAATATTACTCACATAAAATATGTTATCTGATAATTAATTTTCAACATTTCACATTTTTATAAACTATGGAGTAATTTTTTTACTATAACTAAATTAATAGTAATTATTTTCTATTGATTTGATTTTAAATGAGTTGTATTAACAGATATTTTCAGTACATTAAATGCAGATTGATTCTTTTTACGTTAGCCAAAAATTGAAGTGAGAAATTCCCATTTATATTTTTGGCTAGAGTTAAAAATAGCACTCTGTATACCTTAATATAAATAATTTATAAGGTAATAATGTGAAATGTCCATTCAGTTTTTATTATTACTACAATTCTTATCTAGTGAATATTTATATTTTGTTCATGCTGTAACTAACCAATTTTTTTTTCAACAGGACGCGATGTGGTTGAGAGGGCGTGTCATAATTGACGCGGCAGATGATTCAACGTCCGGTCAAACACGAGGAGGAGGTATTTAAAAACCAGTTTTTGTGGAATACTTGTATACAAATACTCAATGTTTTATATATTTTAAGAAAATGAGATATACTGAAGCTTCATTAAATAATAAGACTTTCTCATTAATGATTAAACAATTCGTATAAATTGTTCCAACTAAAAATGCATTTACAACAGTATAAATTATGTTATTGATATGGTTAAATAAAGTTAATTTTTACATAAAATGAATTTTTTTTTAATTGGCATGTTTTTAATCAATGCTCATTTAAGAGTTTTATTAGACTGCTTTGTCGTAATTTATCTTAAAGCTTGAGGTAATAATATGAATTTGATATTTTAAGGTAAAAGATGGGAATGTCCCAGGAACTGTGGCCGGAGCTACAAAAATAAAAAACACCTGCAAAGGCACATGTGTGAGTGTGGAGTGCCGCCTCAGTTTAAATGTGATAAATGTGAAAAAACATTTAAACGCAAAGACCATATGAAAAAGCACGTTAAATGTTGTGCAGAAGGCTCTAATACTTTTACATGTGCGATTTGCTTGCGAAAATTTGGATACAAATCCAACTGGAGAAATCACATGATATTTAAACATAGTTTAACTGAAGAATGGTTGGTCGGTGCAGGAAATTACTTGGAGACAAATCTAATAACAGGTCCGCCATTCACAGGAGATTTATGATTGTTACAAACTCCTTATTTTTAAACATATTGATACAAGTTATCACTATGATTGAAAATAAGAATTATTTGAACGCTGTCTAGTAAAACAATTTAAACAAAACTTTTATTTTATTATTTAATGTTTTTTATTTTAAAATTTAAATAAAATCATATTTATTTCCAATATTATATTGTTGAATTTGATTTGATCTATAGAACAAGTTGTTAAAAATTTTTTTAGTAGTTTAAGGATGTGACCATTTTTTTTTTTTAATATTAAGTAGTACTTACGTTATTTCTTTTACATGTATATAATACAAAAATATCATTGACTTAATATTTCAGTGATTACGTATACCTTAGTATAATTTTAAATAAATCTTTAGGTAGTAAATTGATTATAGTTATTTGTTATCTTCTATTTAATCAGTAATTGTTAATTGATAATTGTATGTCCATAATTACTATTGAAAAATATTTTTTCTTTTGAAAATGACTATTTACATTTTTTATTCTGTTTAATGTTTAATTATGTAGTTTAATTAATTAAAACTATTTAAGGTACTAGTTGGAAGTTAATTGTATTTTTAGTTTTCTCAGTCTTAAATTTATTAAATGTATATACATTCCATAATATATACTTTTCAAATAGAGTGCAAATGAAAATAATGTTTAATTGATTAACCATTTATTAATATAATTAATGTAATAAAAATTTTAGTTAGCAGGCTGTATCTTTATTATTTTAGGCACTTAATATAATATACCATTGTATGTATTCTAGCACTTATTGTATTATGAATAAACTAGTAAATGATTATAAGTACGTAAATAAAGAATTACATAATTTACAAAATTTTAACTTTTCAAATAAAATATTATTAATTAAAGTGCTATGAAATAAATTACATCATATACTTTAGTATATGATTTAGTATATACTTAGTGAATAAATAAAAAATTGTTATTCTACTGCTTATGTGTTAATATGTATTCTAAGTTCCTAATACATAAGATAATGATGAATATTTTTCAAATCCTATTAGAATTTTTTTATTTTACATTTTGTGATCTAAATTTATTTGTTACTTATTTATTGAACTATGTTGTCTTGATGATACAATGTAATATATCTTATCAAACCTGCATCGAAGGTGAAGTAGAGGATACAATTTTTCCGTCTCTGAATCTTAATATCCTCTTAAAAATATTCAAATGATAAAGTTATTTTTAAAGATTCTGTGAGTATTTTTATTTAAAAAGGTTATTTGACTTTCTAGTTTAACTGGTTAATCCAAGTAAAAGACATTATAGCTAGTGTGATTTTAAGATTTTAAATTAAAATTTTTATAGATGTCTGTTTTGTTAAATTCTGCTGTTAATCTCTGATTGTCTGTTAGATTTAAGTAATAATCGTGTACCTTTTTTTAGGCGCTAACGGAAGATTTTATTGTTCGAACCAGTGCGGAAGAAACTATAAGCGTAAAAAAGACATGACTAGACATTTGCACAAAGAATGTGGGGTAGAGCATACATATGTGTGTAATGTTTGTCTAAGGAAATTTCCTTATAGATGGCAAGTCAAAGTTCACATGGGAACTGTTCACAAGTTAATTATAATGGATAACTAAGCGTAGTTTTAAATTAAATTTTATTAATTATATTCCTCTTGGACAAATTCTGTTTTTCCGCCATAAATTATCATTTTTATTTGTTTAATTAAATATATTCCAATAATTAGTTTATATTACAAACTGTGAACTAATTAACTTTTAATTTTTTTAATTTTTCTGTGAATTTAAAACATTTAATTACTCATGGCATACGTTTTTCAAAATTGTGAAAGTAGCCGTGTATATCGGTGTATAATTCATATAGTGAAGTGTTTTTATGTGAATAAACATGAATATGTAACAACTCATATGTATCGTGAGATTAAAAAAAATTGTTATTTATTATAATATAGTTTTTTGGTTAGGTTTTTTTTTTTATTATTGTTGTTTTTTGATCATTTTCGTTGTATATACTATTTGGTTAACCAATAATTTCAAGGTACTTGAACAACATAAAAATATTTTCTCGTCCTAGTATATAGGAAAGAGGTGGCTTACCACGGCACTTCGTGATGCTCGGACCCCCACGACCTCAGTTACATTCGTTAGCCGTCACCTTTTTAAGGGTATATGGTAGTTGATTGACCAAATTGTGTCATATAACACGGTACAATGTTCAGTAAGTGCCGACGACCTACTGCAATTATACGTTGAGTCTTTTTTACGTCGTTCGAGTGACGGTGTCGAGGATGTACACCACCGAATCCGGACGTGTCGCACGACGAACGATACCACACCAGTACACCGTGTCCTTTAACGCTGCTAACTTTGACGTCCGATGACCATGCCGGACACTGCACCGCCTATGCCAGCGAAAGTGCCGCGATATTATGCGAAAATTATTAGTAATTGCGTTTGGTTTTTTTTTTTAAAAAATAATCTATTATTCATATATAATAAACGATCCATGGGTCTCTACCATCTAAACTAGTGTCGACTACATCATTGCGACGTAAGTCGTGTCAGGACAAAACTGCCGCATCGACATATCTCAATAACTATGTACGAGTTACGCCATCTAGTGCCTAAGCATCATAGGCCAACACGCATACCCTTTTCCATGCACAGCGTCAGTTAGTTCATAGTGTTGACGGAGGAGCGTTGCGTCTTAAAAATCTTTTTCTTTATTTCTTATAATTTTTTGGGAATTTTCGATAAGAGATAAGTCTTACTGCATTTACGTTGTAACACATTGAATAAAAATATTTTTGATACTAAAATATAGTAAATTTAATATCCCAAATTATTCTAAACACACGATTTACTTATTTAACGTATTTTTTGGATAATAAAATTGAATTTGACAATTCTGGGCACGGGGGTATTATTGGACATGCGAAGTTGTAAACTAAATGAATGATGTAATTTCATTTTTAATTTTTTGCTAACGTCCGTCCCTGTCACTCAAACGGAGAAAAACGATTTTGAACATTTAAACTAGACTAAATAACCATTTTTATTTTTCGCATCTTCTTATATTTCTTGATATAGAAAACAGTCAGAGCTCCTTATTTTCTCGCACTAGTCAAAATTGCATTCTTATTTCTTTTATCATATGGTCACTCACCGAATTTTACCAAAATTTCTATCGAAACTGTTTTATCAGATCAGGTTGACAATACCGTGCTTCTTATTTTTTTTAGATTTTTAAATAATTACTTTCTGTTAAATTTTCTAAATATTTTGTCATGTAGCCAATTAAATCAAACCTTGTCCTTATTATAGGCTCGGTGTTATCCAACACTTCCTTAATATTAATTGAAGATATTAGTGGCATACATGCATGAACATTATTGATGATTTAATTATAATAACGCCAAAATTAACATATTCAAAACATTTTTGGTCTCGCGTTTATAACTTATTTTTGGTAAATGGCAAATTTGTTTATTAGACTTGTAAATACTAAGAGATATTGGTCTTAGCTTATTGGTGTGATCTAAAATAAATGTCTATAAATACCTAGATGATACTTATCATCACATTTAAATGACGTCAACTAAAACCTTAACTGTTCGTTAAATGTTTTATTATCAATTGGCTTCATACAAAAAAGGTAACTTTATTTTTGGTTTATTGAATACGATTTGCTGAAAAAAATCTACACACATAATTTGGTGTCACGACAGATAATTTTATAATTTGTTTATTGATTTCAATAGTATACAAACAATTTCATTGTTCGAACGGGTGCGGTCGAAGTTATAAACGACGAAGTGCTGTAGTTAATCACATGAGAGATGAGTGCGGTGTCGAACCCAAGTACTCGTGTGAAATATGTGGTAAACTATTCACCCAACGCGGTAACATGAAGACGCATATGTTGTCGTGCGCCAACGTCCAGCCGGATTTTCAATGTGAACTTTGTCCAAAAATGTTTCGCCGTAAAGATGGATATGCATACCACAAAGCAACAGCTCATAATATTTTAATAACTTAAAATCGCAATATTATTTGCCGAATTTCATTTTATGTTAATTTGCTATAAAAATTAAATATTCTTTTGTTTTTTGAGATTATTTTCTTCTCTTATTATACTTTGAATTATAGATAAAACCAAAGTTCATTAGGTCTCAATGAAGACCTTTTATATTCTACAGTTGACGTTTTCTTTGAATTTTGAACTAATTAAATTTCGTATACATTAATATACATTGTGTTAATGTCAATTAGTTGTTTTTCTTATCAAAAAAGTTACAAGTAAATTTATATACAAGTTATTTATAATATTTCTTTTGTTATTTGTGAATAACTTGAGCAATTTTACTACCTATTCGCTGATATAGTTTTGCTGTCAATGTATTGCTAATTTAATTTAGTTATTTACACACACACACACACACACACACACGCACACACACACACACATATATATATATGTATATAAAATATACAAATGTGCATTTATATCTGCGAGTAGAAATATTTCGTTTATTATGTCTCCCGAATATTAGTGAAAATTGATTTGTGCCCATTTTCGTTAGAAACGTCCATGTTAGCTTACAAATAAATTATATTATTCTAAAAATATTTATTCAAAAAGAATTACCGTATACATTTTTTTAAATAGAATCCATATTGTATAGCTGCTTGAAAAATTGTGGTCGAAGATTCAGAAAGCAAAATTCTATGCAAAAACACATGATGTATGAGTGTGGCGTATTTCCTAGATTCGCGTGTAGTATTTGTTTTAGAATATTCAGCCGTCTTGGAAATATGAAGAGACATATGGTTTTATGTACAAAAACTGCACCTGAATTTCAATGTGATCTATGTAACAGAATATTTCATCGTAAAGATAATTTGGCTACTCATAGAGTTTTGGTTCATAAAGTTTTGTAAACTGAAAATAATATACAAGACTGATCATTTTATAAGAAGTCTAATCATTTATAACATACATTTTTTTCTCATAAAATATCATGAATTTTATCAAGCTCCATTTTCAATTAATATAAGTAAACTTATTTGTCTTTATTTAATATCATTCTTTGTTATATTACCTAGAAATTTTTACTAGACATATGTGTAAGGAAAATAATTTTTTTGTTTAATTTTTAAATATACATAGAAAGTTTATCTCAATGATTGTTATGTACATATTTCATTTTACAGTATTGCTTGCTGAGATTTAATAGAATATTAATTAGTTGACTAATTAAAAATTGGCTAAAATTGTATTCTTGATAACTGTAGTTCTCATTAGATGTTTTTATGTTAACAGCACAAAAGGAAATGTATGATCTTCATGACAGATATGTTCGCAACAACAGTCATAAAAACATCAAATATGGTATACTGAAGTATTCTTGTACAGTTTGTTAAAAACTTTTTAGTAGAAATAATAATATGAAAAGACATGCTTTTATGCCCAAAAACTGTACCTGAATTGCAATGCGATTTATGTAACAAAATATTTCACCGCAAAGATAATTTGGCTAGTCATAGAATTTTGGTTTATAAAGTTTTGCAAACTAAAATTACTAAACAAGAAAGATCATTTTATAAGATAAAAAATTAAGATTTGCATTAATATTAGTACTGGATTTTTACTTCTATTTATTTTACATTAGAAGATTTGATGAGGTTGGGTTTTTATGTATTATTTTTATTATATTAAACAATTTCATGTAGTTTAGTTTTTTATTTATAATAATTCATAAAAAAATTTTCCTCTCTCTACTAATATTATTTAAAATGGGCATATAAGTATATTTTTATTTTTAACGACATTCCTTTTTGACATTATAAAATTAGGTTTTAAATGATTTTAATAAATCTTAAATATTTTCTTTAATATGATTGTGTAAAATGAAGATTTTGATTGACGTTATTGAATTAAATTTGACCTATCTTATACACACATATTCATGCTAAATATTTTAACTTATTTTATTCATTTGAAATGGAATTTCTTCTAAATAATTTAAAATGTAAATTTATAGTTATATAACTGGATATATTTTTATTTAAAAGAAGTTGCAGCTGAAATAGTTTTTTGGTCAGTATTAGTACGTGTAAGACAGAAGCAGCTTACGTTATCACTTGGTCTAACAATAATGTCCAATGATGTATTTTACTCATCGATTTTTTTTGTTTTCAGATGACATAAAATTTATCGTTACTAAAATCATTGGCCCGTAAGGTATAATGTTTTATTAGCATAAAACGTATGTATAATATACATATATTTTATGTTTTATATAGAAGCTCTAATGCTAGACAACCAAGGGTTTTTAAATGAGAGAGACATAAAAATTCGGACTTTTGAATCACACAATGATTGATAAGCGTTCATTGGACACTTTTACTTGCCATTTAAGTAAACACTGTCCACTTTGATATTTCTTTGGAAAATTATTAATTGTATGAATACTAAACACGGTCTAAATGGCGTTTTTTCGACTTTATGTCCTATGGATAATCATATTTTGGGTTATATATGAAATTTATGCATCTCAGAAATCAGTTGAATTGAATAAAAGTCTAATGTGTTTGTGTACTTGTGTCAAATATTTTATTGTTGACGTTGTATCAATAATGAATTTATTGCTGTATGTTTAAAAATTATATATTTTTTATCTTGTTAAATTGTTATAAAATTTTTAGATTGTAAGATAAATTTGTTTTTAACTTAATTTTTAAATTTTATTTCATTTCTTAAATATAAACAGTACTGCTTTTTGTAAATATTCTTCTTTTTTGCATGGAACTATTTTCTAGTTCAATTTTCCTAATTATAATAATTAATTTTAGTTTTAATTTTTTTTTAGAACGCAATTTTGTTTGCCCTAACTGTTATCGAGTTTACACTTACAGTCGAGGATTAGCGAGACACATCAAGTACGAGTGTGGTGTTGAATGGAAGTTCCCCTGTGGCACGTGCAACAGACCATTTAAACGAAAGGAACATCTCAGAAAGCACATGTTCAATATACATAAACAACTTTTGTCATAACGTTTCTAAATTTTTTATGTCATATAATTTACCTTTGATATTTATAATATACTCTTTTACTATCAATTGATGCTAGTTTATTATTAGCTAAAATTAATTCTACTGTAATATAAGTGTATTGAAATGTACATGAAGATTATTATTAATTTTGGATATCAATTTGAAATTAGAAGTATTGATGTTTATTCAGTAGTTGAAATTTGCATTAATAGTTAATACATTATTTGTGAGTTATGTTTTTGCTTTTTGAATTTTTGACAGTAAATCATTTTTATACATTCTAATCACTTCTGTACTTTTTTTAGACTTGACCAACAATGAGTGGCGGCCGTACATTTGCGATAAACCCGGTTGTGGCCGGGGATATAAATACAAAAGTGGATTATTCAGACATGTTAAGTACGAATGTGGCAAGGAACCTCAATTTCCCTGTGTCGTGTGTCACAAAAGATTCACTCAACAACAATCACTTAAGTCGCACATGATTTACATTCACGGATTTCCTGTCTATAATAAACAAAAAAATTCTGAGAGCAATTCGTCTTAGATTTTATTTTGCGTATTATTGAAATATTTCTAGTAAAATTAAAAAATTATAATTGTTCCTTTGCTTTTTATCTGAATTTTTAATCTGAAAAATATTCGACAAATATTTTATTATGAAAAAACATATAATTTATTTTTATATAAATTGTGTATTGTATGTAAAGTTATTATTTTTAAATAATAATAATTATAATTTAAATTTATCAAAATATTGTATTTATCCATGACAAATTATGTGTAATTATTTTCTGTACTTAATTAAATAAATATACTGTTATATAGTTATCACTGAACTTTTCATGTTCATCCTTTACAATTATTTATTAAAAATTTTGCTTTTATTTGTTGCTTCTAATTTTTGTCGTTGGATATTATATCTATATTTACAATTTGCTCATGATGCTTTTACAGGAATAGTTTAGCGGAAAATTGCTGAAAATTTCTTTGTTTAATTCACATAGCTCTAGATCAACCCTATACTCGCTATTAATTTAAAAACTATTTTAATTTTACTAATTGTGCTTTGCTTGAATGTATTCTAGATGAACCAAAGTTAAAGCTAAAATTAAAAACAAACTTTCCGAAATTTTTGGAATGTCCTAATGGATGTGGTTACACTTACACCATGGTCAGTAATTTCACAGAGCATATTCAAAAGTATTGCACCAAAAACAAGTATTACACGTGTCTCTATTGTAATGAAGCATTTCATATGAACGAGCAGTTGAAAAAACATTTGCTGATGATTCATAAATGTTTTTAAACATTTATTGAGTTTATGGATCAAAACAATTTTTTATTAATAAGTAGTTATGTAGATTAAATTTAAGTTGTTACATTAATATTTACTAATTTAAAGTTAATAAGTTAAAATCATAAACTGTTCTACCTCACTTTATTTTTTTCAAACATAAGTATTCATAAATTATTTGATGAACTAGCATATTGAGTAGATATTGTACCTTAAATATTAAGATATAATCATTAATTTACTGTATTGCATTCCTTTTTTTGTCGAATATTACCTAAAAATTATATTGTGTCTAGATTTTTTAATATTAATACAGTACTTATCTTAATCTTAATAAATGCGTCAATTTTTCATATGAAACCCGTATTTATGTGAGATTTTTTTATTCTTATCATCATAATTGTTTATGTAAAAAAATTGTATATTGTCATTTTTCTAGTTTTTTCACCGGCACTATTTTATAGCAACTTATTGAATTCTGAGTATTGTGTAATTATTGCACAGTTTTACGATGTTTAATTCAAGCATATTATGTTTTAATGATTATTTTAAATTAAACGAGTTTTAATTTATTTTACTAATTTTTCAGACCAATGGTATCAATGTCGTCCTAAGTGCTTCGAATCATTCAAAGAGAAAAAAAGATTGTATTCACATCTTATAAATCATAACCATTTCAAAAAATATAAGTTTACATTAAACATATGTTTTTTGGATTTCGCTCAGTTGCACCTACTCAAGCATCATAGCTTTCTTATACAGTAATGACAGACCTAGGAAGATAAGCTTAAGAATAATTAAATTTTGTTTACCCCGCTAGTCATTAATTTTTTTGGATTTTTTAGTATTCGTCATACATATTATTACAAATGAGTTGTATAGTATTTAAACTATGATAAATGTTATCTTAACTTTGGAAATCATTTTAATAAAATTAATGAATGTATGACTTTGTTTTACTTTTTACTAAAATACCTTATTTATAGATTTTTATTAGGGTATACTAAACTAATTCTGTTTTTAGTTCAGATTATTTTAGTGTGAAATGCGTTTTAAAGAACACATTTTATGTCATAATAGAGAGTTTAATACTGTGTTTATTTTTAAATAGTTTTTTTATTATTTAATTAATTGGGCGCATAGAAGCCTACTAGTATTAAGGTGCTCATTAGTTGTTATCATACATGTAGAAATTCTTAAAATAATGAATGTAGCATCATATATGTAGTACAACATTATATATCGTATTGTATAAATATTTATGTTTAATGTCCTCTCTAAAAGTTATTGTTTGTGTCAGAGAGGACGTGAAACCCTACAATCCCCAGCGCTACGGACATGACTCCCCCTTCGATACAAACGCAACGACGCATAACGCATATATCAGTGAATTAAATTATATCGAATGTATATTTAATTTTTATTTGAATTTCTTTTAAGCGTTCAAATATAATTTTTTTACATCTCCTAAATTAAATTTAAAAAAAAATGGGGTTTTTAGGTGTACGTTATTAAAAGTTTCATTGAATCTTGAGATTGAGTATTTAAAATTAAATAAGTTTAATAGTAGCTTATGAGCTTAATATTTGTAATGAACAATTTATTTCAAACAATTTATTTATTACTGCTTTTTTAAAAATGAATAATATTATGATTATATTTTACAGTTTTTGTAGCACCTCCTGAGAGATTGCCGTGTCCAAACTGTAAGAAATCGTTTGTAAATATTGGCACTCTTAAGCAACACTTGAAAAGTCATTGCGGAGTCGAACCTAAATTTGAATGTATATATTGCAACAAAATGTTTTCACGTAGAGATATTGTGAACACACACATGAAGAAAATTCATTTGCAAAATATTAAGTTAAACCTTCCTTTTGTAAATTAAGTTTAATTTTAGATGAAAAGTTCAATTCATGATCAAATTTAAATTATTGTCTTTATTTTAATGTTTGAAAATTAAGAACTTTGATTGTGTTTTAATAGAATGTGTTAAGTAAACCTGTTTGAATACATTTTTATTATTATCTTTAGATATTATTTTTTTTCAAATAAAATTATATAATGAAATAAAAGTTTTACAATATAATTGACTAAATTAAAGTATTTTAATAGAGAATATTAATATATATTTTCTTTTTCACATTCATAGTTGAGGAATCTTTGTGTTTAATAATTATCACATGTTCTTTGTTTCTAATTACTGAAGGTTATTCAACTTTATTTAAAAGTTATATATGAGCTATTATTACTGGGACATAAAATGTTGATATTAACATAAACTCTGGCGATTGTTTCCTTTCAATTCACAATTAATAAAAAATAATTTTGCTGAAAATATAATTTAATTAGAATATGTCAATAAAAAATATGATAAGATCATTTAAACATTACAAAATGTATAGTTTATATGTATCATTGTTGTTTATCAATATAAAGAACTCATTTAAACCACTCATTCTATACAGATTATATCGGCATGTTGCTATTTGTATAATTTTGAGATTAGTTCAACATAATAGCTTTTATTGACACGATAACAGCGTTATATTTTTTTGTCAATATTTTAATTATTAATACAAACATTTTTGTTTTAGTATATATTTGCGATCAGTATATAGATGGCCGTTCAATAAAATTTATATGCCCAAATGAAAACTGTGGTAAAAGTTATAAGTACAAACCAGATTTGAATAGGCATATAAAAAATTACTGTGGTAAAGAACCAAAACATATTTGTTGTTTTTGCCACAAACGATTTATGAGGAAGGACATTTGGAAGAATCATATAGCATTAGTTCATAAGAGATTGGTACATTAATTCCATTGATTTTACATAATGAATGTGAAATTACTATTATTCAATTAAATGATAAAGTCTGTGTCAATATTATAGTGTAAATTATCGATTAAGAAAAAATTATAATTTTAATATGTATAAAGTTGACATTTCATTATTTTTACCATATGATTGTTCAATCATATACTATGACGGCCATTTCTTAATTTTACATTTATTAAGAAAAAGTGATTTAAATTTTCAAACTTATTTCATTTTATTATCTGTGCGTAAAAGTATGTACCATAAAAAATTAAGTTGCAGTCTAGTAATACTTCTGTATTTTATTTTTCTTAATTTAAACTTTGTATTTTATACTTGATGTTTGTAGTAATGTACATTAATATTGATAATTTTATTAATTTTTAAGCGAATACATTTTTTATGTTATATTTTTCCTTAAACTTATATATTTTAATTTTTAATTATATAATCTTTTTTTTTTTAAAAAAACATCCAATTTTTGTAAATTTAAACTTAAATATAAAACGCATGTGACTAAGTTTTTATCATTTTAAAATAGACATTTTATTTATATCACTTCTGAATAGTTTAATGAAAAATTTGAAGATGATATTGCAAAAGATATATTTTTAACAATAGCCCATAAATGTTCATTTAACTACAATATTTTATAAATCAATGTCAAAAAATAATAAATATCCAAAATAGAGAAAGTATACGTCAAATATTTTTTAATATAATCATAATCCAATAATCTTTTTCACGAGTTTAACAGATAGTATAATAGACCTAGTGAGAAGTTTTTCTACCTTTTTTTTGTCTCCTTCCTTACCTTCCCAAAAAGTAAGTTATCTGTGGGGGACTACTACATTGTATGATTTTTTTCTCCACAGTCTACCTGCAACTACTCCAACATAACTTATTGAGTATCTGAAGTGATTTAAAATTATTGTTATTATCTTTGGATAAAACATTGATATTTATGCTACACATCCTAAAAATAATTTAAAATATCCTATTAAATATTTTTATATGAAGCACTATATTAAAGTACACCACGTAATGTTAACTAAGAGTTTTTGATGCATGCAAAGCACAACATAACTACTCTCTGTTTTTTGGGGATTTTACACAACTTACAAAATCATTATGCAAGTGAAAAAGTATTTTATCAAATAAATCCAATTTCTGAAATAATTTCTTTTGTATCTATAACAAATTTAATTTTTAAATGAAGCTATTTATTATCTGTTTTATAATATTATTATTATTTTATCATTAGATTGATGCATTGCTGTTACAATGTAATAAATAATGAAATATTTTATATTAGTATCAAGTGCATTTTTGAAGTTTAATTAAATTTTTTTCCGTAGATAGACGTTGGGTTTGTGTTAACGAGTGTGGACGTAAATACATCAATAAAAAGAGCTTAATTAGACATTTAAGATATGAATGCGGTGTGCAACGACAATTCCAGTGTTCGCGATGTCTCTTACAGTTTAAGCTACAAAATCACCTGAAAAAACACCAACTAAAATGTGGTTTTAGACAAAAAGTGATGAACAAAAGAATTTCTAACTACCCTCAACAATACTTCATTAGTTAATGATACAATGATGTAAAATATATAAAAATTAAATATACTTAAAATTTCATATTTTTCGTTCATATAATAGCCGTAGTTATTGAATAAAAAGTATATGACGAAAATGAAGACTTTTTATAAGAGTAAAACAAGTTATTTATATTAGCTGTATGACAGTTTCTTTTTATTTATTCATTTAATGAAGTTAATGGATTGATTTGTTTCTATGCACGCTGTCTAAATTTAATATTTATTTTCATCTTTAATAATATATTAATGATTCTTCTTTAAGTTAATAATATACATTTTTGTTAAAATATGTTAGCAAATTTTTAAAAAGCGAAAATCACCTTACTTTTTAGAAAAGACATTTTTTAGGTATGAATTATTATGTAATTTAATTGTAATATTTAATTCTAAACTATAAATAAAAAAATAGTCTCATTAAAAATATATTATTATTATTTAATATTAATGACACTTAGTTATATTTGTTTTAATTATAAATTTAATATTTTATTTCAACTAACTAGTTGAGTTTTTCTATTTATGTTGAATATTTAAAATATTTATTAATTTTTTTAAATTTATCATATCTTTATTTTGTAAAAAAAATTTCATTTAATGTTATTTTATTTTGTACTTTTTTTTTAACTATGAAAAGAAGAGATGCTTGATTTTTATATTTTTAGTTAAAAATTAAAAACCATTTTTTATATAGTTATAGTTTTTATTTCCTATATTAAATCAAAATATAACCATTACATTATAGTGGTATAATTGATAAGATTCTATTGCAATGTTACTTCATATATTTTAAATAACAATAATTTTAGATTTATAATTTACAGTTACTCATCTGTTCTAGACAAACATTTATAATCGGTAAATAATATATTGATTGTCATAATTTTTACAAAATAGTTGTCAAATAGCTTAGAAATTTCAAAACTAATATGATTCTTTCTTAGTAAAACCATTTAATTTACTAATTTTTAGTAGATATTTATATATAGAAATGTTGGTAAAATTTTCAATACGCTTGAATGATTCAATTAGAATTATATTTTTTTTACTATTTAAATTTGTCAAAAAATAATTATTTACAGAAAATTAATTAATTTATAAACATTCTAACAATCCCAGAACAGTAGCAATGCGACATAGTTAGGACAAGTATAACTCATATCAGACAATGATAACGTCATGTTATGATAGTCATTATCATAAGAAAAGCTTCAATGTTAATTTGTTAATTTTTTTGATGTAATATTGCATTATAAAGTCCAATAACTTATAGAAAAAGTACCACAGGGGCGTTTATCATTTCTTTCATTATAAAATACTATATCAAATTTTTAATTTGATATATGTTTCGGTTTGTCAGATGTCCAACCTAACCCAAGCGAACGTTTTGAAAAAATAAAGTATTTTTATTTTTGTAAAAATTAAGTTTTTTTTACTTTAACGGCCAATTTTTCATAGTTAAACATTCGTCAGGAATTTTTTTTTTTTTGTATATTGTAGTACACATCAAGATTTTTATTTTGACATAGGTTGAAAGTGGACAGACATTCCAAAAAATTATCAAATACTGAATTTGAAAAAACACTATTTTTAAGTATTTTTTGTTTTTAAAATTCAAAATATTAATTTAAAACTAAAAAAATGTTAAAAATATACTCAAAAAATCACAACAAAATATGTATGTAAATTTCAGCAATAATGTTAGCATTATTAACTTAAAATACAAACTAACATATTTTTTCTGTATTTAGGTTTTTCATTAGATTTTCATAAAAATCATCCTAGAAAACTTACTGTTTCTAATATGTATTTTGAAAATTTATAAGGATTAGTGTTAAATAATAGTTATAGCAATTTTAAATACAGAAAAAAAATGTTGATTAAGCTATTTTTTACGTTAGTGTAATTTTGTGATTATTTTTTAAAATTATTTTATTAAATTGAGGTTTTTTTTGTCGAATTGTTGGCATTAATATGTTCAGTTATTGGAATCGAGTTCTTTTGATGCAAATTCGATCTAGCCAGTGCCGAGAATATTAATGGGAATCATAAAAAAAAAACACTATGCTAAAACCAATCTCTTCTCAGCTTTTTGCGCTGAACAATTTAAAAGTAATCTAAAATAAATTACTAACCTAGTCTTTTATCATTACAGATTTTTCGGATAGATATTACTGTTCTAATGGATGTGGCAAAAACTATAAAAACAAACAACATATGACAAGACATGTAAAAAATGAATGTGGGGTTCAACCAATGTTTAAGTGTGAATATTGTTCCAAGTCATTTAGGCGCAAACAATCATTGAAAGTTCACTCAGTGTCTTCACATAATCTTCTTCCGATTTCTCTTCCTAGAAATCCTTGTCAAAAACTCAAATGGACATCCCTATAACAACTATTATCTTTTACCTTTCATTATGAACTGATGAACTTCATAAAAAAATATGGAATAACATGTTTTTGTTACTCATAATTATAAAGGTCTTTTTTTATTTTAATATGAACAGAAGCGTTATTATTATTTTTTTGTTGTGGTATTTATAATATTTTAATTTTTTCTAGTGTCAAGTGTAATAAATTAATTTAAAAAAAAATTTTAATAAAGATGAAATTAATAAAAACATTTTTTTTTTAAAATGTTTTGTTAATGTTTTATGTACTATTATTATATTTATTATATAGTACCTTGTCATGTAATGAATTGTTTCAGTTTTCCAGAGTCACTTTATACTGTAATAATATAAGTGTCTTTTTTGACATCATGTGTACATCAATAAAAAATATGGATGCATGATTGATTCCATACTTTTTGATTCGTTTAGAATTACATCTAGTGTTATACAACATATTTTATTGATTTTAAGAGTTTTCCCTGCCCTAATTATTTACAGTTCCAGCAGTTGATGTGATATGAATGTATAGCTTATTTAAAAAAATTTATAATCATTAAATTTGTTTGATATTATGTAGTTACAGGGGAATACAGACGATTTTCATGTCTGTGCGGCAGAAGTTACAAAAGCCAAACAAATTTAAACAGACATAAAAGGACTGAATGTGGCATTCAAAGAAAATATCAGTGTACTATATGTAAAAATTTATTCGACAGAATGTTAGCACTCAAAAACCATGTTGTCAGTGTTCATAAAAAATGATTTCGCAATACTAAGTCGTTTAAAATTACTTCCTATAATTTTACAATTAAAGATAGAGCTAATTATTTCTTTATTAGTATAATATTAAAACAGTTACGCATAATTTTAATGTCAATGAGGAATAGTGATGTTTTAATGAACTGCTTCTCGCATATTTAAATGTTATTGAAAAATATTTAAATTGGTTAATCTTTATCTAGTATATTGAGGATTTATGCATTAATATTTAGTACTGTTTGTTGTGTGTAGACTCGAGAAATGGCCGTTTTTATTGTATTAATATGTGTGGTCGAAGCTACAAGCAAAAAACACATATGACTAGACATGTCAATTATGAGTGTGGACAACAAAAAAAGTTCAAGTGTAAATACTGTTCCAAAAAGTTCTATCATAAAGATGCTCTTCAAAAACATGAATATTCATTACACTCAGAACAATTTTTGCATTTAGTGACTTATGTAAATTAGTTTTTAATTATATATTAAGTGATAAGTTTCAAATATACTGTTTTAAGTTATACTGTTATAGGATAAATGTACGTGTCTATATATATTGAAAAGTTTTTCAGCTGAAGAAAAAAGTTGATTATTAATAACTTTATATGTAAAAAAATACTACTACATTTATTAAATATGTGATATAATAAGTTTAGTTTCATCAATATAATCAATAAAATATATATCAATGAAATATTAGTTATATTAAATGTTTTTGTTCAGTTATTTTAACTAAAACCAACTTGGTGTATTTTAATGTTATTGAACGTATTAAAAAAATTACACAAAGGAAAATTCTTTACGTAACTTTTTATGTAAATACAATTTAATGTGAAATACATAACTTATTTGTTAGTTTTAAGCATTTTCACCGTGTTTGTTGAATAAATTATAATGGAATACTTCAATAGTTATTATGTTAACTTATATTAGTAATGTATTCATATTAAAGTATCTAATGTTTATTATAATTGAATTAAAATTGTCACCTAAAATAAATTATTATATAAACATTTTCACAACCTCACATAAAATGATAGAATAAACCATAATATTTTTTATTAATTAATAATTTTTAATAAATTTTTCATTATTTTCAGAATTTGACAAAAATGATAATTCATTAAAAAGTTGGATAAGATATTTGGATCTTAAAGTGAAACATAAATCGTAATATACAAAATATTTATAATGTTTGCTTTAGCCGAAGGTTTGCATAAAATAAAATCAAGCTAGTATTACTAGTTATAATAAGAATTTTTTTTAATTATGCAAACTACAATGGATCTTGCAAAGGATGACCCGATTCGTAATACCGCGAAGCAATGTCACCATTTCGATTAACAATGAAATGTATGAAAACGTAGTATTTGTAAGCAGTACATATGACTTTAAAAACACAAATGCACGTTGCTGCTTTTAACAATTTCTTTGTGCAGTACGCGTCTTTCAATAACAGAATTGTTGGAGGGATCTTCAGTATCTTATGATTTTGTCTTTCGCAAACCTTTACACACATGTCCAGACCTCTTTTTGTGTACCGTATGCAATCAATACTCGATCCTTCACTATAAATACACGCTTCGCACAGGATCTTTGTTCTAGCATTATTGAAAAACTTGCCTAATTAAACACAATAAACATTTTACATATTATTATTTAAAACTTGTGTTAATTTTTAAATATTTTTTCAAGTTATTAAATATTGTCTATTATAAAAATCGTTGTTTTGATTGGTTATGGTATACCATTCAATTAAAATAAATAATTTTTTTTCATGTTTATTTTTGTTATTTGACCATGTTTTAACAAATCCTATAATTTTTGATCACTGAATTTTTTAATTTTTTTAAAAATTGATTAGAGCTTATAGCTGCTACGATTTCATAAAAAAAAAATACCTTTTTATTTTAATAAAAAATACTAAAATGTTAACAAAATTACCAAAAATGTTTCAAAAATTGAAGTTAACCATCTCCTAGAACAGATTATAAAAAAAAATTTAGTAGCAAAATCTCGACTTAATGTTTTGTAGTTAAATGCCTAGAATATTGTAAAATTTGCTAAAATTAAAGTTTTTAGTGTTTATTTTGCAGTATTAAACCGCATTATGTTTATCAAAAAAGTACACATTGAGTATTGTTTATAGGTATGGAGTTTTTCCATGATAATTTTTTCATTTTATAAGAATAACACAGAAAAGAGATTTATATTATAATAATTTTTATTAATTTTTTTTTAAAAAAAATTCAGAAAATATTCAATAGATTAAAAGTTACATAATTTGCCTGAACATGGTAGGAAACATATATAGTTTATTGAATTGCAAATATTCCAATATATTATTAATATAAATTAGCACTCTTTTAACGTTCAAATCTTTGCTATGATTTAGTATTAATTTTACTTAAATTAACTACCCCAAAGTCGTTCGGGATTCCAAAATATAAGGTCGCTCTCACAGCTTGCCTTCTCTGAAAAAGCTATTGAATTTTTTATAAGAGATTTCTCGATGATTCTGTCATCACATTGGACATCTGCAGTATTTGCAATTGCTTTACCAACAGTTAACTCTGAAAGATCAATAAGTTATTAAAAAATTAATAATAAAATTATTTAAATAGATCATTCAATAATAACTCACTATCATTACAAAATTGTATTCGATTAATCAATGACTCAGATTGATTCAAGATGTGATTGCAACCTTGTTTCAAAATTTTACCTGTAGATTCCTATTTGTTAGAATTTTATATTTAATAGTTAATTAATTTTAAGTTAATGAAATTGTTTTGAACAAATAGTCAAAAGACTAACGTTTTCAAATGATTACTGATTAACATTCAAGAAATACTTACTATGACTACCGTTTTCTAAAATATCACTCAAAGTTCTTGTACATTGATACAATTGAATAAATATTATAAAAATAAATATAGACATTATACAACACCAAAAATAATTATCTTTAATTTCCACTTCAATAAATATGTTTGTATTCTATTTTGATTATATCGATAAATATAACCATAGTGATTTTTGAAAAATAACTGTGAAAAAGACTTTTATTTTTCATTTACTCGATAATTTTTAGAGTAATATATTATAAATTATTATTCATTTTAATTAATCTCTTTCTCCATATAATTTTTACACTTGCTTCTATGAATTATTTACAATTTTATATTTTTTCATTTAGCTAACACCTGATGTTTGGGATAATGATTAAATTACTTACTCGATGACCACGCTTTCTTTACATTTGGTCAGTTATTTGATATACCTTGTCTAAGGGCTCACCAACCTATAAGTGTGTAATGAATTGTAAATAGAATGACTGATGATGGAAGAGGTCGTCTGCGCAAAACCAGTGATCTATGTGATTATGTATGTAATTGTGTATAAATGTATAGTGTGCTATTTTTTAAAATTAAATAGTAAATACATAGCTCAAAATGTAATAATTAATAAATAAGTTATATTTCAAATAAGCGATCATACAATTATAAAAATATAGGCATAAATTTAGTCTTTTTAGTTCATCAGCTCAATAAATAAATAATAAAACAAAAAAAAATTTAATTAGCCTTCTGGTTCAACAGTAATAATAACTCCTCAAGAATAAAATGTAAGGTTCAACTCACTTTTCTTGGTAATAATAACTATGCAAACAAAACTATAACTTCTAAAATAACAACAACAATAATAAAATAAAAAGTTTAACTATCAACAATTTCAACAAATGAACACATAAATATATCTTAAAAACTAACGAATAACTTAAAATTGACAATGATGACTAAGATTACTTATAAGGAAAGATATTGAATAGCTTATTTATTTAAAAATTTACCAACAAAAAAATCTAACAGATTTCCCTTCTGGCTAATATGACTAAAAATTATTCACGAAGCTCTTAGGACCACGATGAAAATAATATCTAATAATGAATTTTTCGGGCTAATGGACTGTTTTTTAAATGTTTACTTAATGATTGCAATTATGTTGTTTTATTTTTAACGGTTTTTGTACTAACTAGTTTAATAAAAATATTTTTTTATATTATTGAAGGTAATAATAAAAATAATTATATTAATGAGTTTAAAAAAAATTCAGTTTTTTGTTTTTAGGAAAATTTTTTATCTGTTCAGCGTTTCTTTTGATAAATTATAAACTGTTTGTATTATAGCTTTATTAATATATTACAGATATACCTTTACTTAAATTTATATTTACATTCAATTTTATGTTGAATAATTTCAGATGATGCAATTTTTACATCTGAAAGATTTGTTTGTCCCAACAAGTGTGGTCGAAGTTTTAGTAAAAAGGTAAACCTGAAATATCATTTCAAAAACGAATGTGGAATTAAGTTTGTCTGTGGAATTTGTAACAGACAATTTAGTCAGAAAACTCATCTCAAGAGACATATATGCGTAGTTCACAAATGTATTCCACAGTTAATGAAATTTTGATAAATATATAAATTTGTTTTTAATTATAAAACCTTAGCTTTGTACAAAAAGCTGTACAATTTTCAAGTAGTAGGGTAGACGATTTATTTATAAGTTGCACTAAAATATGTGTTGCTGATTAATAAAATAAAATGTTTACTCTGACCACTTAAATTGTTTGTATATTTCCTAACTTTGATAGTATAAATTAGTATTTCATTGCAAATAATTAAAAAAGTGTTATCATTTTTTCTACTATAATATAACAATACTTCTATAATAACAATTGATTATAATCTAACCGGGTAATGTTGATCATTTGTTGAAAAAACTGTATTTTATGTGTACAAGGGATTTAATTGATTAAGCTATTCTGATTATACTTATATATTTGTTTTATAAAGCATGATGATATATAACTTGAGAGAGAATTTACTTCAATAATCGATTCATCGTTAAATTATTCTTCAGGTGTGTTTGATGGCGAAGAACGGCATATTTGTCCAAATAATTGTGGCAAAAGTTATAAATACAAAGGCGGATTACACACACATTTGAAAGAAGAATGTGGCATACTTGTACCCAAATACAAATGTGAGATATGTTTGAAAAGGTTTAAACATAAAGGGAATATGAATACTCATTTTAAAGTGTGCGCTAATCTTCCACCGGATTATCGTTGTTTCAAATGCAACAAGAGTTTTTATCAAAAAAGCAATTTACGAAGTCATTTAGTTGTAATACATAGAATAGTAACATAATAATACTATAGAACATGTATTACATTTTTGCTTATTTGACTTTTAAACTATTATTCAGTATCATTATTAATAAAACTGTTTTAAAATACTGTTCTGTTATCTGTATTAATGTATTAGAATAAAATTTTGTTAATTTTAATAGTCTGACATAGTCGTGTATCAATTTAAATAAATAATAATAGTGTTGACCTATCAAAATGTATAACTGACATTTTTCGATTTCCCATTAGAATCTCATTAACAAAGAAATGAATAACTGTTTCAACTTTTAAATTATAAACTATTGAATTTAAATGTTAAAATATGCAATTTTTAATAGGTAATTATTTCATTTTTCTAAAAATGTTCACTTAATTATACACTCATCAACCATATATAGCGCGCCATCTATCCATACATTTTAAAATAAATCTATATCATTATAAATAGAGATAAAATGACTCTCTATACTTCAATTTAATTTCCCTATATGCCACGGGAGGCCCCAAATTTAAAGAGATTTTTGAAAATAGACCCAACAGGTAAACTTCTCTTCAAATTTTTTAGCTAATTGACTCGTCTTTAAAAAAATTATTCCAAATTTAAAATTGTATTTTATCGAAATTATTTAAAATATTATTTTAATATATTATCAGTATGTTATACCCCGTTATTAATAACGAATACAAAAAAACAGCATTGTAACTTTAAATGATATAATATAACAGCCCAAACTAATATTCGTTTAGAATTTATGAAATGATAACAGTTTTACAAATACACAGAGTTTGATATCAAGGATTATCGTCTTAGAAATCTTTATTTTTGGTACAATTATAAAAAGTTATGCAATTTACTGAGGATCCGTAAACTTTTAAGAGTCAGTTGAACTTATACTAATAACTAGTACCATGTGTTTCTACTCGTAGGTATTAAGAAAATGTTTTACTTTGAAATCTAAGATTCGGCATCCGCCCCTCATAAGTAACGCATTCAATGCATTACTAGGCGTGCGAGTACTTAAATGTATTTTTTAGAATTTTTTATATGATTTGATTAATTAAATTTTGTGAACTCCTTTCTTGAGAGTTTTTATAGTTTTTTTAATAAACTAACTATTTTTGCATGTTTTATATAAAAATTCTAGATACCATGGTATATGTGGTTTTTAGGAGTATAAAAGTGTCTCTACAGTTTTTGACATCTTTAAAAAAATTTTATCCATTAAATATTTTGAATTACTTTTTTTTTTTAATTTTTGACAACGTTAAAAATAGATTTATTATTATTTAATTTTTTTTTTTAATTTCAATATAACCATTTTTTAGCACTTTATTACAAACAAATTTTGATGGGTTACAAGTATTTTAATACATAAAATAGGTATGTAGAAGGCTAGGTACAGCTCGTACTGGTATAAATATATAACATATTTGCGCTGCATAATCACTTTATGTATTAAAATGCTTGTAACTCGCAAAGTAATTATAAAGTTAATATTAACGAATCAACATTTTTTTAAGAAAAAAGTTTATAAAAGGCTATTTTGAAATTTTTATAAATTATAAAAACTATTTTACAATGTAGTCCAAAACTGTAAAATTTTGTAAAAAAAAGTAATGCAAAATGTTTGCTGGATTAAAAGTTATTAAAGATCCAACCCTGGTGAGGCATTGTATATCAGTTTTAAAATTGCAAAATAATGAAAACGTTAAAAAAATTATTTATAAAATGAACAATTATTAGAAGTTAATAAACCTAATTTTTTCATAATTTATGATTATTTGTATAATAGGATAGTCATCATCAAAAGCTACTCGGAGTGTTGGCTTTTATACATCAAAGGACATAATTTTCCTAAATAAAAATCAAATATCATTATAATTATACTACCAAAATATTAGTCATTAGTTAGTGGAATTGTAGGGGTGACTATGTTTTAATGTATTATTAATTTATTGTAATGCCTCAACGTGCCTATTAAAAAATATATAATTATTATTTTTAAATACAATATTAAGAATTTTGAGCTTATCAAATTATACTGAAAACTTAATATTAATTTTAATTAAGTTTTTGATGTGCGATAGGATTGCCCGCTGAAAATTTGAATGAAAAATGGACCTGTCCACACTCCTGCGGCCGAAGTTATAAAAACAAACACTCTTTATCCAGTCATCTTAAATATGAATGTGGTGTAAAACCACAATTTTCATGTCAAAGTTGTTTGCGATCTTTTAAGCTTAAACATCATTTGAAAAGTCATATGTTAAGTTGTGGAAATTTACCTCCAGAATATAGCTGTCCATTTTGTAAAAAATTTTTTAGACAAAAAGTTCATCTGAGAACACACTTGGGTTGTGTGCATAAAGTTATATCATAATATCAATTTATTTTTGTAGTTCAGATATCTTTGATATAAATACATTACTCTGAAGGGTTTAATTAGTTACCTTAATAGTACGTTACCTTTAATGTTATAAAATTTAATTTAATTAATTAATTCTATGTTATAGTTCTATAACAATTACAACACAATGTAGCATTTTTTTTATAATATTAAAAAATATATATAAATACATTTCAATAATTTCTTAGAATTTAAAGAAGAGTTTATAGTCAATTTAATTTTCGTGAACCATGTTTTATACAAAATTATAGCAGTTTATTTCTTTGTATTTTAAATTGTTAAAATAATAATTTCTTTTAAATCTATGTTATCTTTGTAATTTTGTAACTATTTTTCTTTTAAATATATAAATAAAGAAAATATAACAATAATACACTTTTCTTGTATTAGTTTATCAAAGTAAAAAAATGAATATTTATTGTATGAATTATAAGTTAAAATTATTACTCTAGAAAACTTGAAATTTGTATTAATAAAAATGTTTCATTTGAATAATTTTTGGAAAAATGAGTAGGAATATGGTATTTTTTGTATGATAATTAAATTTTGAAATACATAATTTAATGTATTATACTTGTAATGTTAATAATAATTCAAAACATTAATAAATAAGCTTTGTATATTTAATTGTGAATTAAAATATATTGAAAAAAATTATTATTTAAATTAACTTAATAAGGTAAATCTAGCCAAAAATAAATCCAATAATGAGAAAGTGTCGGTATTACAATGACGTAATATTCTTTTAGATAGTATTTAAAAATAATAAAGAAACTTATTTTATCATAATATAAATTTTGATCATTGAGTCGACACTAAACCTAAGTATAAAATAAAGAATTCAACCCTTACCATATTATTCTTAACAATATTTTTAACGGTTTTTAAAAGTTTATTTGTTAAATTTCGATTTGAATTTAAAAATGTTGTTTTTGGTTAAATTTAAATATTTATTGGGATACTAAAATTTATAAATAATAAAATTTGCTTTTTTGCTTATATATGNTTTGAGCGCTAAATTTAGAAAAAACGGACCTTTTAACCTGTGCCCACATCGTCAGGGTTTTTTCCAAAAGATAACAGCTGCACCCTGCTGTGCTCTACCCTAGAAAATAGTCTGCTACTTATTATCTTGCAGGCTACGCCTTCTAATGGCCTAAACTAATTTGTCAAAATACTTTTGAGCGCTACTGTAGATACACCATTATTATATTACTTATTAAAGTATTCAATATTTATTTGATAAAAAATTTATAATAATTCTTTTACAATTTGATTATATTTATAAATACATGATGATAATAGATTATTTTTAAAGTTATATTTATATCTTTACTAGGAGCAATTGTTGATGGAATACTTAGAGGCGAAGGTCAATTTCAATGTCCAAAATGTGAGAAATGCTATGTCCATCTTAGAAACTTGCATAGACATTTAAAGAATGAATGTGGCATAGAACCATCTTATCAATGTCCTTGGTGTCCAAAAAAGTGCAGATATAAATTTACACTTAGATCTCATATTTTTGGTAGACATTCTAAGTATCAACAATAATAAAATAAAGCAATAATAAAACAACTTTTCTTATAACAATTATCTCCAAATATGAATAAATGATTATTTTAATAGTTTTATATTAGACAATTTTAAAAAATAATGTTTAATATTAAAACTAAAATTTTGTTATTTTTAATCATATACAAGTTAATGCAAAATTATGTTTCTGTATTTTATTATATAAAAATATGTTGTTTAAAAATATATTTTTTCCATGTTATATAACATAATTACTTTATTTTAAAGACTGATGTAAATGACTTGATTATTAAAAAAAAAAATAAAATAAAATCAAGACTGTGAGTAGTATGTATTATTTATTTGTTTATCAGTTAATATTCATCCAAAGTAATGCCTAAATAATTACAAAAATTTAATGTTTTCCATGAGTGAAAATTAAATATTTAAACAAATTAACATAATTAAAAAATATCAAAAATGTTGATTAATTTATTTTATTGGTTAATTTATTTTGATTCCATTGTCATGTCAATGGTGTTTTTTAATGTAATGCAATAATTTTTAAAAGAAAAATGTTATCTCGGGTTTTTATTATTTTAAGAAATATGTTTCCTGTGGTTAATTAAGAAAATAGTTTATATATATTATAAACTAAATTAATTAAAAATCACTAAAATATATATTATTAAAAAATTTATTACATATTTTGTTTTATTAATTTATTTTATAAAATATTAATTTAAAATTAAAAACAATCATATTATTTAACTCAAAAAACTCAAACTTTAAAAATTATTTAACTTATAAGTAAATAATTTTTTTAAAAATAATTCAATTTTTAATAATTAAAAAAAAAGATTATTAAAATTTTATTAATCTGTTCAATGTATAGTTAATTTTACTTAAAATTAAAAATATTTTATTTTAGAAGGCGTGTAATTAAAAAAAACTTAAATTAGAAAATGTAACATTTAGTGGCAACGTTTATATGTGTGTTCAGCTATAATATTCTTATTGCAATTTTTGTGGTTGTTTGAACTAAAAATTATAATTTTTTAGTTTTAGTCACTTATAACTACAATCGTGGAAAACCTAGAAAAAATCTTTCATGTGGATACATTTGTCCTCAGTGTGGTCGATCTTATGTACACAAATACTCAATGCAGACTCATATGAAGTATGAGTGTAACAAGGAACCTCAATTTATTTGTCAATTTTGTGGGAAAGGCATTTACTATCCTTCAAACTTCAAAAAACATTTGATAACAAAACATGATTATAAAATTGACCTAAACAATTTTACAGATCATCCATTCGGATCTGATTAAGAGTTAAACTTTGCACTATATAAGCTTTAATGTTAAAAAAATATTGTTTCATAGATTATTTTAAAACTTGTTATAAAAATGTGTTATTGTTTAACATTAGTACTTGTATATTTATTGTAACTAAATAAAGTTAGGTGATAATTATATATATATTTCCTTGTGTTAAGTTAAATAAATGGATAATTTTGTTATTAAAAATAAAATAAAAACAGATGTATATCAGGATTGGGTTCTAATTATATTTTTATAAGATATTTATATTAATATATACTATTAATGCAGTAGTTAGTTAATCTAAATACTTAATTATTTCTATATATTTAAAAAGGTTCTTCTCTTTTATTATTCAATTGTAGGTACTTATACTTTAATACTAAATTAATATTCATGACTTGACGTATAGTAGTATCTTATCTGTTGGGTTCTTGTAAATGCTAGGGATAATAGACACATTTTATTTTTTACCCAAATGCCCAATTCTATTAAGGATTAAAAAAATATCTATAATAGTCGTTTTTTTTAAATGATGGAAAAATCCATAAATATTATAAATTATTTTAAAAGTACAATAGAATTTGACATTTGGTAAAAATATTATGTATGCTTGACTCAAGTCATAAATTTTTATTTTGAAATGAGTGGCTTACATTTTATTGTTTTAACTAACTTAACCTAGTAACTGACATATTTCTTTCTTATTAATATTATTAACTTTTTTGTCTTAACATCAGGTAATATGATGAGCAGTACTGGAGAAAACGAATTCGTATGTCCTAATAAATGTTGTGGACGAGTGTACAAAACCAAGCCTGGTATTCACAACCATTTGAAATATGAATGTGGAGTAAAGCCTCAATTTCATTGCAAACCTTGTGATAGGTATTTTAAGCAACCTGTTACCTTTAAGGCACATATGATTAACATTCATAAAAATATAAGCTGGAATTTTAAATGAAATAAGAATTTTGTAATAATCATTTTTTAAATAAGTTTAAGATTATATACTTAATACTAACAAATTAGAATTTGAACTAATTCTTAAAAAAATTAATTAATTAGATTGATAATATTTTAGTTTTACTAATGATTGTTTCGTAATAAAAAATGAACTTGATTTATATTAATATGATTTTCATATTGTTTGATAAAATAATATGGATTTAATTTTTTATTAGTGGAAATATTATATTTAATTTCTACGTTTATATTTTAATAATAAATAACTTTGTTTAAAATAATCCTCGTGTATTATTTATGTGGAATAAGAATTTATTCTTTATGATACTATAGTTTTCTAACATTGTATTTTGTTCAATGTACTTTATTTTACTAAAGAAACTTTTCCAATTGTACTAATTTTGGTGTAAAATACTTTTAAATTGTGTAGTATATTCACTTTATGTATTTATAAAGTTCATTTTAGTGGTCTGGATTACATGAATTGTAAATAATTTTTTTTATTCGTTTTTCTTAACAATAAACAATGTACATTAATTAAAAATTTAGGTTGGGTGACGTGAAGAATCACTCTTCTCAGAACAAAAAATATTCCTGTGGAGCTATATATACCTAAGATATAATAATTTTCAAGAAGTTTAGTGTCTTGGATGTGGTTCAAAAAAATAGAGAAATGTATAAGTCCCGAGCCCTAATCGTGTCCTTCGTTATTTTCAAACACAATTACATATTAAGAAAAGTGTACCTTTAATCACTGTAATTGATTTATAAGAATTTTTATATGGTGTTCAGTAAGTAAAAAACGGGTTTCTATTGTTCTCATTGCTTATAACAATTGACCCGATTTCTTATTTACTGAACACCATGTATAATATTTAATATTCATATTTATAAGTGTTTAAATATGAAGTATTATTTGAGAGTTTTTTGAACCCAAATAAATGTTTTACTCATCATTTTAAAGAATTATCCAAATAAATTTATGATAAACAAAAACAAATTCATTAGCACCCCCAAAAGTATGATGCTTTTTTAAAAAACTATTTATTTTGGTAAAAAGGTAAAATTCCAACCCTTATTCTGGTTGCTTTACTTATTTCTATTATTAATTTTGTACGTGGAAACATGGCTTAGTACTTAGTACAAAACAAATGATTGCGATTATATCTAGAATTAAATATTTCTTTATTATTTAATGTATAAAATTACATATATATATAAACTTATATAAAATAACTGTTATTTAAATATATTTACCAAGATAATCATATTCCTATAGCTATTCTATACTTGGCGTGGACATTTTTTAGCATATAATTTTAAATGCATTTTTTTTATTGTATTATATTTAGATTAACACGATACAATATTATTTACTAACATAAATGTATGTTTTATTTTAGAGTACAGTTGCAACAAATGTCATAGGAGGTACAAAAATATGGCCAGTCTGAAAAAGCATAGTCTATATTATTGCGGGCAACAGTTTAGTTGTGACATTTGCCAAGGAGTTTTTACCCGTAAAGCTACTCTACAACTTCATAAAGCTGTCAAACACGGTGTCTTAATGGAATAATAACAGTTCATAAATCGTTTTCTTAAAAACGTTAATCCTGAGTATATTTTATTTACATTTTAACAATTGTTAAAATACTTTTTTAGAAAAATATTTAATTTAATTTTACTTGAATACATCTATTTGTGAAACGTAAAGATATATTATGAAAATTAATTAACCAGACAATTTATTGTCATTTAATAATCCTAAACAAAAAATTAATTAATAAAAAAAGGTTCTATTAATTTTTAATTTGAAAAATTCTTCAATTTTTTCATTTACAATGTAATTCAACTGTAATAAACAATCAACAAGTAAATTGGTTTATGTGATGTTTAACAAGTTCAATTTTGATATAAATGACTCAAAATCTGTATGTTAAATATTTAGTTTTTAGATTATTTTAGTTTTTATTCATTTGTTGTGCTGAAATTTTAAACAATTCAATATACACCTTTAACAAACATTGTCACTGTAATATTTATGGTGTATGCTGTAATATTTATATAATTCCATATAGAAGATAGTTTGTAATTCTATTTTTTATTTTTAATTAATTTATTAAAAATTAAAATTGCAATACTTTTTAAAGAAAATTATTTGTGTATATATTATTTGAAGTAATAAAAATTTTACTCTTTAAAAAATCTTATGATTTTTTTTAATGGAATTATTTGGAAAAGCCAAAAATATAAATGATCCATAAAATTATTTCTGATTTTATTAAATAAATAATTAATGAAAATGTTGTTTAATATATTTTTTTACTAGGATTATATTTATTTTATTCGTACTATACAGGGTGTTCAGTAAGTCAGGAAACGGGTTTCTATTGTTCTCATTGTTTGTAACAATGAGAACAATAGAAACCTGTTTCCTGACTTACTGAACACCCTGTATAAAAAAAGAAATTATAATTTCAATCAAATGAAAAGTGATAACACTGCCATGGGTCATATTAAACCAAAAATTTAGGTAGTTTATCTTCTAAAAATAGTTCTCTATAATTTTTTTAAATATTATCCCCCGTGGAAAAGTCATGTGTACGCCACTTAGCGTAGTTTCAAATCATTACTTTAATATACCATTTATTTAATGTAAATTTGGCATTATTAGTTCTACTCATTACTTAATTTTGATCGAAGTATGACGCTTATCTGCTTGTTGTTGTTTTTTTTTTTGTAAAAAGTTTTCGTAACTCTAATTTACTTTGTTTTAATTTGTTTGATTTAGAAAGCAAAAATTTAGGATCCCACAACGTATCATTGACTGACTGCTTTAAAGATGGACGTTACTACTGTCCAAACCCGTGTGGAAAACATTATAAATCCAAAAGCGGACTAAGTCAACATTTAAATTACGAGTGTGGAGTTTCTCCAAGATTTAAATGTACAATATGTAATCGAAATTTTGCTTACCGAAATGTTTTAAAATTGCACATGGCCAGTGTTCATAAGGTATTTTCAAATGAAGAGCGTAACCCTCAAATATAATTGGTATTATTTATTTTTGGCTTTATGTCATAAATAATTTTATAAGAATAATTGTTATTTTTTGATATTTATCGTTATATATATTTGCAAGCTTAATTCATTGTATAAAATAAGCTTCAATCATTTGATTTTTTTTAGCACATTTATAATAATTTAGATTAAGAACTCTAAATGATTTTCTAAACTATTTACTTATTGTAAAATTTTTTTTTTTACAGATTGTAAATTTCATAAAAAAAAAAAAAATAATTTTAATATATATAATTTTTTTATTAAATTTTATTTTTTATATATCATTATTATCTTAGATATTTAGTGCCAGATAACATTCAATAAACACCATTTTTGTATATTTTTACCGTAATATTTTATTTAATCCTTGTATTTTTATATAATTAACCTATTAAGAATTTTTTTTGTTAAAAAAAAATTTAAACCTGTTTACTCGGAGGTTTAGTATTATCTGTGTAGAATGAATAATTCAGTAACACGTGAGCATTAAGGACAGATATAGTAAAAGTTAATAGTTCGCTAATGTAGTTGCCTAATTAGCTATTTTTGTTGTCAACTGCTATAATTTAGAAAAACGTAATCATATAAAACGCATTTTAATAATTTAAAAAAAATTTAATTGTTACAGACATGCTGACAGCTCGGTACCTATGCCCAAATATGTGTGGTCGTAGCTACAAATACAAACGAGGAGTACATACTCATGTGAATTTCGAATGTGGTGTCGAACCTCGATTTAAGTGTTCTCTTTGTCCTAAGAAATTTGCTAGGAAATTTCAGTTAGAAAGTCATTTAGTCTTGAAACACAAAGTAATCAAAGTAAAATAAAAAGCACTAGTTAAATAAAATAAATAGTCTAATAATTTTGTAATTGAAAACATTTCTTAATTAAATATGAAAAAAAGAAATAAAAGTTATCTGGAAAGTAAAAAGTTCTGTGTTTTTTTTTTTACGAAAATTCAAAATATTTAATTTGGAGATCGATTTTAGACTACCAAATATTTTCCAAACGTTACCGAAATTTAATTAGTAAATTATAACAAAAACTCTATTAATGCAAGTATGTTAACTTTTTTATATGTTATATATAAATGATTAAAAAGTAGGATACAATTTTATTATTAGTTAAATATGATTTATGTGATAAAATATCACTTGTTAATTTATGTTATCTTAACTATGATTATCACTTTTGATTGTAGTCATTCTTGAAATTCGTGAGTTCTCAAATTATAACTACAACTGTTAATCTAATTTAATGTTTTTTTGTTATTTTGTCATAACATAATAAATTATGTATGTAAAATATGTATTAATTTCTATGAATAAATATGAACTGATTTTATTATAATATCGATCTATATTTATATTGTGTTATTATTGTTGTTTTTACCATCTTAGCCAACATTTCCGTTTCATTTTTAACTGAAAATATTTAAATCTGAGATTTTTGACTCAAATAAACATTTTTTTAATTAATAAAATAAATTTATTAAATAAATATTATTTTATTACTCCTTAATTTAACTATAATCCTTATTTTTTCTTGATATAATAAGTTTTATTTAACTTAAAATTAAAAATGTTCTAATGATTTTTATGGGTCTTCAGACACTCTACCAATAAGTAATTCATTAATAATATGTTTAGTATTCAACAAAAAATTTAGTGTCTCATATAATTGAAAAATAAAAAAAGTGGTACATTTATTTTTTTTCAGTTGTTGAAATATCTTTCTTATTTTTAATGTCTGAAATGTTATAATGATTTTTAGTTATCTTTTTGAAAAACTTAATCCTAGTTTTAAGAGCTTATACTACGGTTTTATCTACGTTACTGAACTATTTTCATTCAGTAAATTGTATTTTGTTTTAGGTATGGTTTCACAACAAAGATTTTATTGTTCTAACAACTTTTGCAGTCGTCATTACAAAAATAAAGGATCATTGATATTTCATATGAAAAACGAGTGTGGCGTTGAACCTAGATTTAAGTGTACTATGTGTTCTAAAAAATTTGCAAGGAAATTTCATTTGACTACACATTTATTATTGAAACATCAATTGTCATATTAATAGAGCAATTGTAATTGCTTCGAATATTAAATATTGTTTTTACACTTAAAACTATAATAATGAAAAATATTAATATTATTCCTATACGATATTTACTAAGTGAAAAAAATAGCGTTTAATTATGTTTTGTTAAGAATATTTGAAAAATTAAATGGAACTATTTTTATGGCTAACTTGGAATTGAACACTTCAACTTTCAATTAATTTTTGAATTTCAATTTCTAATATATTTTTCTTTTAAACAATATGTGTTATTAAAAACACTACGCCCCTTCCAACTTTATATCAAAGAATAATGTTTTCATAAAAATATAAATATTTAAAGTTGATTTATTTTTATGCTCAATAAAATATCAAATATAAATNTAAATATTTAAAGTTGATTTATTTTTATGCTCCTAAGTAAATATCAAATTGATTGTAAAAAATAAAACGAATACTTCTTCTAATGTTAGATTTTAGAGATAAATGTCGAAAGGGTGTGCATCGTAGATGAATTTTTGTCTATGCATTGCTGTGAAAATAGAAAATCGTACACTATACCGCTCTTCACATTTTATAAATCTTTAAATGCTAATATCTCAAAAAGTAATGATATATAACTGATATATATATATCTGGTTATCGCTAGAGCTGGATAGTGTTTAACGATGTTCTATTTTCAACATAATACAGATAAGTATTGATCTATTTCAGGCATCACATTTGCCCCTATATCAATTCAAAAAGTAATAATACGGCACTGTTTATCAACCAGTAAAAATTATATTTAAACTATTCTTCATTTAATAGTGTGGGTTATATCTTACAACACACAATTATTTAAATGGCGGTAGACTTTTATTAAACAAAATTATAACACTAAAATAGACGTATAAACACTAAAAGAAAATATATGTATATACAGTAAGGAAAAATAAAATAATCGAAGTAAACATAATACACGATGACAACAGCGGCGGGGTGTAGCGGTCGTGTAGCGTATCGCGGACTAGACAGTCTGAACTGAACTAACTAACTGACTGATTCTTCCGATATATATATAGCTCCGATAAGGCTCTCGCTAATTCTAGAATATTCTATACCCGCGTAGGTTATCTTATGGCGTTATCGAAGTTTCTCGAAGGTTTTTGATAACGAGAACATTCGAGAATATTCGTTGCGTATGTTTTGGTCGCTACAATAGTAAAAAAAAAAAAAAATTGGTTTTCATTTGACTTTCAAAAGATATCCTTAAAAACAATGTTTTTTTTTTTTACAATAAACTTAATATTTCTATGGTTTATATAAATGAATATTATTTAATGATATTTGTGAAGTTTACTTGATAAACATCACTATATTTAATTGGTGAGGATTTTTTGATTTTTAACATTAAAGTCGGATTTCTGATAGAACGTAGTTCCTTTTATTATTTTATGTAATGCAAATATTTATATATAGTTTTTATGGATATTTTAAAGAATAATTTTAAAATAATGTTAAAAATATATATTATAATTGAACTTAGCTCTGTTCAATTTTATTGTTAATTAGAAAATTTAACTTTGAGAAAAATTATTCTGTTCCTACTTTAATGATTTGATATATATTTTAATTTTCTTAATGGAAGAACAAATTACTATTGTAAAATTGGTCATCTTTGTGTCTTTGTTGAAAATTAATTAGATAACTTATTGAGCTTGTAATTTTGTAGTTATATTTATTTGCTTGATTTTATATGATATTTAATTATTTACTTAATTTTAATTAAAATTTGTTTCAGGTATGGAAAAACGATATTACTGTCCTAACAGTATGTGTGATAAACATTATAAACACAAATGTACTCTTAAGTTCCATTTGAAAAATGAATGCGGAGTTGAACCTAAATTCAAATGTTCTTTGTGCCTGAAAAAATTCTCCAGAAAATTTAATTTATCAACTCACGTTTTGTTAAAACACAAAGTCAATAACTTTTAATAAAATAAAATGACTTGACTGTATTTAAATGATTTAAAATATTAATAAACCAAATTTTTATACTTCAAAAATCACCAAAAGTTTATGGGAGATCCAATATTACTACTATGATTACTATAGATTATGATGATTTGTGATTATTTTTAAGTTAATAGTTATATAATAGGTGTAACAGTAAATAAAATAATATTATAATTATATATTATAATAAAATAAGATTGTACATTGTATAATGTGTTTTATTCCTATGAAACTTCTTAGTGTGAGATGTTTAAAATACAAAACTAAATATACAGTGAACAACTTGTCTTTATTAAGTGTTAATTATCATTAATAAACTATAAATTTCATAATAATTTTGTATTTTTTCATATATAAGTAAAATAAGGGTTGGAAAAAACTGTTTTGCTAAACTAATACATCCGAATTTTTTAGGGTTTTATCTAAAAAAGTCTAAAAAAAACATCTCCAGCTAGTTTTATGGGGCTTTTTTTAAACCAGATAAAATTTCGATTTTTAAATATTGATTAAAAATAAAAACAAAATACATAAATTTTTATTTGAAATAAAAACAACGTTTTTTCAAAACAATATTTTTTTGTTTATATAAACCCTTCAAAATANATTTTTATTTGAAATAAAAACAACGTTTTTTCAAAACAATATTTTTTTGTTTATATAAACCCTTCAAAATAATGGGCCTAATTTTTTTGCAGAGGGCTTTTTTGTTTAAATAATTATTAGAGATTGTTCTAATTTTCTTTCATTACATTTAAATGTTACCTTATTATATAAACGAATTGATTAGTACATTATTTTTCGAAAAGCCTTTGCACAGTTCTGTTTGGTGTGTCATGATAAGAAATATCAGTAGAGATGAATATCATTTTGCTATGCTTGCAATGAATGTTTTTTCCATTTAATGTTTACTTATTTTTATTCATAAACAAATTTTAAGTAGTAAATACCTTTCACAATTTTTAATTTTTTAATTTATTCTAGTTATTAACTATAGGATAATTTTGATTTCAGTCCAAAGAAATAACAACGGACGTATTAATTGTCCCAATGGTTGTGGTAGGACGTATAAAAATAAAATATCATTACAATGTCATCTAAGAAATGAATGTGGCACCCAACCAAAGTTTTTCTGTCCGTTTTGTAACAAGAAATGTTATCAAAAGTCAAATATGAAATCACATATTGTTCAAGTACATAAGACGTTCTGCAATATTGAACCTGTTGCTCCTCTGCCGTCCTTGCGAGGTCGTGGAAGATTTCATTAAACATCAAATTTTTAAAGCTTATCTGTTTAATTGATAAATTTTGTTTTATTTTTAAATGAATAAAATTTTTAGTGTTAACAATCTAAATTATCAAATTTAGAACCTCTTCAGTATTTGTTTTTAATTATTCGACATAGTTCGCTTCCGACAAACATTGTTAAAACGTTATTTTTCAAAATTTTAAGATAATTAAAATTTATTTTTTCTTTGTTCGAGTATTATCTCTATATACAACAAAAAACTCATTAGTTAATTTTTCATCGATAAATGTAACATATTGTACACAATTATACAAGCTTAGATAAGTTTTTATACTTGAAGTGTTGCCAAAAAGTACCTATGTTAAATTTATAAAGTTATTACATGAATTTGAACTGTTCATAATTGTATTTTTATTGTTCTTTATTTATCACTTTTTAAGTATGAATAATTTAATAAATATTATTAAGATTTTCATTACTCTATTACATATTTTTTTTATTAAATTATTTAGATGTTGATTAAATGATGTTAAATATAAGGTGTTAATTAATTTAGTTTGATTTTTCAAGTTACCATTTAAAAATTTTTTACCTAAATTTTTATGAGTTAGAGGGACGAATTAAATGAAAATGTACATTAACTGTACGATCTAAAAAATATACATTTTAATTTAATTTTTATCTAAAACAACTAAGAGTAATTGTATAAGATCATTCAAAAAAATGCTCGTATATTATGACTTCCGTAGTAAAATTTCTAATTTTGATTTTTCGAAATTTGTTTAAAGAAAGAATTTAATACTGCATAATTAATTATACAACAGCGTAATGAAATGTCGTATAATTTTCCATCTTTCCGTGAAAAATTTCAAAAAACATTTAAAAATATATAAATATTAAAAAAAGGGATTTAAAATAATATTTACATAATGAAGGAGGTGATATACATATTTAGCGAAAATAATCTAAATAGCTGTAATATATATTAACAATTATACTAATTTTATATTATTAATTGTTAGCCATCTCATATTGACATATTCAAAAGACTATTTAATGAAAGTAATGTGTGCGTATTAAAGAATTACATTAATAATTATAACACAACTAAAACTAGAAACATTGAATTTTGAACTTTTATCTCAGTTAAATAATAATTATTTTTTTGCCATTGTATAAGTTACATTTAACTAAATCACTAAATAGGAATATTTTTAAATGTTTGCTTTTAACAATCTTTAAAAAGTTTTCTCTATGTTACGCTATCGCTTGTTTCCATTAAATGAATATTCTTCTGTGCTTTAAAAGAGAAACACATTTTCCATTATAAAAATCTTTTTATAGTCATGTGATAGTTAAAATTTTTATTGTTTTTTTAATGATAAATAAATTAAAAATAGTTTGTTAAAGAAGAGTTATGTTTATAAAAAAAATTATTGATTTAATGGAAACTAACTATATAATGTATTAATTGCCAAAATTAGTTAACGAAAAAGTTTACAACGTCAATATTTTTTATCTGTTAAGGATGAAAATTAAACTTGAAATATTATGGTCGTTTAAAAAAATATTTATTTTTGTTTTAGAAATATCTCAATATGAAACACGATATTACTGTCCAAACAAGCATTGTGGTCGACACTACAAGAACAAAGGGAGCTTAAAGTATCATATGAATAACGAATGTGGAGTTATTCCAAAGTATAAATGTAAATTTTGCCCTAAAACGTCTTGTCGTTATTCAAATTTAAAAAGGCACATGATAAACGTTCACAGACACATCACTGATAGAACATCAACATCATTTGTTATGAACAATACTACTATGAGTTAAATATACATAGTTTAACATAATGTGAATTAATATTTTAGTTGGTATTTTGTTTAGGCAATCGAATTCTTTCTTGTTAATATGATTATTAATGTAATACTTTTATCGCATTTAGTAAAATTAAAATTTTAAATTGTTAATTTAATGTCTTAAAAATAAATGTTGGTATTTTATACTTTTCAAATGTAAATAGTTATTAATATGTTTTTAAATTTATTTGTTGTTAAAAATAATCTAGAAATGTTACTATAAATTTCTTTTTAAATAGTTACATAAAAAAGTAATACAGTTATGAGAGATTAATATTTAATGTTTTAAGAACTCAACCAGGTATTTGTATCTTTTACTATACAATGATATTTTTCTAACTGCATTAAAGGTTTGAAAGTCATTAGACATTTTTATATCTTTTTCATATTTTGAAATAAATAAAGGTTACTCGGCAGCAATATTGGTCAATGAGTCTGACATTTGTGAAAATTGGATGTAAATCTTTCAGAATGAATATATCTAAGCGCAACTTATAAATAATTCGTAAAAATTATCTATATAATCATTTGAAAATTTGTATATTTCCAATTTTTTATACTGAATCTGATATTTATTGTTTTGAAACTGGCTAAATTTTATGCCCGAGTGTAAGCATTTAATATCATATTTGCCGTTTATAAGTTTTGTATAATATATTAAATGCTTTAATCAACATAAAGTTTTGAATTGAAATTTTTAGTGTAAATAAGCTAATTGATTGATTTTTTTTAATAGGGTACCATTATTGTGGAGGTTGTCGTCGTAAGTATAGAAATTTAGGAAGTCTTATAAGACACCGAAGGTATGAATGTGGGGTAGAAAGACAGTTCAACTGCGACATTTGTCTCAAGTCATTTACTCGCAACACGACTCTTAGAGATCATCGAATTCACGTCCATAATATTATTTAAAGTGTTTGTGATAAATATATTCAAGAATTATGACCAAGTTATGTGTTTACAAATTGAAATTTTATTAAAAAAAATTTTTTTTTGTTATTTTTAATGTATGCATTAAAAGAATGTTGTTTAACTAATTGTTTGCACTTGGAAAATTTATTATGTATTTTTTATAAATATAAATTATACTATTACATTA